AAATTACCATGAGATCTACCTTGACCGTATATTACAGCCAAGCGCCTAAAAAATTACTAGCGCCGAGCGAGACTTATCTCGCACACCTCTGTAGTGCAGGATCCGAGGTTAGTTTCGTATCGCGGTGCTATTTTAATCTCTGGGCATCTGGTCCGATGGTTCGTAAAAAAAGACATGCCTGAGATTCAGCCAACTCGGGTCCTCACGACATACCGGATCAGGATAATAAAGACCCTGTTCATGCATACATATGCATTGGCATACTTGACCCTGTCGGGCGCCACCGACAGCACAGAGTACAGAGAGTGCCAATAACCATGATGTATGGCGAACTCCCAGGATGTTCCCACCAGTGCGAATGACCGCACGACAAGCATTTACCGTTTTGGGTAAGACGTTGAAACGAATCGGGAGTGTCAGCAGCCTTATGTGAGAGACTTGCTGAGTTTTGTTTCGGTCCACTGGAAGATCAGATCCATTTGTTAGCCGATGATTTTCATTAGTTCCAGGGGAGGTCAGGTTTAAATACCGGTGGCCTAGTTGTGATAGAAAAATCATAGAATAAATGGTCCGTCATACTGACTCGTAGCAGTCAGAAGTATACTCGTTTAATTCAGTCAAACTAGCCATGTCTTTGATACATGGCAAGTCATCGCGACAGGACTGTTCTTGTAAGGGTAGACGGATAGTGAAGGTACGTCAACCTATATCTGCATTACCACTACGACCATGCTAACCAGCCCAGCGAAATGAACACCAATGCCTCAACCACCCATACCACTCTTCACGAATCTGGCCCAGCAGATCTCGGCCATCCACCCAACAACTCTCAACAACAAAGACACCAACCATGACCGACCCCAGTCGAGCATCAACATCCCTATGCCGCCGCCTAACAAACCAACTCAACATCAACGACCTAGAACTAATAATGCACTGGCACAGCAGCACCTACCGCTCCGTTTCCCGAGACAGCACCGTCGAGGGGATATGGCAGAAAGTCGTCCCCCAGGAGGCAGTACAGCACCCATTCCTAATGCACGGTCTCCTGGCACTATCGTCGCTCGATCGAGCGTGTAGTAGTGGTGGGAGGGCACGAGAGGAGCGGGTGAGGATTGCGCAGCAGCATCAGAGTCGTGCGATGGGTGGTCTTTCGGCCGTGCGGAGATTGGAGGATAGTCGCAGTTTGTCTACTTGTAATGCCATGTTTGCGATGGCTTGTGTTATGGTTTATTATGATCTTGCGTTGCCTCTTCTCACAGGTCCTGCTGAGGGACGCTCTGCGCTGGATGAGTCTTGTCGCGTCCTCGAGCGAATCCGCGAGTCGATTGTGGTCATGACTGAAGTCATCGATCGGGTAAGGGGAGGGGAGCTGTGCCCCTTAATCCGCGAAGACGAAGTCAGACCCAAGATGCCCGACACATCACGATTGGCAATACAGTCCCTCCGACGGCGAAACGGGATACTAGCTGCGCGAGATACAACACACGAAACAGACACCTATGAAACCACAATACAACACTTGAGCGCCGCCCTCGAACGACTCGCCGAGGGCGGCGAGCCCACGATCATCGCATTACGATGGATATGGTTTATTCCGTCTCGATTTATCGAGCTGATGAGGATACGGGAGCCATTTGCGCTGGTGATCCTGGCGCACTTTGCCGTGATCATGCATTCATTACGAAGACACTGGTGGATGGGAGAATGGGGGAACCAGGTGCTTCAAGACATCGGACAGACGCTGGATGCTGAATGGAGACAGTCTATTGATTGGGTTATTGATGCGACTGGGTGCTATGTTCCTGCTTATGAGTGACGACTTTCTGTTCTTGTTTGAGCTGTTTTTGGACTGTCTTTGAGCCTACTGTTAGTGATACCATTTGTTTATTGCATGTCTATGGGCATATTATATGAGTCTCTTGAGCACTTGCAGAAAAAGCAATGCAGAAAGCAACATGATAAGCCTAAAGAATCCCATTGGAACCTCATTAATCCATAACCCATACCCAATTAAACAAGCCAATAGGGCCTCATTCAGAGATAACAAAAAAGAAAAAAAAAAGTCGCACAGCCAAGCACAGTATAAATACGACAACCCCCCCAGCGCCATCCCAATGAGTCTGATTCTGTATCCGGGAAAACCCATCACATCAGAAGAACAAATGAAAACCAAAACATGTCTCAATGAATGCGAAAATCGACCGATTATTTCGACGCAGCATCCGACTGCCTCTCCTCCTGCGACTCGAGCACATCCTTCAATCGATCCCTCGAAGCCGTGTAAACCCGTCGCAACTGTTCCTCCTCCTGCTCACGCACCAACTTCTCTTCGTCTGCCGTAGGGACGTACGCATTCGCGGCACCACCTATCAAATTCCGTCAGCCTCCTTATCCCATATCCATACCCGACATCCTCCCCCCTCAATCCATAAAACCAAAGGAAAGACATACCCCGACCAGTATGATGCGGTGCCTCTTCAACTCTCAGCGGCGGCGTCTCGACGTCCTGACTCTCGCGCGCAATCTCCGGGCGCTCCGGGTCATTGTATACCATATTCCCCGATCCGCCGCGGCCGGTGGTGTAGACGTCTTGTTTGATGGTGGGGGTCACGAAATCTTTCTTTGATTTGGGTTGTTCTTTGTGTTCTCTGGAGTAGATGTTTCCTGGACACGGACACTCATTAGCAGCTGCAACGCATCCAGAAAAGGGATATCATCAGAGATCCTTTCCTCTTAGTCCAGGGGCTTACCTGCGCCTCCTCGGCCGTGGGATATTTGGCGACCCATGACGAACTGCAAGTATGACGGCGGAGATGCGGGACGAGACGAGTTGCGGTGGCGGTCGATGTGATCGCGACGGGGTTTGCGAGTTTGCGACAGTTATTCAGTGTCTTGCAGGGCTCTATGCCATAAGAGGTGAGTCTTCTTAAGAGTGAAGAAGAAAATTCTGGTTCAGAGTTGTCGGGTAAGAACCCACAGTCGTTGTCCGCATGAACACCGACGTTTGCAGCGTTTGCCAAATCGAGCGATGCCAGGACAGGTACAGACACAACACTACGACTCTGCTATCAAGATAAGAGAGAATATTCTTTATCTGCACGAATATTGTTCATTCTCTTATCCGGCTGGATAGATCCGACATACTGCTTAGTCCCACTGAAATTTCTGCGCCCGTGGGTCCCCCGCGTTTGGATCTACTGCACAGGCTTATCTTCATATACATCTAGTTCTATTAACGCCGTATATTACTCCCCCAGCTTGAACATATCCCCATGCCATCCATACGCACGTGCTAATCGCCGTCCAAACCGCCTCATCATCCGGAACGGAATCTTCGGAATAGGATGAGGCTCATGGAACTGAATCGCTCGTTCCACGTCCAGTTTAGTGGGCGAGAACTGCCATACGGAGCCGTACAGCTTCTCGATTCCAAAGCCCGTCATGCCCATCGCGTGCAGGAAGTCGTTCCATGGGATTTCGCCCGGTTGAGCGGTCTTCGATGGTTTGTAGAACAGAGTGGAGAACACCTTGTATGCGCGCTTGTCCACTGCAAACGTGGGCTGGACGTCTGGACCGTGGCCTGCGTTGAGATCTGGCACTATCGTTTCGGCTGGTGATTCAGTCGGCTGAGGGACACCCCGTGTCTTGGTTTTGGCCTTCTTGCCCACAGGGACCTTCTCCGCTGGGAGCGTGCTCTGTGTGCGGTGTTCCAGTTCGAAGTAGATTTGGGATAATGGCCGGCATATCTCCTGGATATCGTCCATTCGCTGGTTGCCCGGACGCCTGGTGTCAGATTCAATCCAATCCGGGGTTCGCCGGAGGATACGCTGCTCGGACAGGAGATTGCGCAAAGCCGGATGAGTGTGAAGACTGGTTTTACGGGAGAGTTGCGCGTCCACCTTGGTCCAGAATTCGTCGAGATTCCTCTCTGCCGCCTGTATTGCTTCGGTATTCTCGCGAGTCTTGCGTTTGTCGACGGGGTAGTAAAACCTCCCATCCGACATGTCACCTGCTGCGACCACCACAACGGGATTCCATTCGCTTCTAATTTCATGCATCACCTTGGTTTTCTGTTCATAGTCGGCCTTCAACTCGTGGTCACGCGAAGCCATTTCACTGGAAAACGTGGAAGCCCAGGGTTGGTAAAGGGAGATCTGGTGCCGGCATTCAGCCAAAATGGACAAGTCTGCGATCATGCCAGCCACTCGCGGGGTGACCAGGGCCCGGATACTTGGCTCCTGTATCGTACGTTCCAATTCATCCATGAGGGTCTTCAATCCCGCGCTAACCAGCATCTGTGGGTTCCACAAGGTTTCGAAGATCCATAGCAATCGGTGCACCTTTGGATCCTTGCACGCCTTCCCATTGTAAGATACGAAGATCTTGTTCAGATCGCCCCCATCCGGTTCTCGAGCATAGTATGAACGAAGTGGGGGAGAGGAAGGGACATTCGTCCTGAGACTCCCAATTGGTCCCTCGAAGTAGCGTTCTAGGCTGTACCATAGTTTGAGATAGGCATCAAACAGCTCGGCGGGCAGGTCTTTATCAGGATCGATTTTCCCGGCGTATTTCTCAGTTAAAGACTGAAGATGTGTGGTCTGAGAAAGCAAGTCATCCCAGATCACCAAAGGGAAATACGTATCAGTCATCATGAACCCAAATATTCTCTCCCAAAACCGACTGGACGGACGTGGCCGAATGAGAGGATGTTTCTGTCCAAGCTTATCTGGCAGCATTTCCTGTCGATGTTCCTTCATTTCGAGCACCACATCTGCAAAATAGCTAGGGTCTTCCCGAAGAGTCCAAATGTGATCTTCGGCCACGGTGCGACGACCTTCAATGAGCTTCTTGAGACGACCAAGGTCCAAGTGAGCCGGCACACGATAGGGAGCCTCAGAAGCAACTGCCGCCAGCGAGTCGATACCCGGTTCTGCGGTGGACAACCGGGGAGGCTCGGGTTGAGCAGGAGCCCCTAGCAAGTCCTCCTCGCTCATATCATGCAGAAGGTCCCGGCAACACGCCAAAAGAAAACTATAGACCCGCTCTTGTACCTCGAGAATCTGCATACCACAGCCAGGAATGGCGCCGCGTCCATTGGTTGCCCAATTCATCGAGGGTTCATGCTCCTCCCAGGAGAACAACTCCCCATAAGTCTCCGGTGTATTCCTCCCCGTAAACATCATAGTATACATGTTGAGGAATGCTAGACCGAGGTTTCCCGATCTATTCCCCAGAGAAGTTGAATCCCAATCTGCCCCTGCGAAAAAAGATGGAGGGTGGCGAGCGCGCGCATTGAGGAAGATAGGAAACAGCTTTGGCTTCAACAGATCCTCCTGGTTGATATTTGGCCACAAATAAGGTTCTCTGAACTTGGTGTGACCGTGGCTCTTTTCTCGAGTGAACGCCTCAAAATCCGGACGATGCTGCGCTGCCATTCGCGGCCACGCATTGAGGAGGATTTTCTGGCGCTGCTGGCGTGTTTTGTTCAACCATCGTTTCTGAATAGTTGCTTCATGGCGCTGGATTAGCTGGTTGAGGAATCCCCAATCTTCAAAGATGCTCTTGCTTCGTTGTCTTGCTTCCTTGTGGACTTCTGCCGGCGTTGGGAACGAGGTTGGTTTGTCATTGGGGCTGAGAGCATCGAAGAAACTCTCATCATTGTCCCAGTCGATCTCCGGCAATCCTGGCAATCCTGGTATGTCTTGATCGGCTTCTGGATTGTCTAGTAGATCGGATAAGTCAGGCCGTATCCTTTCCCAAATAGAGCGAGAGTCGAGAAGCTCCATGATGGCGGGTATGAAAGGTTATGTATTTCGGAGCGGCCGGCCGAGAGGGGCAGGTAAAGCTACCCCACCGCGTGAGGGAATCGGAATCCAGGTACATCCGGTCCACCTGACGTCTTTTATATATGAAGTCTGCTGTGAACAGAAATGTCATGTTCAAGCTCAGAAGCCCAAGTTATATTCATTACTATATTCATAGCATCATAATACCGACCTATGTACAAGTATAGTTACGGGTTGGTCCCGACATTTATACTCCGCACTTCTCCATCTCACCATAACCATCTATGAACTATACGAAGACCACTGATCCCCACCCTGCAAAGCCAATAGAGCAAAATGACTTCCCAATGTCGGTCGTGCCCGGAACCGAAAGTAATCTCCAGCAGCATCATCACCACTATCTGCGACCCAGTACCGATCCGAGAAGGGAGCACGGTTCTGCCCATTGGCAATATACGCATGCAAGTCCGATATGAACAAGTCTCGCGTCGTTCCGTCAACAGTCGCAGCGACGAAGCCCTGCCAGTTTGTCTGGCCCCAGTCGATACCACCCTCTAGCGCGACACCTGCAGCCTTGCGGACTGTGGGATAGAACTTGGTCGTGGCGTTGTAAGCCTCGTCGGAGAAGAGGTCCAGATCGAAGAGGAGGTCGCCGTAATGGTTGTACACCAGGAACCAAGTGTCGTTTCCGTACTGGATGGTGAAGTAGGTACCATCTGCGTCCGTACCCAGACGCTCTTCGTAGAGAGCATGGGCGATGGACTTTCCTTGAGTGGTGTAGTCGCCCTGGTTGGTGATCTTGCCATAGACACCCAGTCCTACGGCAGCTTTCATGGCCAGATTTGTCTGATTGGCAATGGGACCCAAGGCGTCGTTGAGAGATAGCTGGTTTGAAGGGTATTTGCCGTCTTTTTGCAGGTACTGGGCGTACTGCTCCAAGAGCGAGGAATAGGTACTCGTGAGGTCAGTGTTGCCAGTTGCCAGCTGGTAGGCGTAGGTGAGAATGATAATGTTGCCGCTTTCTTCGACTGGCATATCTTCGCCGTCTGGGTTATGTCCCGTTGCATTGGGATAATGTGTTCCAAGGTCGTGAACGGCAAACGTCTCGCTGTAGGCATCACTCTCCATGTAATCGAAAATCGGCTCAATGAGGAGTCTGAGGATATCAGGACTGAGGATGTAGAGCACAGGGAACGTCGCATAGATGACATCCACCGTATTGATGTTACCGTTACTAGAGATTTCCTTGATGAACGCACGGGCTTCATTCGCATCCAACGAGTCATTTGGCACGGTAAGTTCAATTCCGCCGTACGTCTGTCGCAGGGACAATGCAAGAATGTCGGAATAGTTGGAGCTGTGGGCCGACTCTCCTTTTTGCTGGATGAAATTGTCCACTGTCGTTGCTTCGCTTGCAGCATCCGTATAGTCATCTAGAAAGTGCGAGATAGCAGACACGGCGCTTGGGTACTGAGTCCGGTAATATCCCGTCTGCGTATCGCCCAGATAATCGATGGCTTCTTCATGAACATGGCCTATGGCAAAGGTGACAGAAGCCGTTCCAGAAACGTCACCTAGGTCGTGAGCCAAGCCCACAACACCGTTTGAGGCCCAGTCTGCATTGTTGCCATCCAGGGCACCATCTTGGACGAACTGGGAACGAATGGTTGACAATGCTCCAGAAGCAGACGACAGGGTGCTCTGGCTTGACGGACGACTGGCATAAAGAACCTGGCCCCAAAGCGCCTGGTTCTCAGTATTTTGGGTGAAGGGGATAGCATCTGCCGGGCTGACATGGTAAATAGATGTCGAGCCGTTAGTTGAGAACCGCCATTCCGCATTGTTCGGTTTGCCCGTCCAGGAAGAATCTATATCCGAGTAGATCTGCACCGATTCACTGGATCCTCCGCTCACAGAAACAGTGAGATAGGAGAATGGCAGAGACTGGCGCAGCAGGTTCTGAGGCGACACGGGAGACAAAAAGTCCAGCGTGAACGTCTTTGACCCGGCTTCCAGGGTGAAGATGCTGTGCGTCGAAGTAAAGTTGGCCGCAGTCACGGTAGCTTCTTGCAGTCCGTCAAGCGTATTGGAGACGCCAAACAGGCTGTATGCCTGGCCATTGACACGTGCAATGACAGACCAGGTCAAGTCATTCCCATACCAGAATTTCGGAGATCCGGTTGGCAAATTAGCTGCCAAGTCTCCAGGGAGCCAAACTACGCCAGTTAGTCACGGTTATACTATAAGTGAACACAAATTGATGCACGAACTGGATAAATACGGATTGCGAACTGCCAGAGGATATGCGGGGGGGAGAAGGGGGGAGAAGGTCGCCGCATGGACCAGGTGCAGCAGAGCAAGACCTAGTATGGCCCCAGCGGTAGAGAGAAAGCTTAACCCCATATCCAGGAACAGGAACGGAGCAGGGAAAGAAGAAATCAAAGGCCCGAGGAGTAGGATTTACATGGTTGGGATGGTCGACGTTCAAATACCCGTCTGACGAGATGGCAGACCTCCGGAATGCCGGAGTACAAAGCACAGCATTCCTGGCATGCATATGACAACAGTCAGCTCTGCATCCATATTGGTTTATCGATTCGAGTCATGGGTCGGGAGAGTGTCCATCTCTGCTGAAGCGACCATACTGCGGTGTATGCGGAGTATACTCCGTACAGCAGTCATTCAGCCCGTCCGTCAGTCACAGCTCGGTCTAAGCACGCCATTCTGGACGTTGATTGTGCGCCTTAAAAGACACTACTGAATTTAAATGGGTAATGTGATCAGGTGCCGCTCCTTATGGTGAGTAATAATCTTCTTGGAAGAGGAGAACAAGGCTCGCAACACTCACCGTCAATGGCGTTATTTGCTAAAGACAGAGTCAGATGCAGCTTCTTGCAGAGGATTATGCATCGGGTTATTGTGCAGGGATTATTTCAGCCCAAAGGAGACAATAAAAATAATAATGGATAACTACGTCTAAAAAGACAAAGGCATACGGCATACGGAGAAAAGGGGGGGAGGAGGGGAAAGGAAACATACTGCATCTGATGTCATGCGTCGGCCGAGGTTGGCCAAAATAACTCCGACTTTGCCCACCACTGAAGTTTCTTTTCTCATGATGTGAAACGGTCAAATTACATTTCGTATTATTGGGTCAGAATATGGTATTTTGAGTTGTTCCTTGAGTCTGTTTGTTGTGGGGTAATACTCCGGAGTAGACGAGGATCCGAATAGAAAGTAACACCGGAGGTATATTGACCAACCACGCGTGTTGTTCGTATTCTGCCAGGTCCATGTTTCCCTATTGAGCCCAATCTCGAATACCAGTCATTGTCCCGCTGGACACCTCACAGCCAAATATATCCAGAGCTCCTAGTAGTGATTAATCAACTATTTTGGGCGCGATCGCTCGCGGTAGAGAAAGAGCTAAGAGAGACCATAGAGAGGAGCAAGTGTAGTAGCAATCAGGCACAAGGAGCAAGTCGGTCGACGAAAACAAATCACTGTCGGACTGCTTGAAGATAGGCTGCAACCTCCTTGTCAAAGATACCGTCTTTAACGAGCTGGTCTGCGGATTCGACGATCCACGTCTGACAATTCCGCTGTGAGATCTTCTTGCCAACATTGCTTGTATCCACCTGGAAAACAAATCTCCGGATTAGTCGACAGATCCAGCATAAATCACACTTAGAAAGGTTAATCTGGATCTTACCATTTCCTCAACTGAGTTCAAAGACTTCTCCGGAACCTCGACTTTGTGCGCGCTGGCTTCGAAACCGCAGACTGGAACCGTGTCAACTTTAAACTCCCCACCATTCAGCATCTTGGTTTCGTCGAAATGCTTTCCATCTACCCATTGCAACGGAACCATTTTCCATGGCTGGTTCGAAGAATCGGATAAATCGGGGCAGCGTCTGATCTGGAACTCGAAACCACTCCGCACGTCACCAGCTGCGTCCATCGCGACACCAATTTCAGGGCTCATATGGGAGGATACCCAGTACGCCCAATGGTCTTTAAAGGGTGAGCCATTGTACATCATCAACTCGACGAGAAATGCCCCTTCAGGACCTGTTGGGGTCACGACTGGCGGTTTGGCCGGAGCGGGAGCAGGGAATTTCTTGACGGCTGGAGGGGGAGGAGGTACGGCGCTGGTTTCGTTTATCATGGTGGCGATAGAACTTTTCTGGAAACAGTTGCTGATGTGTTAATATGTAGAGCACTTTGATAAGATCGTTTGGATGAGGTGGATTGTGGAAGTAGATTCCGAGTCTGAAGGGGAAGTTCGACAGGTACAAGGCACACGTCACCTGATCCTACAATAATACAAGAAAATAGGGTTGCTTTTGATGGGATAAACTAATCAACCATTGCACAGGCAACAGTAACTTTGAAAATAACATTTGTCTCTAGAGCTGATAAACCTCTTAACATGTGCTATTCACCTAGTTCATACTGTCTGCAATTCAAACTGCGAATACGTATGAGGTCCTCATATGAGCTATAATGCGATATCCTAAGGGTAAACATCTGCTAGTACGATATCAGATCAGCAACCTAGCGACAAGGCAAAGAAAAGCCAAGGGTGCCACCGCATCTCCTCATCCACAGGGTCCAGAACCACCGGCATATACTTTGCCCACCACTCCTCTTGGAAGGCCCTATTGAAATCGGGATATCCCATACCAAGTCCCACGCATCTTGCTTTGCAATACTCCCAATACGCAGGATACCATCCAGATTGGCCCCAATCAATGATTGCGGCCACTTTGGGATTGGGTCCGTGGGTTTAAGAGGATGTGGGATCAGATCATTGTGGGTGAAAGCAATTGAGTCTGGATTATTAATAAGGAATCGGCAAATGTCTTGAAACTCGCGAACGGCATTTGGGCCTTCGAATGATCCGCTATATTTTGGTTGGTGGTCTTCTGGATAGCCGTAGAAAAAGATATCGTCCAGCGGTCGTTTGCCCACGCTACTTGTCTAGTATCAGTCAGAGTCTGTTCGCGTATTGCAGTTGAAAGAGGCACTCTGCCTATATACTGTTCGTTCTCGTCTTGCTCAAGGCCTCTCCATACCTTCACCATGTCCTTCAGCCCAGCACAGACAGCCAGTCTCTCCTCTTCAGCCATACCACCCCATTGCCTCTGTAAAGTGTCACCCTAGATCAAAGCCATGTAGATAAACCTCTGCTCTCCATTCTCCGCCCAACCAAAGACTTCCGGAATGGGCATTCGACCATGCAGTCGCTGATATACCATCCTTTGCGTCTCAATCTCGGCTAAAATCACATTCGCCCCATACTTGACAAACAGCCCCAGCGATGGGATCACAACCGGTGAGGGGCGATAAAAGGATGTTGTGTGGATATTGCCTGTCTTCTTGTTGATGGTTCTGACTTCAGCTGGGGTACGGAGCGCTATTGCTGGTCTATTCTTGAAAAAAAACTGGAATCCGGGACAATTCTAATTTGGCTCGCAGAGTCATCTCTGACTTGTGAAGTCTCCGAGGTCGACATTGGGTGTGAGGATGGCAACCGGAGTGTAGCTTCTGCGGTAAAAACTCGACGATTCGGCATCGACGATGCGCAATACAATGGCACTGCTATCAGTTAGGCATCGGAATTATGGCCAGATTATCTCATAGCAGCATAATGAGCAATGTGTTCGGGCGGCCAGCTGCAGCAAGAAATTCTCCGTAGACCGCGATCGAATCATCGAAAACGCGCAGATAAGCAGGTCCGTCTTCGTCGTGATTGGACGTTGATGCCGGATATATTCCAGGCCCCCTGATTCGCAGTAGCGGTTGGTGGTCGATCCGGGTTAGGTGGGCAATCATCCTCCAAATTGATTTCCAAGCTGCCTTAGAATGTCTTGCTAGTCTGCGGAGAGCCTTCGCGGAAGCTGAAAACGTACTCCGTACAGTCGTATTACCCCGTATTCTGAGCTGCCTCGCATGGACCAACTCACTAATCGCGGTGTTTAATCCGACTCGACTGCCCGTATGTAGCATGCTGATCACCCGTCGCAAACCTTGAATTGGAGACCGGGGTGAATTCTGATCGCGCAGCGTATTTCGAGCTCCAGGACCATTTTCTGTGTACTTGTAGAAAGCCAGCCAATGCCCAAGTGAGAGGACCAGTGATCTATAGATTAAGGTAGAGTAGCGAAGATGGACCGTGCATTTCCGCAGTCGGAAATCCTCCACTGCGACCGGGCGGAAACGGTTAGAGCAATTGGCGATGAACCCTGACCATAGCACCGTCAATCTGGTGCTGTTACATCGGGGAGAAGAGCGACACGCCCACGAAAAGCAACCACTCGGCAAGAGGCAGTTGGGATTGAAATTCGGAGCTTTCTCGAGCTGTTCATTGATTCGTTCGAGCTGAACCCGACAATCTGGAACTGACGAGGCTGAGCTTTTAGACCCGGGGAGTGTTGATCTGGAGTGAGAGTAACTATGGCGTAGTTGTAGTGAGGGCATGGTAAAAAATCAACTCTCCGACTTCTCCATTCCCGTGACTCTCTCTCTTACACCTCTGTCCTATCTCCTCCTCTTTTCCACTCTCCTCCGCTTTACTCTCCTCTCCTCTTCGCTTTCCTTCTTTTTTAATATATTCCCTTTTATCTTCTAATCCCTGTATAATTGTCACTTTGCGCTATCCAAAGTCCATCATTTGCTGGTACCAGTGATCCGTGGAAGGCCCAGCAAATCTCCCGCAGTTTGACAGCTGCCGGCTCACCCAAAGAGGCGATCGTTATTTCGTTCCTAGATTGAACAAAGCTTTGTACAGTCCCAACGTGTTCGGTGTGTCTGTGTGTCTGTGTCTGTTGCTAACTGACCCTGTCGCACTTGCCAGGTCTTTCCGAGTCGTGACGCTACACTTGCCACTGCGCGCCTCGTCGTCTGATTCTTTCCCCGCAAACGTCCGCTTCGACTCTAAACTTCCTACACCTTGTGTTCATCTTCACTTCACGCGACTAAGGTGTCTGATCAACTCTGCCGTCGTTGCGAATCGAGTCCTCCTGTTAAAGAACAAGACGCGTCGCCAAGTTCTCGGTCCGACCGCCCTTCACGATCCATCATTCTGTCATCTGAAACAACTGTGACGTTCGGATTTCGCGTCGTCGCACCGCTTTGACGAAACGTCAGCAATCAATCTGCCGCTGCATCTCGTCGAAACCTCTCGTGAATATATACAATAATACAACCGTGAGCCCCGGTTCGTCTTGGATCTTGAGGATAATTTCCCCTGTTGCTCGCCCTCGGTTCCTACACATCGCGAACCATGTACGCTGTCGAGGAAAGGTCCCATCTTCCGCCCCCGCCGCCACCTCTCTCTATGGATCGCATTCCTCCGTCCTCTTCTTATCCAACCCCCGGGTCTGCGGGCCCTGTGAGCTCATCCGACCATCTGGCTCCGTTCTCAGCAAGGCATAATGGTCGAATCTGGTCGTTACAAGTGGTGCAGCAGCCCATTCGTGCTCGAATGTGTGGCTTTGGTGACAAGGTGGGTCGTCCTTTTTCTCTGGCACCTCCATGAACCTGCAACTCATTTTTTTTTTTCTTTTTTTTTTTTTTTTTCAGGACCGGAGACCGATTACGCCCCCGCCGTGCATTCGTCTAATCGTGCAAGATGAGCAGACTGGGAAGGAGATTGACATCAAGTATGCTTACCCGGATCAAAATTGAAGCGATAGAGAAGAGATTGCTGACCACCTGGATAGTGAGATCGATACATCCTATTATGTCCTCACGGTCGACCTTTGGAATGCCGATGGTACCACCGAAGTAAACCTGGTCAAGCATTCGGCCAACTCGCCTTCGATTTCGACAGCCATGGCATCTTCCTACCCCCCTCCGCCGGCCCAGAACATTTCCCCCGCCTACCCAACCTACGCGCAGAACCCATATGGCCAACCCGTCGGGTACCCGCCGAATAGTTACTATGGAGCTAGTCCTCAGATGTACCAAAATCCGTACCCCAATGCGCAAGCTCCCTACTACCCCTACTACGGAGGCCATGTGCCATCCATGTCCCAGGCCACCCAACCCGCTGCAGGGCCCGGGGGGATGTTCACACGCAATCTGATCGGTGGTCTCAGCGCCAGCGCCTTCCGGCTTACAGACCCCGACAACAAGATTGGTGTGTGGTTTATTATGCAGGATTTGAGTGTACGGACCGAAGGCTCTTTTCGGTATGACGCGGCGCAGTGAACCCTTTTGACTAGTTGGACAGACGCTAACTCTCTGTAGACTCAAGATGAGCTTCACCAACGTCGGAAAAATCTGCCCGGAAACCGGCAGTGTTACCCCGGTGATCAATCACGGCTCTGCCCCGATACTGGCGACTGTATTTTCCGAGCCCTTCCAGGTGTTCTCGGCCAAGAAGTTCCCCGGTGTGATTGAAAGTACGCAGCTTAGCAAATGCTTCGCTTTGCAAGGAATTAAGATCCCAATTCGTAAAGATGGTGTCAAAGGGACCCGTGGCCGGGGTGGAGATGGAGACGACGAAGGTGACGACTACGATTAAGAACTTCCAGAAGCGTCTTTTTTTCTTCTTTTCTTTTTCTTTCCCCCTTTTGTTTCCTTTTTCTCAAACAAAACCATCTCTCTTTCGGTCCATTGCCAGGGCCCAGTGCTTTTTGGGTTTGCGGTGTTTGCGTGGTTTATTCTTTTTCTCATCACGACGGGCGGAAATTGTCTTGCTGAGTTTGTTGCCAGGGGTATGGCTTACCTGACTTTTCGTTTGTGTCTAATGTTACATGCTTTTTACTCCTTGTGTGGAGTTATTCGTGGGCTAGCTTAGCATAATGAACATCCTTTGCAACACGCAATGCTTCATACCAATAACATGAGACCTCGACTCGCGAGTAGCCGCAATAGACAATTCATGTCGATCAGGTCCTTGGGGAATACAACGACTCATATGGTGTATTGTGACTATCCATACAGTAGCATCCTGTGCGCCGTGCGGAGGTTCCGTGCGGAGGATCGTCTTGTTAATGTTAAATGGTCATTCTTCTTCCCCTGGGCGAGTTCCCTGTAGGGCATAACGTCCCCTGACGATCAACGGGATAGTATCGTGGATCCATTGACAAGTCCCTTGCATAGTCAGCAGCATCAAGTTGGAGTATATAAATGTCTTCAATTCTCTTCCACAACCTCATCATCCAGCATCTTCATTCTCATCCAACACACTACTCCAGACTCTATACTCCAAACCAACTCAAACCAGACTCCATCAAAATGCAGTTCAAGGTCCTCGTCACCCTCCTCCCCCTCCTCGCGGCCGCCGTTCCGCTCTCCTCGTTCAGCGACTCCACGGACCCCAACACCGCCGCCATCGAGGACATCCAGGCCCTCAAGAATGACCTGACCAAGCTCGACAACGCCGTCCAGAAGTACGACGGCCAGCTGGCCTCCGCCATGCCCCTGAAGGAGGATGCCACCAACGCCCAGGAGGACGTTGAGAAGGCGATGAAGGATTCCAAGGCGATTACTTCGCTCACCCCCGAGGTGAAGCAGAAGTTGACCTCCGCTATGCGCGAGTTGAAGCCTGAGGCTGAGAGTGCTTTGCAGCACTTGGTTGAGAAGGTATGACCTCGTCCACTTACTACCTGGGGTAGAAATGTGCTAACGAGAATAGGAACCCCAATTCGAGCAGTCCGGCTTGACCCAGCCCATCGGCAGCAGCCTGCAGGACCTCAAGAGCTCCCTGAGCGAGGTCGAGCAGACCTTCTCGTCCCAGGTCTCTGGCCAGGAGGCCCAGGAGCTCACCAAGGCGTCCAAGGATATTGGTGGTGAGCTGGAGAAGGCCATCAAGGCTTTTTCTGCCTAAGTTTGTTTTTTGATTGATTTGGTTTGCTCGGGTGTATAGAGGTGTTTGAGTTGTGCTGTTTTGTTATATATTGGATAGAGGGCATGGTATATATAAGCGAATTCTTTTAATTTAATTGTGATTGCTGGTGCAATCGATGTTTACTTGATCCATTGTGACTTGAGAATCCAACACATTGCATAAATCGCTATTGATCGTTATGGAGTATAAGCAACAGCTTCAGTCCGGAAAGTAACACCTGTTTCGGCTACTAGCAATACGGATACGAATAGGAGTATTAGATGATCCATGTCTTAGATGGGATCGGGCCGCACTCAATAGTCATGTAGCAGTAACGGGATGCGCTCCGTGCGAGAACCCTATCCTAGCACCATGAACCGTTGACAATAGTAAGAGCTGGGTATCTTGGCAGGGTCTTCTGTGGTAAGCCCCCCCTCCCCCGGTTAATATAAATATGTCTCTTTGACCCCAATGACTGTCCATTTGCCAATCAACTTTCTAAAACCATCAATATGCAGCTCAAACCTCTCGTCGCTCTCTTCCTCACCGCACTCCCCGTCGTGACGGCAGCCACTAGTCCCGACACAGCGACAATCAATGATATCTTGAACCTCACAAACGACCTGAAGCAGTTCGACGCCGCTGTCCAGAAATGGGACCTCCAGGAGAATTCCAGTCCCGCACAAACCATGAAGGACCAGGCGAACAAGGCCGTTCAAGACCTCGACCAGACGCTCAAGGACGCAAAGAAGATCGACTCGCTCAGCTCGGATGCCCAGAACAAGCTGGTGTCTGGCATGAAGGAGTTTGCTTCCGTGGCTGGGGATGTTGTTAAGCATATGGCTGAGAAGGTATGCACACCTGGATGAATGGAATAGAGCATTGGACTAACGAGAATAGCAACCTGAATCTGACAAAGGAGATGGATACCGGAGTCTCATGGAGACTTCGAATAAGGCGACCGCTTTATTCTTCAATGAGCTTCAGAATAGCCTCGCGAACAAGATTCCTCAGGAAACCGTGCAGGAATTGTCGGGTCAATTGCAAGGGTTGCAGGATGGGTTGAACAAGGCTATCTAGGTATCTTCTTGATTTCTGGTTTGAATTTTCATGTATCACTAATCGTACACGGTGGAGCTGTACATAGCATATAATATTAATGTAGATATAATATCCTAGTATGACTCAAAACCTTTCAGAGTGCTGGGCCCTGAAAGCTAAGTCTGGTACAACTATGTGCAACCAGGGCACTGAGACTGGACTGTATCTCAATGGCTGCCCACTTTCTTTGAGCTAAACAGCAGCACACCCCTTTATCGCAGTTGCACATGTATCCCTTGACACACTCACACAGCCGTAAGCTGAAAACCATATCCGTTTCAATGGTTGCAGTAATCCATGTAGAGGATGTGACCAACTGGGTGAACGTATAAATAGCCATCCTCAGCCCTTCGTATCCAGACAGCAGACTGACCTCCGTCTCAACTCATCTCAGCCCACAATCCGGCCACAAACACCACCACAATGCAGCTCAAACCCCTCCTCGCTCTATTCCTCACCACCTCCCTCCCGGTCCTCACAGCAGCCCAGCCCCTCTCCGGAGAGACCAACCTTGCCAACCCCGAGCAAGCCATGCAAGACACGTCGGTCTTTTCAACTGACTTGGAAAGACGCGCCGTCCCCGCAGAGCTCACCTCACTCCCACCGGGTGCCATGGAGGTATAGATACACTCCCCTTGTTGTATGTACTGGATTGGACATTGTATTAATGGGAACAGAAACGTCAGCTTGATGGTGAAATTATAGGTCCTCTCATCAAACTCTTGACGAAAGTGCTGAAAGGGTTGGTACAAGGTGGTGGTGGTGGTCTTGAGGTGGAGCCGGAGGAGGTGCGGGTGATGTTGGATGAATTGAAGAAATTGAGGGATGATTCGCACAAGGATACCATGGCTTCTTCCTAAACTTGCTTCTGGATTGATTTAGGTGTATATGATCGTGCGAGTTTGGTTAGGGACTGGTTACATATGCTGTGTACAAAACACATGCAACACTGAACTAGCCAATGGTATTGAATTGAAAAGAATATGAACGGGTATATACATCAGTGTCTCCAAATGCGGATTGCCTTGTCTTTCCCTCCACTGCCGACCTTTTGACCGTCCGGACTCCAATCCACAGCAAACACTTCGTCCCGGTGGCCGGGAAGATCGATCGAGAGTTTCCCTGTCCGGACATTCCACACCTTCAATGTCGTGTCCTTGGACGATGATACGAGGAGACGCGAGTCTGCCGAGAAACAGCACTGGTATACTGCTCCGACGTGGCCGCGGAGGGTAGTGATGAACCTATAGGTCATTAGTATTGAAGGACGGTCAGTAGAATGGGTAAACTTACTTTCCATCACGCCCATTCCACAACTTCACATGGTTGTCAAACCCAGCAGAGGCAATGTATGCCATGTCTGGAGAGAATGTGACGTGGTTGACTTCCTTCTGGTGACCCAGCAACCGCGCGATCGGCTTGTTTGAGCTCTCAGGCTCCCACAGGTACATGGTGAAGTCGTCACTAGCGGACACCAGCTTCTCAACAATCTTGTTGTTGACTGTGGCAGCCTGCTCGAAGCGTTTCTTCGCCGCTGTCACCTTCTCGGACTCCTCCTGCGGCACTTTTCCTGTGTGGTCGTGGTAGGCCGTCCGGAGCGCGAAATCGGTCGAGAGCGCCAAGTGGTTTACCCGATGCGCATGCGCGGAAAGTGTTTGAAGCAACGAGCCATTTGTCGCATTCCACACCTTAATCGTCCGGTCGTGAGAGGCTGTGTAGATCTTCCCTGTTCCACCCCAGCGCACACAAGTCACCGATCCCTTATGGCCAGACAGAACAGTGTCTATCCTCCGCGACACCACATCCCAAATCCGAATCGTCGAGTCCTTCGATGCAGAAGCCAGTCGCGGTGCTCCCGACTGTTGAAGATGGTACGGCTCCCAAGCCAAACTGGTAATCCATTTCGTATGACCCTTCAACGGGCCTCCGAGTGCCTGGCCCTTCTTTGCCTCCCAAATGCGCACTGTATTGTCCATACTTCCCGTCGCAATCATCGCTCCGTTCGGTGAGTAGCTGACCGCCAGCACCCAGCTGGTGTGCCCTTTAAGGGTGTGCATCGGCGTGCCGGTCTCGCAATCCCACACCCGAGCTGTCGAGTCACCGCTTCCAGACACCATTGTAGAGGATGAGACGGGCGAGAACGAGGTCGCGAGGATCGCTTCTCCGTGTCCAGCTATCGAGGCCGAGCATCGCGACACGGCTTTGACTCGAAAGACGGCTTGCGGGGTGAAGTAGAGGGGAACAGTATCTTCGGTCGTCTTCAATCCGGGCTTGAGCAGGGAATGGTAGAGATCCGCCAAAATATCGACCGTCTGGTTGTCTTTGTCGTCTGATTGATATGTGAATCGGTATGGTACTCGCTCATCATCGTCCTGCAGCAGAAAAAATGATTAGTTTTGTCTTGTTGCATCGTCGCACAGCACTTCGCAGCATACCTACATTGCCTTGTAATGTGTTAAGAAGAGTCTCCAAGTTCTTCACCGACGCATCAGCCACCGGAACCGACACCGCAGGACCAGTTGCTGACCCTGTTGCTTGGTCGAAGAATTGCACTCGGATGCTGCCCAGGTCGGCGGGGACGCTTTCAACATCCTGCTGTTGGCGCGCCTTTTCAGTAGCATCCGTTCTTTGACGCTTGGTCGGAGGGGGCAAGAGGGTCGCCATTGTTCTTTATGTAGAATAACTCAATTGGAGCTGTGTTAAGAAGCAATAATTGGGTTGATTGAAGATGATCAAAAAATTGAAGGAAAAATTCCTTATCGGTCCATATCGGCGCTAAACCCGATTAGGTAACCATGCCCTTTATCGACAACACCAGACACTCGTCTCTCCTTCTCTTCCTCTTCTTCCTCTCTAGAGGATTGATTTCATTGAAAGATAGCCTTAAATGGCCTTGTTAATCAAGGATGTCTACATCGTTCTCCAGAGCCTCCTCCTTTGCCCCTCTTACCTCCCGAGTGAGCAGAGTCAGCACGGCCAGGACAGTGAGGCCAGCAACAACAGCAACGAGTGTCGCATCCCAAGATATCATCTGTGCCATCAGTGAGTCTCGCGGGGTGTCAACGTCGGTAGGACTCGCCTTTGTGAATCTCACCACAGCCGAAGCGGTTCTCTGTCAGATTTGTGACAGCCAAACCTATGTCAAGACTATCACCAAGATCGGAGTATTCGAGCCCACAGAGATCCTTTTTATGAATACTTGCAAAGACTCAAAGTTATTCTATATTGTACAAGAGAATCTACCGGATCCAACCTTCACGTTCATCGATCGCAGATACTGGTCAGACAAGGCCAGCCATGAATATGTGAATCGACTCGCTTTTCCAGAGGATGCTGAGTCCATCAAGGTCACGCTGGGTGGAAACTACTTTGCAGCTTGCTGTTTTGCTGCGGTCTGTGGACACTCATCTTTTACGCCGAAACTAGACTAATCCTGTCAGGTCGTCAAGTATGTCGAGCTTGAACTGAATAGGACTTTCGCATCCCGCTCCCTTCGTATCCGATTCGAACCGTCTCAAGGCTCAATGACAATCGATCTATCCACTATATGCTCACTCGAACTCATTCAGAATCTGCAAAACGCAAAATCGAAGGATAGTCTGTTCGGACTTATGAACGAGACCCTCACACCCATGGGCGCCAGACTGCTACGAGCCAACATCCTACAACCTTCTACGGAAAGGTCCAAACTGCTGGCACGGTATGATGCCGTGGAGGATCTGTCTACCAAAGAGGAAATGTTTTTGTCTGTCCGACAAGGTCTGTATACACTGACAATTGTTCCTTCGGTTGCTGATGTCCTGCAGCGCTCAAAGGCTTCGTTGATGCCGACAAAGTTCTGACGTCTGTCAGTATACTGGATGCTATTTGCGGATGTTTCTTGCTAACCCCTAAAGCTCATCCTCGTCCCAACTAAACGGACATTCCAATACGTCGAGCAATCGGTCAACAATGTCATCATGTTGAAGACCTACGTTTCGTCAATAAAATCGATCTACAAGGCCTTGTCTAGTGCTCAGAGCACACTCTTGCTAACAATAAGAGAGGTAATTGCTTCACTATTGCTCACTGCCTCAGACTGACAGATCCAAGCTGTGTGCTCCTGCTGGCCATTCCTCCGTTGAGCAGCTCATTGAAGAGACGCTGAACGAGCATGTGGCATACCAAACTAAGCCCTTGGACTTGAGAAACCAACGTATATACTGTGTCAGGGTATTTACCCCCTGGCCTTTCTGATTTCTACATGCTTACCGGGCCTAGGCTGGCGTGAATAGTCTCCTTGATGTCGCCAGGCAAGCGTACAAAGAAGCCAATATAGATGCCGCCAACCTTGTAACGCAACTAGCAGGTGAGCATGAGCTGCATACCTCACTGGCTACGTACTGACATTCTCTAGAGTCGTCCAATCTTCGGTTGGATCTGAAGTATGATTCCGCTCGCCAATACTACATCGCCATACCGGCCGATGAAGTCGACTCGCTTCCCGACATATTCATCAACGTATACCGCAAGAAGAACCGTATAGAATGTCAGACACTCGACCTCGTCAAGCTCAATCAAAAGATAGTGGATGCACATGATGAAGTGATCAACATGAGCGACCGGACTATTCAAGAGTTGATCCAAGACGTCTGCTCTGAGATCTCCGGCCTCTTCAGGGTAAGTGAGGCGATTGCTATGCTGGACATACTAGCTGCTTTTGCCCATCTCGCTACGTTCTACGACTACATCCGTCCTGAATTGACAGACGTCCTCGCTATCAAATCCAGTCGACACCCCATTCGGGAGAAAATCCATTCCAACAAATTCATACCGAACGATGCATACGCAACGCAGCAGTCGCGCTTCCAAATTATTACGGGCTGCAACATGAGTGGGAAGTCAACATATATACGCTCATTGGCATTAATGACTGTTATGGCACAAACTGGTTGCTATGTCCCAGCGGAGTACGCCTCATTCCCTATCGTCCACCAGCTATTTGCTCGTGTCTCCACGGCCGACGACCTCGAAGCCAACGTGTCAACCTTTGCCGTCGAGATGCGCGAAATGGCCTTCATCTTGCATAACATCAAACCCCGGAGCATGGTAATTGTCGACGAACTTGGTCGCGGTACTAGTGCCACCGACGGCCTGGCCATCGCCATTGCCATCGCAGAGGCACTGGTCGAAAGCAAATCTCTCGTCTGGTTCGTGACGCACTTTCGCGACTTGGCCGTAGTTATGGCGGAACGCAGTGGTGTGGTCAACCTCCATCTCGCAGCAGAGATATCATCCGATGCGTCTAAGATGACTATGCTGTATAAAATCGCAGAGGGGCCTGTGACTAACCAATTCTACGGCCTTACCTTGGCTAAGCTGGTTGATCTACCCCCGGACGTTCTCGACGTTGCGCAAGACGTATCTGAGAAGTTGAACGAGATCGCTGCACGTCGACATGGTAATTCTGGGGCCTTGACCATTGCTCGGAAGCGAAACCTGATTCTGTCTCTGAGGGAGCAGCTCTACCAAGCTCGCAATGGGACCCTTGAGGGTGAGGCTCTGAGGAAATGGCTAAAGAAGCTACATGATGACTTTCTGCTGCGCATGGCGAGTATTGACGATGAACTTGATGTTTCCAGTGATACAGAACAAGATGATATTATTGAAGAAGATTACCAAGATGATGATTCTCAGGAGGGCAGCCAGACTGCGACAGAACTTACTGACGATAGCTCATCAACTATTTCCACTGGACAGCCTGATACTCATGACACCGCAACAGAGCAAACTGCTCCTTCACTGGCTGGGGAAGGATCTATTCTCATGGCCTCTTCACAGGAAATACCCGAGACTAGCCCTGCTCCTGAGTCGCTAGAGCTCGTCTAGCATCTGCTGTATGCGCACGATGATATCCAGAACTTTGAACCGTTTCTGACAGTTATATTCCATGAGCAACGAACATTTGTATGAGTTATGATCATAGATAGAATTGTCCACAGACCATTGAATGACAATATACCATTTTTCCACTGCGTCAGCTGAACATAGAACCTTTCCAAATTTATTCTACCGAAACAAAAAGTACAGGATCGTATCTACTTTTAAACTCCATTCATAGCTACAAGTAAACACGCCAACGAGCAGGACAAAAAAAGAAAGGAAGGAAGCCATCTATCCAAAATGGAACAACGTCTGCTTCCCCTTCTTCCCCTTACCCTTCTTCCCACCACTGCCGCCAGACGTTTCCCCAAAATCATCCATCATCTCTGAAGATTCACCCCCCGAAGCCCAAGCATTCGAAGCTGGGCGGGCCTCGCCCCACCGGACAGTCCCGCGTGTCAGACCGGCCATCAGAACATTGGGCTTCGGAGCCGCGGGAAGAGCGGGGAATGCGTCGGAGGGTCTTGCGTTTGAGGCGCGAGAAGACGATGCGGTTGGAGTAGAAGAGCCGCTAGCACGGGGGGAGGGACGGGTAGATGAGGGGAGGCTGGGGAAGGAAGATGGCGAGGGGGCTGCTGCTGTTCCCCAGGCCGTGGTTGCGTTGTTGCGCGCAGGAGGGCGGGAAGAGGACGAAGACGCGGAGGAGAGAGGGGGAAATGCGGTGGCTGATGAGGCGGAGGAGGGGAGCGCGCCACTACGGCCCACTGCTGATCGGGAAGATTGTGCAGTGGACGATTTTAAGCGAAGTACACGGCTTCCTCCCGCTCCACTGCCGTTGACAGTGTCTGGCGACATGCCCGGTAGTAACCCGCCCGGTCCTGGTAGAGCTGGATAGTCCTCGTTAATAGCACGCCAATCGTTCCAGGCTTTCAGTAATGTGGTACGCTTTGAATCTTCTTCATAGATATCTGCGAGCTCCTTTATGAGCTTGCCCAGTTCGGAGCTTGTGGTGTCAAACAAGGAGAAGAAAGCATCGATCAGTTCAGTGGCGGAGATGAGGGAGGTGCGATAGTTGGAGACTCTGGTGCGGAATTCGCCCAGCTTGGTCTGGTCATTGCGCAGGAGGTTCGAGGCACGTTCAATCACTGCCGTATGGCGCAGACGGCGTGCTTGCTCTTGCGGAGTGGCCGGAGTCGAGTCAGCCACAAGATTGAGGCTTTGCAATTCGGAAACTGGCGGAGATTGTGCTGGTGGACTGCGGGCAGGTGTGGCATTCCCCGAGCGCGGAGGAGCGCGCACCTGCTGCGTATCATTGCGAGTGAGCTGTCCACCAAAGCTACGGGTTGAGACCGACTGCGCACTCTGGATCGCCACCTGTCGCTGGTACGCGATCTGGTCCCGTCGCAAAGGTTGGGCACTGGACGCCGGGAGTGGTTCTGCATTCGGGTCGCGGCCCCGGCCTGCACCACGACGCTGTCGCTGGGGTTGGTAGGGCGCTCTGAAGTCAAATGCAGAAAGATCCACAGTGCGAGCGTCTCGCCTTGCGTCCTTGGATAGCCCATTGGGATGGGATTCCAGTTGATGACCCTTCAGATCCATCTGAGACTCGAACACGACGAACTTCTTATCCAAGCACTCCTGGTCCAGGCACAGGTGGTGGTCTTTCTGAAAATGGTCCTCGAGCGCGGTATAATCGACGTAATACTGCTGTTGGCGATGTCCGGATTGTCGATCGCAGATGTGGCATCGCTCATGCTTGTCACGGCAGTGTGTATACAGTTCGTCATCTCCGTAGAATCGCTGGCGACAGAAACCACATTCAGGGTGACCTCTGAAACCGCTCTGGTCAATGGCACCGGGGACGTCGTCTCCGTATTTTTCGTGTTTCCGCAACTCCGCCATGGTAAAGAGTTCGTGCTCGTGGGTGAAGACCTTCTTGTTTCGAGTACATAGATCACTGCATCACAACAGCCACTTAATATGCGGTCTCGCAAATGAAACCCAGAGATTGGACAGACAAGAGATAACTTACCACATCACTTTCCCATGCTTGCTCTTGGTATGTCGATGCAAGTCCGGCCATCCCAAGCAAGCCGCGTCACAGTCCGTATCAGGACAATTGTACCGTAGCAACAAAACCGTATCCTCGAAGATCTCATCATTTTCGTACTCAATCCCAAGGTTATCGTCCTTCCGAGAGAAGTCGTTGCTAACGAACTGGTCGAAATCCTTCGTCGGGTCATCCGTGAAAATCACATAGTTGGATTCCGTCTAGATGGAAGAGTCAGTTAGCCATGCTGCCAGAGTTCCCTTCGTAAAAGCGCAACATACCCGGCAGTGTGCACAGGCCTTGTTCTTGTACAAAGCCCGAAGTCTCAACGCACATATATGACAGGTCCGGTGATTGCAGGGCGAGACGGAGGTGTGCGTCACATCAGATGCGCAAATAAAGCAGATTTCACCGTCATCTGCATCGTCGGTGGCTTCCGGAACCTTCTTCGGCTTTTCTTCGCCCTCAGCAGGCGCATGGGCTACGGCACCTTGGGACGCATTGGTATTGCGGTTGCGATCCCCTCCTCCACGTCCCCCGCGGCCTCTGCCCCGATAACCCCTAAACGCGCCGACGTTAGAATCCCGTTGAGACTCAGCCTGCCCCTTCTGGTTCGCACCTCCTCGTCCGCGTCGACGACCACCACGGTTCTGGCCTTGCGATCCGGCGGGAGCCTGGGGCGGTTGGGAGTCGGCCATTGGGGGGCGGGATTGGTCGGAGTCGGGTCGGGTTTCTCAAGCGACGAGGTCGAAGGAGGATGGGACGAATTCAGTCCAGGAAAAGGGAGTTGCTGGGGATCGTTTAATAGAGCCCAAATCTCTTCTTTCTCGTGTCTTCACTCGTTGCGATGATTCGTTGTTCGTTGTCGCAAGTATGGTAGAGAGAAGATTCTCTTTCCAAGGCGGCGGGCAGGCAGCACGTGAGTAGTGTTGTTGCCTGATAAGGCATCACTAGCAAATACATATCGCTGGCTAGCAACAAGTCGTGAAAAATCAAACCATTCATTCATCATTCAATTCAATTCAAGTACAATGGCATTTGTTTTCCCTTTCTTTTTTTAAAGAGACGTCTGCCGATATGCAGTCATCTCCGATCCGGATCGGAGTCCTGGAAGCTGCTTCGGAGATATCGACGGCAGCCCTAATCATATTACTATACTGATTGCTGGAGGGCGTGTATGTTTCGGAGTATAGGAAAACATGTGCTTCTGCGGTGCTTCAAGACCACAACCAGTATTTTAAATAGATGCCCAGGAACCGAGTTGGTAAGAGTGACATAAAAAGGCATACACCTAGAATGGCCATCCTGATCTGATTGATCCGGAGCACTCCCTGTTGACGAGGAGCTAATAACCGGCCCGTTCAGGCAAACTAGCTACTTTTCTCTCATTGTCTGCGTGAGCGAGGGGGGGTTGAATGGAATTTTGGCCGCTTTCAATCACAGCATCAGCGTATATGTGTACGCAGTGGCGGGAAAACTGATAAAAAATTTCACCAAAATTCGAGACATTGAAAGGATGATTTTGGCTTCCCAGGCGACATGGCCCTAGAACACCAATTAGGATGGTGGTGCGTTGTTCAATATGCTGTCCCAGAACTCCTGCGGAATATTTAGTAAATGTCACAATATCCAGAAGCGGGAAGAGGTCTTGTTACCCAGTTTATAGACTCCGGATTTAGCCATTGCACGCCGTCAATCCAGTCGTCAAAGGTAGCTCCGAAGTTGTAGTCAACCGAGTTGGGTTGTCGGAATTGTTCAGTGGACAGCAATGATCTAGTAAAGCCGGATCAGTATTCATCCATCAGGGTTCCCAAGCCCGGATATATACTCACTGGAGGTGTCGAAGAATGGGACAGGCCTTGATACATATCTGGCTTTTACTTTGAAGGCTATCGAAACGCGCCACGGCTGCAACGAACATGGAGTAGTACGAAGATTCATGCGCATCGTGCTCATCCAGCAAGCATGATGCCAGCGCCATGGCTCCATGGATGGCATAAAAGCTTACCAAGCCATAGACAAACCAACGGTAATGTCGCAGGCGCGGAAGATCGCAGAACTGGCGATGGATATCCAATAAAGCAGCACCGGAACTAATGCATTTCACTCTAGACGTTGGTCGAAAACAGGGGCCACGCGGTTTGCAGAACGGTCGGTGTATAAGTAGGTATAGTTGATGCGCATACAATTGCAAGATGCACCAATGAGCATAGCTTGAAGTATCCAAGATACTAGGCGACCCATCCAGAAGAAATACTGTGTCCCAGCTCTGCTGCTGCTCAAAGATAAGGCTATCGAAATGATCAAGCGTAGCTTCGTCGAGCCTTGAGTTACCTGAGAGACGGTGGCAGATCTTGCTGGATAGCTGAAACATTCGAAATTTGAACTTCATGACAGACATCTGGGTCGGTTTGCTAGATGGCGGTAGGATAGCATCATCTCTGATATCGACATCGTTGACATCCGCCGGCATTGTGGCTTCAGTATTAAGCAAAAGAGACATGTTAACATCTCGGAATGAGATAGCCTGGTAAGTGTGCAGCATCAAGATACCCGCCCAACAACGACGACGCCGTTCGATATCAATACAGCTGAGCTGCGCATGGTTGGTGTCAGTATTGCACTGTAATGCAATGCCTATGTTCAATGCGATCCCTGTTCGGCAGTATCTTAGTTATGCATCTCGGCCGTGAATTCCATTAGCAAACACTCACCTAGCAATGTCCAGGCATGCTCAACGGCCTCAATGTTACTAATCGTATATATCAATACCAGAAGAGCTTCAAGTGTGTTGATATTGTGACGGATTAAGAATTGATCCTGCGACAGGCAGATCAACGCAGCAGCTCTTAGCTTGTAAGATATCGAGGATATGTCGTGAGAATCGGACACCGTAGGATGAATATCGACTAGCGCAATCTCATCCTTTTCCATACTCTTCAAAGTCGCGGAGCAGATCAAGAACAATAGCGCCATCCAGGAAAGGTCCGCACCGGACGGATCCTGCTTGAACGAATCGTATTGCTTCTGAAACGTCGGCCCATGTAAAATATGGAACAGGGGCGACAGGCGCAGGAAATATTGTGTAATTAGATACTCGCAAGCATGGAAGGACGGCAACATAGCCAAGATCTCGCTCTTTGACACTTTAGGACCTAAAGAAAACGGAAAGCAGAGGTTACCTGGAAGTGAAAAAGGGTCATGTTGCGGCGATGACTGTTGACGCATTTGATCTATCGGCCGCTGCAAAAGAGCGTCCCAATGAGCATGACTATACTCTTGGTAGTCATGGTCGTGGGTCAATGAGTTCGTCGTTTGAATTGGCGTGCGGTGGAATCTGTTCGGGCCCGGGGCCGACGACAGAGACTCTGGGCTGGCCAGACCTTGAGAATCTCTTGAACCAGGACGTCGTACGGCCTCAGGTGATGCCAGCCTCCCCGCATCCGCCTTGTCCTTACGGGGACCTTCATAAACACAGGATTTGATACACTCTCGCCGTTTGCACGAGGCACAGGGCTGCTGTCGGTCGCACTTCAGCTTGGATTTTCGACATGGATGACAACTAATAGGTTTCCTTGGCCGGCGATTGAATGTACGGGTCCGTGACTTGTTATTACCATTGCTAGGCGTTGAATTGGCGCCTGAAACTGGAATCTCCGGAGGTGGAGGAGCAGGTACGGCAGGTCCACCCGCGCCTATGCTAGGGACCGGTGCTTCAGGCATGATCTCGGCCCCTCGGGGAAATGAAATACAATAATTCAGCGTTAATGTGAATAGGTTGAAGACCCCGAGAAGCTTTCCCGCAGAGAGGAGTAGGTTTATGTCCAACGCATTCGGAGTTGACGTTGTCCACGTGAGATATCCCCGCCACTTATCTCCGAGCACCCTCTCTTGCTCCTATCTTCGCCACATCTCTCTACTAACTAGAGATACGTCATTAAGAGAATCATTTGGATGCTATTCTGAAGAGATTCTACATGTGTTTGATACATGCCAACGGTCTTTGCGACATGACTCCCTAAATCGTGGGGAAGAAGGCGAACTTGAATTGGTTATGGCCAACTATGTAACTAGTTATATTGGTATATAATACTTATCAAGGAACAACTCGATCCATCGAATCATGACGGTATAAAAATGGCGAATATGGCGTACAGGCTCACGCAGCTCTTGAACCCCCAGTCCCTCGACGAAAAGAGTGGTCAGGACGACAAGGACAATGAGGACGAGTGCAGCTAGAAACCTGACCAGAAACCCCGTGCTGCTTCTGGAGGTGGATTCATTCAATTTCAGTGACACGCTGTGTCTTTGCTCTTCCAAACCTTCATCATCCTGTTTACCTAGTCAAGCGAAATACCGTATCAGACGCGAAACCCCCTCAATATTCTCATACGCCTGCCAATGGCCAGTGCATCGCAGAACCTCCATGCGGGAATCGGGAAGACGTTCGTGGAGGTCCGTCACAACATTCACAGGGGAGGTCTTGTCTTCATCGCCGGTCATCAGGAGAACCGGCATTGTCAACTTCTCAACCGCCATTGGGGACGCTGTCGCGATTGCCGTGCACGCCTTTGCGTATCCCTCGGGATTGGTGGAAAGAAGCGACGCACGAACCGCGGCATATGCAACAGGTTGGTACACCTTTGTGGCATTGGATGTTCCGGCTTCGCTGACGGCGTCCGCTGTTCCAGAGGCCATCATACCCATTGCACGAACGGCAGCGGCACGCTTGCTCATCGCGACCTTGCCAGCTTCGGGGAGAGGACATGGCGGTGGTCCCATAAGAACAATCTTCTTGACTTTGCTGGTGTCGCGAAGAGTAAAAGCCATGGCGATGAGGCAGCCCAGTGAATGAGCGAACAGAGTGATTGAACTGGCTCCGGTCAATGCAACCACATTGGCAAGATCGTCGGCAAAGCTCTCGATGTTGACGATTGACGCAACATTGGTCGCCGAAAGTCCATGACCCTCAAGATCATAAACATAACTTGTGTAATGATCTTCGAAGCCTCCGCTTTTAATGATTGGCGTGTAATATTCACTTGAAGCACCGAGTCCGTGGACGAACACAGCGATATCCGGCCCTGTTCCAATTTTACGGACGTTCATTTGTTTCCCATCAAGACACATCAGTCCGGAACCACCAACTGTGCGTTCAATGTTGAGATTGGCCAAGTGACTTTCAAGAGGAACACGCTTAGCAACAGCGTTCTCTGATGACGGATTCGCAATGCGGTTTTCAAGAGAACCGAGCCCGGTGACAGATACCTCAACTGTAGATCGAATTACCTTATTAGTTCACACCTTTGGACAGACAAAGACACGTTTGTGTTTGGGATAACTCACCCTTGTCCCCCGGCTTGAGAAACTTGGCCGGGTTCTTGCCAATACCAACACCGGCAGGAGTGCCGGTAGCGATGACATCTCCGGGCCTGATCGTCCCACCCTCGGAAATAACAGAGATCAGCTTCGCAGCAGAGAAGATGAGATCATCTGTGGTAGCATCCTGGCGTTTCTCCCCGTTTACAAATGTCTGCACGCGTAGCTTCTTCGGGAGCTGACCAGCCGGGACAGCAATCGGACCCTGAGGGAGTGTCAGAATGCACATTGGATTCTCGATTCAGCTATCTGAAATTCTTACCATCGGGCAGAATGTGTCTGCTGATTTCCCAAGGTAGAACTGCTTGTGGTCTCTCTGTCGTTCACGAGCCGTCATATCTATAGGTCGGTATTAGCGCGTGCCATTAAGAGATTTGCCAATTTTCGGGCTGGCTGTGCTCACCGTTGATAATGGTATAACCCCATACATAGTCCATGGCATTCCCTTCGTCAATCCGGAACCCAGACTTCCCAATAATAACACCTATCTCACCCTCATAGTCCAAGGTTCCCGTGAACTCCGTATGAGGATAAATCTCATTACCGCAGGCAACAATGCTCGTGGACCTCTTGGTGAAAATAACCGGATGAGTTGCTATGAGGGTCAGCTTTGCGTCAACATGGCAGAAGCTAAGAGCGCTCACGTTGGTCGATCTTATCACTCGAGTCGAATCCACTCCGGTTGAACTCAACGGCATGGTCAACATAGTTCTTGCCCACGGCCAGAATATCACGGTCGTTCAGCGGTGCCTGGATGGTGAGCCCAGCGAGAGGAACAGGGTCACCGCATGGGACGACTGCGTTCTCCAGTTCAATCACTTGGTAAAGTGAACCGACTGGTGCGCCAGAGAGCATTGCCAACGGAGTAACCATGGAATTTTCCAGATCAAGATGACCGACATGAGACTTTTGCTGATCATCAAGATAGCATACATAGTTGCTGAACTTGTTGCTGGGTTGCCATATGGGCTCCTCGATCTGGGCAGGTCTTGAGAGCTCAAAGTCCCTGGGCGATGCCTTGTGGATCCTGCCATTGATCATAATGACATTGAGCTTTTCATGATCTTGGAGAACGGAGATATCCTTCAGAGGATCCCCGTCTACCAAGATCATGTCCGCATAGTAGCCAGGCTGGACTTTGCCAAGTTCCTGGTCCTGCATGAATAGTCTGGCAACTCCAGCGGTGGCCGAGATTATTGCCTCCATGGGAGTGAAGTCTAGCATCTTGACGAAATGTTCCAGGTCCCTGGAGTATGTGCCATGGGGTGTCCAAGCAAAGCCGTAATCACCGCCTCTAGTGATTGATGTTAGCTGCATTTCGAAGGGCAACCTGTAGAAGAACAGGAGACGTACGGCAAGACGGTGATTCCTCTTTGGTGCATTTCCTTGCAAGCCTTGATGGCAATGTCGAGCTCTTTCTTGTACCCATCTTGCTCAGCCTTATCAAAGGAATAGCCAAATGGACCTGCATCATATGTAGTTGCGTATAGCCAGTTCAAGGCCGGAGCAACAACATGACGATGCTTATTCTTCTCCAACTCATCCATGGTGGCTTCGTCAATGTAGCTGGCATGGTAGATGACATCGACACCATGTCGCACACATTGAGCGACGGAATCACGAGCTCGGGCATGGGAACAGACCCTGGTTACCGATCTTTAGCAATGATTGACGGAGTATAACGAGCGGACCTCTTACCGTAAGCCAAGACGATGTGCTTCGTCCACACATGCTGCTGTTTCCGTTTCACTGAAGTAGCTGTCTTCCGCGGCACGATCCTCCAGGATCTAATCAATCGTCAGTCAAAGGTCAAGACATAGTCCGGGATTATCTCTTACCTCTTCGCCTGACATGCTCAGCTTGATCTGGTCCACTCCCAGAGAAGCGTGATGTCGGATAACCTCCCGCATCTCGAGAGGTCCATCAGCAAATGTAGTAATCCCCGTGGTGAGCTCTTTCCCTCGACGGGCAATCTCTTTCCCATTTGCGAGGTAACGCGGACCAGGGATGCTCCCGTGGTTGATCGCATCGCGGACAACGCAATCGAGGCGATCCTTCGCTGAAGCTGCACCGTAGCACCTTGTCGACGAAATAGGACATCAGTAGATTTAAGGGTAGGAAGGATGGACAGGAGACGTACATGGTATATCCCGAATCCAGATAAATCATCGCAGACCGAGCAGTGCTGATGGTATGTTCTTCCACCCCAATCGCGCCAAGGTTATCTGTTATCCATCTCATAAGCATATACTTTAGCCATATAATCATGCGATGTTGTTACCGAGAGCCGTCCCATTCCACGTGAAATGAGTGTGTGCATCGCCTAGACCGGATATGAGGGTTCTACCGTTGCCCTGGATCACTCGAACCGTAGGATCGTTGCGTAGCGTCTCGACGTTTGGCACATTTCCAACATAGCGAATCCGCTCTCCTATTCAAATTATAAGCTTCTGCGATATGGTAAAGTAGGCGTAGCAATACCTTGCACGTAGACATCGCCGTGGTACGGTTCGGCTCCGGTAGAATCTATACTATAGCCAGGAAAGATATTAGTTGGGATACTGGTATGTATGTGCTGGATAGAGGTGAGACTTACATTTGGACGTTGAGGAACAATATCTTGGAGGTAGACGGTGTCTCTAGATAGGACGGTGAGTTACTAGACGATATGTTTCTTAGTCTCGTGTCTACTTACCCACCATGTGATGCGCACGAGGTTCCAACGCAGGATCAAAGTGAACATCGTCATGAGGAGAGAGCTTCCGTGTCGGCAATGGACTTCCCCAGTCAGCAATGGTCCTGTTTGGGTACTTCGAGCCACGGCTGGCTCCATTGACATATGGTAAGGACATGCTCATTGCAGAGGCCATATGAATCGAGAGTAAGGGGTAATGAGAAGCTAATAATTCAGTCTCTCAGAAATCAGAGACACAGAAAGAATGGGGTCAGAGAATGAGGCCGCATTTATAATAGATGAGCATCAAGCGCCGGAAGCTCAGTCAGGGCTACGCACTCACTTCTTTCCCCGCATGAATGAAAAGTAACTCCGTACGAAGATCGACTATCCGAACGTATCATTGTCATACAACTTTGAATTCAAGTCATTGGGTGAGTTGGTCGTCGGAATCATCGCTCGGAGATGTCGGAGATGTCTGGAGACCTTACGTTTAGGTGCAACATTAGTACGTACGAGTTGAGGGGAAGAAAGAGACTACGAGACCCCCTCATTGTTTGTCGATATTCATACCTTTTTGTCCCAGGTTGCGTTTCTACATTGAGTCTCACAATGGACTTCCGGGTACAACAAACACCAAGCTTCGGCTTGACATCTTTTCCAAAGAGTAATGATGTCTTAACAACAATGCATGTTGAATACGCCACTATATCGCCTCCTTCTAGCCAGAATGACAGAAACCATCCGCGTGATCGGAAGCACCATAAACAAGCATCGAACGGTCTACCATTTATCTCGACCGGCGAAGTCCAGAATGCAGATGGCAGGGATGGGTCTCCCATGTGTTAGTTACCGTACCCGGCATTCTATTTTATGTATATTATTCTTATAAGAAATAATAGGGATTGTGATCGATGACATTGTTTACGACGTGACCGACTTCGCAAAGCGGCATCCTGGCGGACAGGCACCTTTACGGAACTTGAGCGGCAAGTCTTGTTCCTGTGAGTACTTGACGCACATGCTAAATGTCAACTTTACTGAGAGATACTTGTCTCGCAGGGCAATTCCACAAAATTCATTCCAAAAGCACCCTGGAATCACTAGGAGCGGAACTTCGCGTAGGCCGAACAAGCAACGTTCCGAACCCCTACAAAGAGCCGAAGCCGACTTTTATCCGACAGCTCTGGAAACCTTTATTTTTAGCTTGAATTGAGATATCATAGCGTCGTGGCGTGGCAATTCCTGTATCAAAGCATTTCGGAGACATCTTTCGGAGATGACTATGTCCCCGCACGGAATCCGGGGTAAACCTGGGGTATTGCCGGTTGTCCGGTAAATTTAATTGACCGTTGTGGACATCAAGTATGCATATCTTCTTCCTCCGATTGTTTTCTTAAATTGGGCTCGAAGGTGGGGGAGGGGCTTCGGAGATGAGAATTGTGGTTTCGTAGAGTATTTAATTCCAACCCCAGCCCCCTAGTGGCAGAGAAGAGCTTGGACAATTCTATTCCACGCTTCAAACTGACAATGGCATCCCCCTTGACCAACTACATCGCCTTTGTGCGTCCTGACCTTAAAGTCCCGCGCATCGGTCACCTCAATTGGGACGATACCACCATCCAACCTCTCTCCTTTGCCTCTGGCACGCCGCTAGAAAGCCTATACCAAGTTATCCAAGCAGGACAGGAAAACCTCAAACCAACCGGTCGTCCTATCCCCCTCAACACCGTCCAAATTCTCCCTCCGATCAGCGGCCGGGATATCCTAGCAGTTGGAAAGAACTATGCAGAGCATGCCGTCGAGTTCAACAAGTCCGGATATGACAGCTCCGATAAAGTTGACCAGCCGACACATCCTGTCCTGTTTACCAAGCGTGCGACTTCCATCGTGGGTCATGGACATCCCATTGCCCTCCATCGGAACTTTACGCAGACGCTGGATTATGAGGGAGAGCTGGGCGTGATTATTGGGAAGGCTGGCTTCGATGTTAGAAAGGAAAACGCCATGGAGTATGTCTGGGGATATACTATTATCAATGATGTGACAGCTAGAGAACGGCAACGTGATCACAAACAGTTCTTCATTGGCAAGTCCGGTGATACTTATTGCCCAATGGTGAGTATTGCTTTTCCATTTCAGGTATGAATCAATAAGACTTACGGGATCCTTTAGGGACCGGTTGCCGTACCCTCGAGCAAGCTTCCGGATGTCCTCACCGTCCAAACCTTTGTCAATGGTCAAGAGAGACAGAACGCAACCACCAACGATTTGATCTTCTCTGTCCCTACTCTGATCGAAACTGTCTCACGCGGCACGACGATTCAACCGGGAGATGTCATTGCTACCGGAACTGTATGTCATACTCCCATGTATCGACCTACATAATACTGACAACAGTGATAAACAGCCAGCGGGAGTCGGCTTTGGACAGAAACCCCCCGTGTTCCTTAATCCCGGAGACGAAGTCACGGTGTCCATCTCCGGCCTGGGCCAACTCAAAAACGAGATCATAGAAAGAGACCCGCTTACATCGCTGGCACCCGCTCCCAGTGACCTGACACTGCCATCCAACAACGCTTCCAAAGCCATCACCGGCGGCTGTCTGACCCAGATCAATGGCAAGCCACTCTACTACAAGAAGCATGGCACCGGGGGTAGCCCGATTGTGTTCGTGCACGGCTTGGGCGGCTCATCGGAATTCTACACGTCGTTGATTAACTCCCTTGGTCTCGACAAGTCGCATGAGCTGCACCTCGCTGATCTGGAAGGACATGGGCTATCACCAACATCTCCTTTGTCCGTCATCAGCATTGAATCCCTTGCCAGTGATCTAGCCGGCGTCTTCGACGTCGCTGGCCTCTCATCTACTTCGGGTACAACACTGGTAGCTCACTCAATGGGCTGTCTCGTGGCCTTGCAATTCGCCATCAAACATCCCGACCTAGTCCACAAACTCATTCTCCTCGGTCCAGCACCCAACCCTCTACCGGACCCCGCGGTCAATGCATTCAACGACCGCGCGGAGCTAGTCCGCGAGAAAGGTATACTTGCAGTAGTCGATGCGGTTTGCGCATCTGGCACTTCTACCAGAACGAAAGCGTCTGGCGTTGGACTCACGGCTGTTCGACTCTCGCTGCTCGCGACTGAGCCCGAGTCTTACGCAAAGGCGTGTATGGCTTTGGCTGCGAGTAAGCCGTTACCTGTCGAATTTATTAAGTGCGAGACTTTGATAATCACCGGTGACGAGGACAAAGTTAGTCCTCCGGCTTTGTGTACTTCTTATTCTCAGAGGATTTCTCAGAGCTTGCCGCCGATTGTCCTCAAGGATGTCGGGCATTGGCATGTATTTGAAGATGTGGATGGAGTTGCCACTGCTGTGCAAAGTTTTTTTGTAAAGATAAAAGATTTAGAATTAGATAGATAGAATGACACTATTATGGTGTATGTCGGAGTGGCATGCTAGTCGAAGATCTAGTCGGAGTTATGGTATTAGGAGAACTTTGCACATCTTCGCGTGACTCGAAGACGACAAGAGAATAAATAGACCACTTCCAATAATCCACATTGGTGATTCGTCCTATAAATCGTGTCTAAGAAGAAGCAGACATTTTTTTTTTTTTTTGAGGTGTTGGTGCAGTACAAGGTGCTTTCAGGAAGCAAAGAACTACGGCCGGAATGCTTCCGCTGACAAACATATTCCACGCTATAAAAGCAAATTAACTATTGATAGCTAAACTGTATGAATAAGAAATTATCCATCCTAAAAAGCAATAAAGAACTCGATCAGTATCTTCTTCCTTGCAATGCAAGGGCAGCACCAACTCCCGCTGGAGAAAAAATGAGAAAAAGAAAATCGACAAAAGAAACGAAATACATATACTCGGATAATGAATGGACACTGAATGTAGACAGACAAAGCAATGAAGAATGAGGAGATTGAACGGCTTGACGAATAGATGGCGCCCCCGGACTTATGCAGTGAACAGTGCTGAAAAGGGAATATCGAACGTCATAAATGCAGTAGGGCAGGCTGAACTACCCAGCTTTAAACGAAAAAAAGTAGACATATCGTCATGGAGTCCCCAGATATGTGGACTAATCGTCTGGGCTGTACAGGTTTTGATTGAGAATTTTGGTCATGGCGAACATGTGTATCCGATCCTGCTTGAAGACGGCACGCATTCCATCGTCACATAGGATGTGGCGTCGGTCACTGGGGTCTTGAAGCTCATGTTTGTGAATATGCTCCCACATTTTCTTGACCGTTTGAGGTCGCGATAGCTATTTGCCAGTTAGTACGTGTTGGCGGGAAATAGTGCGAGATTGAGAAATGTCAACAGAGACATACAATTTCTTCATTCAGAAGAGACGAGAGTGCAGGCGAAAGTGCCATTGGTGCCTTTAGACCCGTTAGCGTCAATCAGCCCCTGGGGGACATGGCTAGACATACGTGAAATCCGCCAGACCGTTTGACCTCCTTCTTGCCCGACTCGGACCCCGAACCAACATCCGAATCATCCTCTACCTTGACCTTCTTGGACGTCTTTGTCTTGGGCTTAGGCTTGGTTTTCTTCTTCACAGGCGCCGCTCTCCGTGTGCTGGCACCTCGGGTGGGCCGGGCACGCAAATTTTCTTCGGCTTGTAATTTGGCCGCAAAGAGGGCATCTGCGTCGATATCGTGATCCGGCTTCTGTTTCTTGGCCGGCGGGGATGCGTCATCTAGGCTATCTGCTGGTTCTTCGCTTTCTGCTGCGCGTTTCTGTGGTGACGCAGAGAGCGTGGAGGGCGAAGGTTCGGCAGGCGTGGCTGAGCCGCCGCTGTTATCGTGGCCGTTGGTCGTCGATTCGGCCGACTTATCCCCATCCCCAGAAGCATTTATCCCATCCTGGTCCGCGAAAATGTCGAATCGTTCCATGATAAGCTGCTTGATCGCAGCCTAGGGGTAAGAGTTAGCATAGGCTCCACTAGGGCTTCCATCTTCACAAAGTATATCTATGCGAAAAGCCGCCGACAGACCTTCTGCGGTGTGAGATCATGGCCGACGGCATCCTGGAGGCCTCTGCGGATGCGCTTTTCGGAGATGGTGTTCAGGTCACTTTGGGCCAGAATGGAGTCGATGACCTGAATATACTGTTCGCGAGTCTCCGGGGGAACTGCCAAGGAGGCGAAGAAAGCAGGTCAGCACGAAGTTCGGCAAATAAAGGTAAGGTGCCATGGAGCAAGCCAAGCTTACGCGACATCCTGTCCAAGTATACGGTCCCCTTCCCTGAGCAAAAGCAAACAATTGCACTGGCACCAATGCGAAGATGCCCCGAATATGCCGAAAAAGCAAGTTCTGCAACGAGCACAAGAATATCCCAATAACCAAATTCGAGCTGTCAAAAGGTACGGTGACCACTGGGTATATCGCTGGGCGCTTAGGACCGGCGGGGCATGAGATCTCCAGGAAACGCGCGACAGGAACGGACGATAGAAGCAGGCGATATTAAAAGGAGCCCAAACAAAGACAACAACAGAGACAACCGGAGGACAACGAGTAGTTGGGAGTACCGGCAGCAGTGAAGAGCAAAAGCGAAGTGTCTCTGGTCTGTTTTCCCTTCCCTTCAGAGCTCAGACAGGTATATGCATCGCTACGTCTGATCTTCCGATCTGGAGAGCAACTCATGATGCCGTGCTTATGTAAAGAATGCGGGCGGCCGGGGAAGTTGTCACACGTGACACGCGTGGCTGGACAGTTACTAGTAGCTGTTTACTACGGAGTACGGAGTATACGGGCTGTACAGAGTATTATGGCTAGGTATCTAGTAGTGCTGCTGGGTGGCAGGCCCGACAGGGTACGGAGTAACTGCGGAGGGTAAGCAGACAAGTTTTCTACGCCGCAGAATCCCCTGTAAGGCATTCTCCTATTACCTTCATAACACCGGAAAATAACCATCTGCAATGGCGATCCTATTCCCTGCAACAGTACGGAGTAGAAACAGGCCCAGGTGTCTGTCACTACGGGTTGCCTGCCCGTCTCCCGTCCCGAATGGTATCTTAACCCATACTCCTGCAAGATTCCAGTATCCAACGCTATCAATTCAAGTCGGTCCATGGGGCACGTTCGCAAGGGATAGATGTCAGTGGTGGCTGGTGTTTATCGATCAGAGTAAAATTCTGAACTGTAGCGGGAACTCGAGCAGTCTCTCAACGGGTGTGACAGGCGTAACGACGCAGATCCATCTATCTGCTCATGGGGCTTCCTCGATCATGGTATTTTCGGTTCTGATAATTGTGCTCTCGTCTGATGTACTTTGTATATAACAGCAAAATTCGTATGTACTCCGTAGGTAGGTGTTATCAAAAGGTGCGGTTGTCAAGCGGTCGTCAGGGACACTCGGGCTGTCATAGCTTTTTTGATTAGATTGGTTCTTTGGTAAGTAAGAGTTCTTTGGCAAATGCGGCAACGGAAATAAGAATCATAATCCAAAATGAGTGTCTAATACTCAGTAGCATAGAGTTGAATCCCTTGAAATGGTAGTCAACTAGAGGGACCGAGTTCGGGCTGAGTCATCCCTGAGTCAGCCGCAATCGCACACAGGACTGGAATTGTTCGCTTTTGCCCTAAACCGGGGAGCGGCGACCAGCAAAGCAAAGCCAGACTCTTTCATTCGCATTCCCCGTCAAAAAGGCCCTTTTTTTGCGCAGCCCGCGGTCCGCTAAGATGGCGCCCAGTTTCGATACCCTTACCGAGCAGGACCTCCACGAGGAGGAGGTCGAGGAGGAGGTTGATTTCTCGGGTGAGTAGCCGGCTGAGGATCGAATTTTTCGCTTTTGTTTGTTGCCCCTCTTCTAACGCCCGCGGTCATCCACCAGATCTCAAGGCGCAATACGATGTGAAACTCGAGGAGGGTTTGGATACATTTATCGTCATCGATGGCCTTCCGGTCGTTCCTGAAGAGAGCCGGCAAAAGCTCATCAAGTTCTTGTTGAGGAAACTCAACGCGGTCGGCCACACCTCCGAAGATGCCGTTTTTATGCCCGTCAACGACAAGAGCAAGTCCGAAGGGTACGTATTGCGAGGAGAAGGAATACTTGGAGGGTCGCTTTGGCAAGGAAGAATGAAAAAATTAATGCGTGGTTGGATAGTTTCGCCTTCGTCGAGTACGAGACCCCCGAACAAGCCGTCGCCGCCGTTAAGCAGCTCCACGGTGTCCCCCTGGACAAGAAGCACACCCTTTCCGTGAACAAGTTGATGGATATCGATCGCTATGGCCGTGAAGGACGTATCGAGGAGGAGTACAAGCCGCCAACCGTCGAGCCGTTCAAGGAGAAGGAGCACCTGCGCTCGTGGTTGGGCGACGCCAGCGCTCGCGACCAGTTCGCCCTCTTCCGGGGCGAGAAGGTCGGTGTTTTCTGGAATAACAAGGGCAACGAGCCTGAGAATGTGGTCGACCGTGCCCACTGGACACAGTTGTTCGTACAGTGGTCGCCCAAGGGTTCCTTCCTCGCCTCCGTCCACCCGCAGGGTATTCAGCTCTGGGGCGGCCCGTCGTTCACGAAACAGAAGCAGTTCCCCCATCCGTTTGTACAGTTGGTCGAATTCTCGCCAAATGAGAGCTACTTGACCACCTGGTCCGCTCGCCCGATCCAGGTCGAAGAGGGTCAACCGGTTCTGAGCTACGAGGAGGATGGAAAGAACATCATCATCTGGGATATCGCTACCGGGAAGCCTCTGCGGTCGTTCGTTTCTCACGACTTGACCGCCGGTCCTGCAGGCGAGGGTGACCAGCCCAAGAAGAAGGTGCAGTGGCCTGCATTCAAGTGGTCCGCTGATGAGAAGTACGTTGCCAGAATGCTTCAGGGCCAGTCGATTTCGATCTACGAAGCGCCGCGGATGAACTTGCTGGGTAAGACGTCTGTTAAGATTGACGGTGTGATGGACTTTGAGTGGTCTCCTGCGACGACCCAGCGCGAGGGTATCAAGCAGTACGAACAGCTGCTGTGCTTCTGGACGCCTGAAATGGGCAGCAGCCCCGCCAGAGTCGGTATGATGAGCGTTCCCTCCAAGGAGACCGTCCGTACCCGTAACCTCTTCAACGTTTCCGATGTCAAGCTTCACTGGCAGTCCCAGGGTACCTACGTCTGTGTCAAGGTCGACCGTCACTCCAAGTCCAAGAAGTCGCTCGCCACCAACCTCGAGATTTTCCGCGTGCGCGAGAAGGGTGTTCCTGTCGAGGTTGTCGACAGTCTCAAGGACACTGTGATCAACTTCGCCTGGGAACCCAATGGCAGCCGTTTCGTCGCCATTACCACCGGAGAAGCCGTTGCCGGTGCTGCCGTTGGGCCTAAGACAGCCGTCTCTTTCTTCGCCCCTGAAAAGAAGGGTCACCAACTAGGAAGCTTCAAGCTGGTGCGCACTCTCGACAAGAAGAACAACAACGCCATCTACTGGTCGCCCAAGGGCCGTTTCGTCGTCGTTGGTACCGTTCACTCGCAGACCAGTTTCGACATGGACTTCTGGGACATGGACTTTGAGGGTGAGAAGCCCGAGGGAGAGAAGGATTTCGCCGCCAACCTTCAATTACTGGCGACTGTTGAGCACTACGGTGTTACGGATATTGACTGGGATCCTACTGGTCGCTACGTTGTCACCAGCGCTAGTTCGTGGACCCATTCGGTAAGTCTTCTTAATTTTTACGCGTCAATTGCGACTAACATGCACTTAGATGGAAAACGGATGGAGCATCCACACCTTCTCCGGTAACACCCTCGCCGAACACCCTACCGACAAGTTCAAGCAGTTCGTCTGGCGTCCTCGCCCCGCAACCCTCCTCAGCAAGGAAGAACAGAAGCAAGTCCGCAAGAACCTCCGGGAATACTCGAAGGAATTCGAAGAGGAGGACAAGTACGCCGTCGACATTGCCAACACCGCTGTCGTGGAGACCCGCAAGCGTGTCATCAACGAGTGGACCGCCTGGCTCCGTCGGGAGAAGGAGTTCCTGGCCGAGGAGCGGGAGGCCTACGACCTCCCCGAGAACGCAGACGAGGCCAAGCTGGCCAAGGACGCACGTCCCGAGGCCGAGGAGCAAGGCGAGACTGTTGTCGAGGAGATGGTGGAGGAGATTGTCGAGGAGCACGAGGAAGTTATCGGTTGATTGGAAATATTATTTTTCTCATTTCCCTCTTGTTCGTATTTAATGTGGCCTTTTCTATTTTCTTTTTTACCGTGTCCTTTTGAAGCGAGAGAATCTGCTTCCGTTCCCCTATCCGAGTGTGGGATGATTCAAAAAATGAGAGATCTGTTGCATTTCACTTGGTGGATCATGTGCAACGTTGGTAGTATGAGAGATGAAAATCATGACCTCGTTAGAAAGTTCGATTATATCCATTATAGATTGAGTATTTGCAAGAAACTTGTCCTTATAACATGAAGAAAACACCATAGACCATGGCCAACCAAAGCCCAACCCTCCCTATATACCGTCCAGCAGCCCCATTATCCTTATCCTCATCATCATCATCATCATCTCCATGATGACCAGACCCGGTTCGTCCACCACCACCCCTCGCCTTCTCCGGCACAACATTCGCCTTAAACCACTTCTTATTCTTCCCCATAACATTCCCCGCCGGCGCATACTCACAAACAACATACCACCCCAACGCCTTCTCAAAATCCCCCGTTTCCTCATCCTTTGCATCATCATCATCATACCCGCAGTCCACGGCCGCACAACCAACCTGCGTCGTAGCTTTCCAGACTAATTGCGTGAAATGCCCGGTTTCCTCGGTGAAACCTGTGGGGAGCTTGAAGTTGTACATTTTGCGTTCTTCGCCCCAGATTGCGATGGCGGAGGAGGCGTTGGGGTAGCCGAAGGAGAGATTTTCGCCGTATGGCCCTTTCTATTTTCTTTATTAGCTGTTGGTACAGGTAAAAGGTGTATGTATGGGGGACTTACAGAATGCTTCCATTTACATTGCTGGGCCCAGTTGCGGGAGTAGTCGGCTAGTGTGTCGTTCCATGTTAATGTGCAGGCGTCGTGTTCGTTGCGGTAGTCGTTGCTTATGGATAGGACTGTGTCTTTGAATTCTTTGAGAGAGGTATAAGATGCTGGTGTGGGTGAGGTTGGTGTCGAGGTGAGTGTGGTGGTGATGAGGACGGTCTCCTGCTCTTGCGCTTGGGTGAGTGAGAGGAAGAGTAGACTGAGCCAGAGTATGCGTGTACATCTGGATATGCTGAATAGGGGAATCATGATATTAGTAGTTAAATGATAGTAAATCTGAATATATGGCTTTTATTTCCGGCATAGCCAAGGGACGGTGGTGTTTTATTCTGTTACTGTACAGGCTCTGTGGATACTGTTTCTGCCTTTAATCTCATGTCTGGCGCTTCTATGATGCAGAATGAATATGATCCAAAGCCTCTGAAACGTGGAACCGCCGACGGATGGCTGCGTCTGGCTCCGTTCCAGCAGCCGCCGAGCTGACGTCAAGACATGATTGTGATATCGCTGAAAATAAACAAAATTCTATATAGTCGGTATAATCGGAAACATATCGCAATGGTATCTCACATAACAGTACATCCAATTCCGTACATGGCTCGTTCAACATCTCGTTTGACCTGGTACCAATCTGCGCGTCGCTCGGCGAATTCGTACACTTCCTCTACGCGCCAAATCCCCTGGAAGCGCCCGGCGTCGGCGATGATCGTGGCTAGCTCTTTAGCGTCCGACGGGTCGATCAGGTAGATCTGCGAGAGCTCTCGGAAGGCCTTGAAGTAGAGGAGTAGGTTGGAGTTTCTTAGCGTTTGGACGAATTTGAAATAATGATTCATGTCACTGTAATTTTGTGTTAGTGTTTAAGCTTACCGGTAAGCCGCGGGCCGGAAGATAAAGTTGTTCTTACCTGATCAATCGGAGGGATCCTTCGATGCTGATCCGCTGGCGCTTCAGATGCTTGCAGAGAGCCGCAAAGAGCCGCAGCCCGACTTCCTGGTTGAAAACGTCTAGGGTGCTCTTGTCTGTGCTTCCGACCAGCATTTGCGTATGCGATGATACCACATCAACCACGGCACTGGCGGATTCTGTGACGCCCACGTTCATGGTCTGTCGGTACGGGTCGTTGGAGATACCCGGGTTGAAGTCTGTTGCTAGCTGTCGTGTCGCTAAGATGTAGTCCACTTCCTCCATAAGCACATCGATACCCTTGCTCAGTCCCGTAGCGACGCGCTCATCGAGCATTTGCTCGAACTTCTTCTTTTCTTTCACGGCGGGATCGAGGAAATCGTTCCGATCGGTCAGTCTGGAACTCACGAGTTCTTGTTCGTAGAACACATCGACCATCTGGAGAATGAGATCACCAACGTTGACCAGCTCCAGAAACGTCACCAAAGGCTCCACTCCGGATTGGTCCCGTTCTCCCTGTTCGCGCGGCCGGTAGTTAGAGAGATGATCCACTGCCCGGTTAAAGCCAACAATGACATGGCGTTGTCCAAGGATGCGCAGCAAGGTAACGAATATCGTTTGGCACTGTTGCTTCGCGGCCACACCCGTCTGACCACCAATTCTCACGAATTGTGCTGCTCTTTCAAGGCTTGACTTGGCCGCATGTACCATACTCAGAGCTATCTCGATGCTGAACAACGAGCGGATGCCTTCCATCTTCGATTTCATGAGAGCGGCTTTGGCTGCGAGTTCTGATGTCGGAGCTTCTGTGATTGTAACGGGGGCTGGGGACGAAATCGTTGAGAATCGGCTCGGGCTCTTTAGTGATGACACGTCGCTGGCAGCGGAGTCTTGATCCGATTTCGTCTCATTCGATTTATTGCCCGAGAAGCTGGGAAGGATGTTGACTGGAGCCATGATCACTTTCTTGAATGAGCTCAAAAAATCCCTCTTATCGGCTTGACGGTTCACATTCGACATCAAAAACGACTCAGTCGATGCAGCCTGCTCGGAAAGCTGCCGATCCCATTCTCCCACAGCAGAGTCCGACCACTTTCGGAAATGGTCCAGCTCTTCAGCAAGGTACAACTCCATGTGTGGTTCGTATACCTTGGTAATCACGCTGTCCAAGAACTCATCAAAACTATCTGGCGCATTCTGAATCGGCAAAAGGGTTTCGGACAGGTTCTGGCATTGCGCAAACGTAACTGAAACGGCATTCAGGTAAGATTCGACGTTGGTGCGATGTAGCTCGTCGAAAATCGCAGTGAGAAAAGGATATAGAACGTCCTGGCCCACCTTTTCTACAAACGGCGAAGCAATCTTTGTCGGCGGGGGGAAGATGCGATTGATTATCGATACTTCTTCGTTGTAGGCCACACTCAGCCGCGTAAAAAAGACCTGGGTTTGTTGCAACTTCACCCGGCTGGTCACTGGATCAATGCAGTCTGCCACTCGCGCGAATTCAGATTTCCGGGTCACCATATGATTATGATGGATAAAGTATTCAACAGCAGTGCCACCACCGTTCAATGTGCAAAGGACGTGAGCGTACTTTTTCATTGTCCCATCAATATCCTCCGTTTCGTAACCTTGTCTGAATTCTTTCAAGGCGGCTGTTTCGAACATGGACACGGCTTCTTGTAGTTTCGCAATTCGTTCGCGCCAGCTTTCGTTATTATCGCAGTTCGAGAAAGCCTGCAGCTGCGACAGGATCTGTGACTGGTGCCGGGGGTCATTGTATTTCTGGAAGACGAGGTTGGTTGTCGAAGGGCCGGAAGTGACGATATCCTCGTAGAACGGAGACAGTGCTGCATGGACCTTTCCATACTCCTGGCGGGCTTCTCCGCGTACCGATTTGACCAGTTTCAATGCCCCCAGAACCGGATCTCTTTCCAGCTCCTCCTGCGTATCGACCGGCGCAGTCGTAGAAACTTTGATCTGATCAAACCCATCCGATATCGACTTCATCGCGGATGCCGTGTTGTTTTCGACATCTCCAATTGCCGCAGAAGACCCCTTGCCTTGTTCCGCCAGCTCTTGCTTCTCGATGCTTTTCGGATCGACAATAGTTCCATAGACGTGTTCAACACGCCTCCTAGCTTCTATTTCGTTCCAGCAGCCCATCCGCTTCATCTTCTGTACCCATCTCGTATCATCGTATGCTATCTCGCACAGCAGCTTCGAGGATCGCGCAACCCGAATAAGATCGACGGGGGAGAGGTAATCGAAAATCGACGACAGAATCTCTAATAAGTGTTAGACAATGACGGTATTCCGACCATTCCTGCCTTCGAACCGTATACCCTTCCCGCAGTTCTAGAACTCACCTGCCGGCAGAGCGGCCCTGGAGACATCCTCCATAGAGGCCATTTTGAGCGAGGCCAACACATCTCTGCGCGGTTTCCCGCCAGTCCCTGGCCCATTCTTTGGTTTCGACATTTCGACGTCTTCGCTTCTGCATCGGGAGGGGGGAAACGGTGTCTTTTGGTCGGGTTGTTTTGCTTCTCGCGTATTCCGCCTTCGTGGGGCAGGCAGTCCGAGGAACGAGTGTCTTCACGGGATTTCCCAGGCGCATTCACGTAGCGGACATTGTCATCATGAATTAACCCTTTTCAAGGGTCAAAGGGCGAACGATAAGCGCAACCGTATGGAGGAATTGTCGACACTATGTTCTCATATCCGGGGTATGACTTGTGTCCCGAGCGGAGGCCACGTGATTTTATCTTGACGTCGATCTCGAGCCATGTATACAACTTTGGATATAGGATAAATATATACAGGGGGGTAAGAAGATTGAAATGCATCATTTACTATCTGGTCCGGTTTTCATCTACTCTTGTTGTGGTGGTTGTCGTCGGGCTTTTCTATCGTGGCCACTCAATGTATATATCCACATGCTGTGCTACTGGCATATTTGGATTCGACACCTGTACTTTTTGAGAACAGTTTCTTGTTCTGTTTTGGATCGAGAAGACCAAACACAAATTGATTTTACTTTAGTTTCTCCTTGTGCAAAACTTGGGGACAACAAAGTATATGCATAGTTTGGAACTATAACTTTGGCGAAGTAGATTCACTAGGGAGAGGAACCTTTGGAATGTGCAGATCGAGCCATGCATGCTTCTCCTCCTCGATCGATTTGAGCTTCTGTTGCTCTTCCATTCCACAGGCCCCGATCTCTTTGGAATGCTTCAACTTCCCTTCCATAGTGATGCAGCTCCAGATCGAGTTCTCTTCCCAATCGAAACCAATCTCTTGGTTTGGAAGAATGACCATCTTTCCACGGGTACCGCAGGTAATACAGCCAATGGACTTGTCTTTGCTCAGAATTTCAACCTTGGTTAAGTGACAGTTCGGACAACTGGACTCGTCTTTGGGCCCGAGGTACTGGGCGTCGTCAAAATGTTTTCCCATTTGACTGACATTATTCTGTCCCAGTTGTCTTGCCCTTTCCATGAGCTCGGGCTGTAGGAGAATAGCTCCACGAGCGGCTACTCTCTGCCCAATAAATTGGTCCACGAATTTAGCGTGCATTGGGTAAACGAGGGCATGGAGACTAGGTAGAGCCATGGTAAATTGGTCAGGAGTTCTGGAACCGCCAATAGCCATAAAGCCCGCGACCCTTGACTTCTGCAATGTTGGATCAAACTTCATGTTCACAAACTTGGGATCTCCAGCAGCCTGTCCTTGACGGACGAGCTCCGCAAAAGACGCATCAACATATGGACCCCCAATTTGATCGAATAGGGCCTTGATCACGCCCGGAGGTTGGTGGGAATAGGTCGGAGTGGAGATGATGATCGCATCTGCGTCGAGAATGGCATTTAATACAGTCTTTCTATCGTCTGGTGCCGAGTCGTGGTCGTTCCCGGCCTTCATGCTGTCAATGGTACCAAGACTAATATCCAATTGTCCCTCCAATGGCTTGGGATTCATTGGTATTGAAACTGAAGGCACATGGAACCACGAAGTTGTTAGAGACGGATCCTCTTATTGAGCAGCTGTCAAGGTAGCTTTGAGGAGAATCTCCGAACTGCCCTGAAGTGATCCGTTTGCTAGGCCCAGAATGTGCATGTTGTCGGTAATAACGAAGCGATTGAGGAGAAATATGACAAGGAGCTAACAGACTGTTGTCTTTTTTGTATAGAAATACTCTGACCTGCACTGCATACTCCGCCATATTTCAATCTCCGCCATCGTGGGGTTCCGATACCACTCGGACACCCACAATCGGACATTTCGGCTTTCCATGTTGTGGTATATCAGAGCATAACTATAACATGAAGGTAGCCGCATATGAGTATACGAGTGCTGGCGATCTGAGCCTTTCTGGGCTCAGGTAATCAAGCACATTACGGAAAATCCGCCTCTAGTCTGAGTGAGCCATGTCGGCAAGCATTGTCGGTTCCCATTCTGGCCGACTCATAGAGCTGCCAATACGTGCCAGTGAGACTGAAAATAATCATGTGTTGGCAGTAATGGGGGCAATAAGAGTGTACAAATTTATACTATTGTGCACTTGAGGTGTTTTCGGCAAAGCCGAGAGAAAATGATCGGGCATCGGGGCAATGATCGGGCATCGGGGCAATCAACCTCCGTGTTCTCCGTCCGAATCTCCGCTTAGGTGAACAACTGCTTCGAGCGTCGATAATCAGCAGATGTTTGCTGCTTCCTTTTTGTGGTCTTCTGTAGTATACCAAATGTTCTCGGGTTGCGTCATCTATACCCTTCGTGAGCCTCGCGGGTTCTCCAGTGATGGAGTCAACGACCATGGAAGGAGACCAACTACAACCCTCAAACCACACGGAATGCTTCAAATGCGAGCAATGTCAGAAGTCTTACACGCGCAAAGAGCATCTAAAACGCCATCTTGCCAGTCATAACCCGTTACGGCAGCTTAGCTGTTCGATATGCTCCCGAGAGTTTCGTAGAAGGCAAGTCCACGTCACATAGCTGATGTTGAATGTCTTCTCTCTAACTGAGGCTCCAGGGACTCGTTGAAGCGACATATGGCTATCCATGGCCATCAGGCAGCTCAATCCTTCGCCGCTAACTTGCCTGGGATAAAACGGTGTGCTCGGGCGTGCCTTAGCTGTGTACGATCTAAGCAACGGTGCATTGGTGGCATGCCGTGTGAGCGATGCAGTCATAAGAGGGCACGCTGCGTCTATCCAACCTCGACACCTGAGACTATAGGGGGATCGAACATTTCTAATTGGACATCTTCAGATGTTTGGTCTACTCCCACGCCTGGCCACGCGCAGAGGGCAGACGAAACCACGCAGGATGATACAAATGCTGCGCCTACAGGGGGATCTGATTCGCTTACTTCAGATGATCGTACTATGAATACGGATTTTATGGAGGTCGACCCTCTTGGGGAATTGGGCAATAGTTCACGTATAACCCATGCGCCAGCAAATTCCGACAACACAGAGCTGCCACCTTTACCTCAGATGTCGTTTTCCTCGGAACTAGACACCTTCAGCGGTTTCTTGTTTCATCCATTTGCCCTATGGCCTGAAGACGATTTTGCAGCACCATTTGGCATCACAGATTATGATGACATACCCGTTGTCACAGGTCGGGATGGTCTGCAAAGATCACATACGACCTCTATCCGTCCGACACCCATGCCAGACATGCGGCCTCATGTACCAACCCTGTCGGGAACCGAAACGAACAATGGTCCTCGATTTCCTGATCTTCGACCAGAGGACATGGGTACGGTTATCTCTGAGAAATTCGGCCATGTAAAGCAGATACCCGAAGCAGCTTACCAGAAAATCAAGCAATTTTATCAGGAAGTGAAGACAACTTCCGTGGGTCTTGGGGCAGATGACTTCCCCCCTTTGGAGCTTCTAGGCTCCTTCCTTGAGTTGTACTTTGAATATTTTAACCCTATAATACCAATAATACACCAGGCAACTTTTAAACCATCTTCGGAAAACTGGACTCTACTTTTGGCGATGATAACTGTGGGTGGTCAATATTCAACGCTTTATGCTCGGGAGCCGTACGTCATAGCGTTACAGGCGCTCTTACAGCATGCAGTATCAGCTAAGGTAAACCTGTCTTTCTCACGATGTCGCGAAACAATAAGTTCTCATGGTTGGCAAACAGGCCACGAATAGGATACTAGTCAATGGCGGCCTCAGCTCCGCACAGTCCGTCTTCTTGCTTCAGATGTGTCTGTTCTTCAATGGCGCCAAACAATGCCTAATTGACATGCAATGTCAGCGAGGCTGGCTCCTAGCGATGTTGCGCCCAGCACTTGCAAGACATGGCTCAATCTTTCGTGGCACGGAGATCTCTACCGAGAATAACGATCAATGGCTGAATTGGATTCGCCGTGAGTCGTGGCATCGGCTAGTGTACTTTACATGGTGTACGTTTCCTTAAATGACTCTACCTACTACCTTTGATCGCTAAAACTTTCGGAATGTAGATCTTGAATGCATGGGTTTCATTCTGTTTGACCTACCGCCCAACCTTGACGTGATCGAGTTACACCAGCCTTTGCCGTGCAAAGAAGGTCTGTGGGGTAGTTCGAATGTTACGGAATGGCAGATACATTTATCGAAGTCAAAAGGTAAGAGTCTTTTTTTTTTTTATCTCGCTCGTATAATTGCTAAAGCCAGTCACATGGCAGAACCTCCGAGCTTAAGACAGATGTTAGGCAAGCACGCGTTAATACGGGAGACAATGCCAGAACTTGGGGATGCAGCGCATTTGATTGTTTTACTGTCGTTGTACGTGGAAGAAAGTCGTATTTTGCAACTGACAAATTCTTGGATATACTCGCAAGGGGTCCATGCACTTAATAACTCTGAGTGTGAATGCATCCGCGATGGAAATCTCTGGTCTACGCCTCAACGACAGGAGACAATGCTAGACAGATATTTTGAGTATTTCAGGCTCAAAACACAACCACCTTCAGAGTACCCGTTATTGCAAGACATCACTTCGAAGACATATCACATGGTCTCCATTCTTCGACTTGTGCCACTGAATACGCTGCGCATCTTTTCCAGATGGATGACAACCCCCGAGAAGATTGAACGAGCGAGGAAAGAGCTTGAGGCATGGATAAACGGAGGATATAGCGCCCGAAAAGCTCTGCTACACGCAGCTGCATTATTTCAGTCTATCAGAGATCAGCGAACAGCGATCCATTCAGACCCATGGTATATGATGGCTGCTTCTCTCTGCATCTGGACTCACATAAAGCTGTCGAAACGATCCGAAATACCCTCTACAGATCATCCATTGAGAATCGATAAACCGTCTGATTCACTAGCTTTGCAGTCATGGCTCAACGGTTCACGGGCGATGAGCGTGCATATCACAGGAATCGGATTCCTGTACGAAGCGGACAGCGCATCTCGTACATTACAGCAGACCATAAAGATACTGCGTCGAGGTGGCTCGTGGGGTCAAATTGGTCGTCATTTCGCGGCCGTCTTCCAGCAAGTACTCGATGGGTCGACTCCATCGCTCCCAGCTTAATCCCTGTTGTTGGAGATACGGAGATGTTTCAGTGGTTTCTCGAATCGAATCTACTCACCAAGGATTGCCGCTTTATATCCATCTGCGCAGTCCACTGTTGAATTAGCAGCGATTGTATAAGGATTACCCGAATCTTGCGCGGGATGAATATGCCTTTGGGGCTGAAGCTGCTGGACATTTGTTGCATAATATGCCAGCATCCTCTATCCATCCCCGGACGCTGGCGAGATGGAGGAAATTTGGGTCCTAGACTATCCTTTTGAAAGCGATGATGACGTGGGGGTGCCGTCCGAAGGCGACGCTATAGGCAATCTCTCTTGTACTATATATGAAGTGTAGTTCACGATACAATGATTCATAACCATCAAGTGTCTTCTGGGCTATATCACTTACTATTCATTCGAAAATGTCCGTCCCTCGTGTCGCGGAACCCCCAGGCAAGGTTACTCCCTACGTGGTGCCAGCCTACCAGGGCGAAACTCTCACTATCCCCGGCACGAAATCAACAGTCCGGGTTTTGGCATCGGCCAAGGAGAGTGAAGGTTCAATATCAGTCTTCCATTTCGACGGCGTCCTGGGCGATCCTGTTGGTTTCCACCATCACAATGAATCTCATGACATCTTCATGTGTACCAGGGGCTATATCAAGCTATGGGCCGGAAATCAGTGCCGACCCTTGGGGCCTGGTGATTTTTGCTCAGTCCCTCCGGTAGTTATATTGATTCCTACTATCATACATTCAATGCTAATATCACATACAGAAAGTCGTCCACCGACCCCAGCTAGTGGGCCCATGGAACGAGAGCCTTGGTCTCGTCACTCCCAGGAAATGGATCGACTTCTTCCGCTTTGCCTCGGAGAAATACCATGGTCTCTTGACAAAGGAGTTCGACAGCCGGGATACTCTGCAGCACATGTTTCCCAAATTTCAGACCATCCAGGACGAGTACGATGTGATATTCGACCCCGGTTATCCAGTCTGCGAGGTTGGAGAGTGGACGGAAAATGATAGCACAATCCCAGATAGTGTTGAGCCCTACTATCTACGTGCGGATACCGGACCTAGGTATCTTCTGGGTGGTGTGCTGTCTCGGCCGTTTATCACGACGAGTTAGAGTGATGGTGGCAAGTTCGCCATTACCAGTATTGAGTCGAGCAGTGAGCACCCAGCATCGGTCCTTGGGAAGTCATTTACCTTCCAGAAAGTGCACCAGGTCTATCATGTGTTGGATGGTGCTATCGACGTGACCATCGATGGAACTGCGAATCAAGTCCGAGCAGGCGAGACGGTTTTGATTCCCGCTGGTACTGAGATCAGCGTTCATTTCCTTGACAAGTATGTCCGCTTCTGGTCATTCGCGAGCGGAGATGGCCTGGAATCGTTTGTTCATCTTAGTGGTCGCAGGTATGAAGGGAAGATAATTCCAGACAAGGCGGATGTGGTGGACGATGCGAAGGTGCTGAGGGCAGCTGAGAACATTAACATGAAAGTGTCTACTTGAAATTAACAACCATATGTACTAAGTCAAGACGCGTTTTTGCAACATGTAGCGTTGATAGAACTGAATAGTCTGGGACTTAATGCTGGTTCTTAGAGAGCATCACCGGTTTCCTATTTCAGTAGATTAGTCTTTACAGTGTTTGTATAGTATCACGTCGACTGTGACCTTCCGCAGCCTACGTTAGTTGATTGGTCAGATTTGTGTGGCTTGATACTGGTGCTGTCTACTCGTAAGGGATTGCAAAAGCAGGTCGTAGTCAGTAAGGTAGCAAGGATAGTTCTCCCAATTTATCGTGAGAGATCAAATACAATACAGCAAGGAAGACATCCCACCAAACACAGTATCTCTGACTTCCAGCGTTGTTCGATTCAACTTGTCAAATGGCAGAAGTCAATCCCCTTTTGAACCTCAGGTTCGGCTCCTTTATACATCTCGCCAGGCACATTGCTGACATCAATGTAGTGAGCCCGACGGTGAGAATTAATTTCCTGCCAACAACCTCCCCCAGGAGAGAAACCCGGATTGGGTTCCCCAGTTCCAAACAACAATCGAGGTTCAGACTCAAAACAATTGACCACTGTGGGATTTCGTTTTCCAGTGCCTTTGACCTGTTGGGGTTATTCCTGTACCTGCAGGTCCTGCCCCAGTTGGCACAACTAAGGCCAACTTCTTTCTTCCCCTAACAGCCATCTTTGGTCGATGGTGCGGATAAATGGGAATTGGTGCATATATGTACCAATGCTTATAGATCCCGTTAGACGAGAGTAGCGCCATTTTCTTTCTAGGCACTTCGCTGACCGGCTGCAAATGGGAAGAGATAGGAATATGCCGAGCTGTTATTGGACACGCGAGGTTTAACTTTGTTAATGAAGGTGCTTTGCTGCAAAATAACGGATGGAGGTATACATCAACGGCATTCAATCCGCAGCGTATGACAAAGAAGCTGTGGCAGAACACATAAAAGGCTTATGCGGCAATTGTCGTGAGCTTTTGCCTCTGTTCAGATTTTTGGGGTAGTTTCTGACTATCGTTCTGAGCGAGGGTTCTTGACCTCACCCAGAATCTCCTTGCCTCCTCCACATTGTTTTCATCAATGTTATATAACTGCGGGTTTTCGACCATGCCGTGCGGAAATTCAAAGATCCTGGGAATGTTAGCTTAGTTTATACCAGACGTTCTAGGTAACATATGTCTCCGATATTCCAGGTATATGCGGCGTGCAAGTTCAGTTGCCCGTTATAGACCCGGAATACGTTAACAACGACGCTGTCTGCCATGGCGGGAGGCAAATATTGGTCTCAAATATCCATCTTGGAAGGAATGATAAAGCATTATATCTGTCCGTAAATCTGATTGGGATGAACAGAGCACGTTGGTCGTGAAGTTGAATCAACGGGGTGTGTTCGAAGGGGTTTGGGAAAGCGGCCATTGCGATGAATTAATAGGGAGCTAGTCCAATTTACCAGTACTAGGGGATGTATCATGGTATAGCCCGTATTTCCATCAGCCCTATCCTAGGATATAGAGTCTTCAGAGAATATCGTATTTCGTCCATTGACACTGGTTCTGTTTCTTGACAGTGTTGTGATGTCGATGATAGAGAAAGTTTCAATTGCAAATAGGTGTCCGGGTCTCTCATTCACAATCAGGCTAATCTTGCTTTGGTGATCTTGTGTTGTGATATTCACCTGACCCGATCTCGTTTTCCCCAATCAATTGACCTTACCAGCACGACACACTTTGATAGCTACACACCCTACGCCATGGAAGTCATCCAACAGCCAGTTCTCCACGTCGAAGCTCGCGTCAAGAATACAGGAGATGGAATGATAGTTCGTACGGATTTAGTACGAAGCCTACGTCTCAACCCGTTGGCGTCTAGAGCTAACGAAATCCAGATCAGGAACGACATTACGCAGTGGCTCATCGACAACTTTGTGGTCCTTTCACTGGGACAAGAGATCTATTCGTTTGGTAATGAAGGCTCCCATATGTTGCGATTCCTATGTGTTGGTTGACACAGTGAATAGACGGTCTCAAGGAACCGTACGCGCAGGCCTTGGATTCCATCCTCGTCACGGAGTGCAGTGGGGGAGAGATTGAATCAGGAGCCTATCGTCTTCAGCACGTCGAGCTTGACGTTCAAGCATACCAACTCCGTCCACAATTCGAGCACGAAAGCGCGCAGCAGACCCAGCAACTCGAGGAACCGGCCGACGCGAACGACGACGCGCCGAAAGCGAAGATACTGGCATTACCGAGCAAGGAGCTAGACGGGCTGTGGGAATCGTACGGTCCCGACCTTTCTGGACAAGATGACGGAACTGATACTGGAGGATAGGCTTCAGTTTGACCAGCCGGTTCAATCTACTCTTCTCAACGCCATAACTCGCATGGGTCAGTGCTCTGGCTTTGATCTACTGAGCCCGACCTGTTAACTCTAGCAGTCTCGTTCTCTACCCGCAAGCCCAACAAATGGTCTATCAACTGGAACAGATTGATTCTTCTCTGGGGTCCTCCAGGGACAGGAAAAACAAGCCTGTGGTACGTGGCAGCCAGAATACTCTATACCCATAGGTCTAACCAATTGAGCAGTCGCGGGCTTGCTCAGAAACTTGCTATACGTTTGGGAAAGCATTATCCACAGAGTAAGTTGGTCGAAATCAATGCGCACTCACTGGGCAGCAAGTTCTTTGGCGAGAGCGGCAAATTGGTGGGCAAACTGTTCGAGAACATTGCGTCGTCGCTCGAAGAGGAAGAAGACACATTCTTCTGTGTTTTCATAGATGAAATCGAGACCATTGCTGCTCGTCGTGAGCGGGCTTTGGGTGGCAATGAGCCGTTTGATGCCATTCGCGCGGTGAACGCTCTGCTCACAGGGTTGGATAAGCTGCGCAACTATTCTAACGTCGTCACCATTTGCACAAGCAATTTGGTAACCGCTCTGGTAAGATGCTCTCGAGCAACCTCTCATGGAGCTGACGCTAACCAATGATCACTTAACCCAGGACGAAGCCTTTCTCGACCGCGTCGATATCAAACAATTCATGCCACACCTATCCAACCGAGCCATCTATGGAATATACAAGGATTGTCTAGAGGAGCTGAACCGTTGCGGGATTATCCAAGGGGTGTCGTTCGATGTCGTCCAGGCCAACCCGGAGGATCCAGAAACCGCGCTGCAGTATGTGGAAGAGCCTATGGAGCATCTGACGTTACCAAAGTTTGATGAGATGCTGCTCAATTACCAGGTGTTTCCGGACGCAATTCCCAAGCAGCTCGCAGATGCCGCCACTGCCAGTGTAGTGGGTTCTCCCCCTCCGTTGTTCCGGGACAATTGTACCATGAGGTCGATATTCTGATTGCCAATAGGGACTCAGTGGTCGCACTCTTCGACGGCTCCCTGTCTTATCGTTGGTACTTCATAGCAACAGTGCTCGATGTGCTCATGTTCGAGAGGCATTGGCGACTCTGCGGATGGGAATAGCGTCGGAGATTCAGGCCAAGGCGGGAGGTCGTGTGGGTTGAGGGAATGGAGCGGGGTCATCGGAACGGTATATAGAGACATCTGAGGAGGTAGTTAGTCCGACAGACATATGAAAATCGAGAATAGAGTGGTGATAGTGGTTGCCGTGTCGTTGGTCTCAGCCGCCAATCTGGTGTTCCGAACCGTCGCGGTTTTCACCGAAGTCAGCCCAGTGGCCGCCCGTCAGCCAATCACGACGAGGGTTTAGCCAATCCCAGGCCAAGAGAAACTCTTTGACGGACCGGCAACCTCGACTTCCACCTCCAAAAAGCACCTCCTCCTGTGCGCCCAACTGCCCTCCCCCCAGTTCCCCTCCCCTCCACTCTTTGTTTCTCGGTGCTTCTTTTTTTCCCTCGTCGATTTCCTTGACTGGAGGGGTTTTTTTTTCTCATTATGCTGGGACGAAATGTCTTGCGCAGCGTGCCCTCTCCGGGCCTCGCACGTCAGTTCTTGAACAGAGCATCAACGGTCCGTAATCCCCCACAGCAATCCCCGAACCCATTGGATATCGGTGGCTTGGAGCATTGCTATGCAATTGATCATGGAGGCTGCTCTCAATTGATGTTTGGACTGACAAATTTATACAGCGTGCCTCTTCCTCGACCGCTGGTGCCGAATCCTCTCCCTTCTACCTCACTCTCACTGCCTCCGTCGCAACCGCTGCCACGATCGGATCTGCCGCGTATCTCTATGGTCAAGAAGCTTTTGCTATGACCCCTGCTGAGGAGGGGTGAGTGAAACCTGTGTGGTGGTGATGGTAGTGATGGTGATGATGGCTGCGGATAAACATCTACCAGCCAATCCGTTGCCCCGAACCCATGTCGCAAAGACACGCGAAGAAAACTTTGGATAGAACGAAGAATTGGAAGACTAATCGATTGAATTTGAACAGTTTGCACGCTACTCAGTACCCTTGGGAACATGAGCGCTGGATGAAGACTTTCGACCACCAGGCGTAAGTAATCCAACATTGAACGTCCTACCAAGTTCGCTTTTTAACGATTGTGCTCTTTCCCACCATTCAGTCTCCGCCGTGGTTTCATGGTCTACCGTGAAGTTTGCTCCAGCTGCCACTCCCTGACCCGTGTGCCCTGGCGTTCCTTCGTCGGTGTTATGCACACCGTCGACGAGATGAAGGCTTTCGCCGAAGAGCACGAGTACGACACCGAGCCCAACGACCAGGGTGAGATCGAGAAGCGCCCCGGAAAGCTGTCCGACTACATCCCTCCTCCCTACAAGAACGAGGAGGCCGCCCGTGCTACCAACGGTGGTGCCCTGCCCCCGGATCTCAGTTTGATCACCAAGGGCCGTCACGGTGGCTGCAACTACATCTTCAGTCTTCTGACTGGTTACCCCGATGAACCCCCGGCTGGTGCTTCCGTCCAGGAGGGCATGAACTTCAACCCCTACTTCCCCGGAACTGGTACGTTGCGACTCCGGATTACGAATTGAATTTCTATTTACTAACATTGTAACAGCTATTGGTATGGCTCGTGTCCTCTTTGACGGCCTTGTTGAGTACGAGGACGGTACCCCCGCCACCACCTCCCAGATGGCTAAGGACGTTGTCGAGTTCCTGAACTGGGCTGCTGAGCCCGAGATGGATGACCGTAAGAAGATGGGTATCAAGTCCATCACCCTTCTGACCGGTCTCTTCGCTCTGAGCGTGTGGGTCAAGCGCTACAAGTGGGCCCCGGTCAAGACAAGAAAGATTATGTACAGCCCCCCTGTTCCCCGTCGCTAAATGTCGCAGCGGACTTTATGAGCTACAAAATGTGGAGTTAAAGGTGACCAATGGACTTGAAAAAAGTGCCATGTCGTCCAACTTCTCCAATTGTTTCTGTTCATGGTCTTTCTGCTTCATATTCTGTTAGAAACCACTCGGTTCTTTTTTGTATCTGTACCCTAGATATTCTTTTCCTTTTGAAAATTTCCGTTCGAAGACTCAAGATATGTATTTCCTTTGTTGTCAAACATTTTCCATTTTCTCGCAATCTGAGCTGCATAATCTATAGTAGGAGGCCATGAAAAGTTGGCATGCAATTGACCTACAGTGTACATCAAGGTGTTTAAACAAGGATCTTCGTTAATCGTCAATATGATTTCATAGCTACTAATTCCCAATTGTCCTCTCCCCATCCCCGAAGACCTTCGCAAAAATAGAATCATAACACGCCCACATGCAACCATGTACAATAGTCGAGATAACAGTCAACCACCGCGGACTATACCCATCAGGCCTGGCATACTTCATCGTGAGATACGTGACGAACGCAAACAAAGGACCCCAGATAGAAAGGAATATAGACTTTCCAATACGCTGCCGTTTAGTGGTGACACGGTACGAGGGGATCTGCGAGAGATACGCGCGGTACGAGAAGGGGAGGTTATTCTCAACCGCGCCGGCATTGAGAGTGTCAATATAGCGCTTAGATGGTTGGCCGTAGGATGGGTCTGGGCGGATTCTGGGATTGCGCAGTAAACCGCTGTCCCCGTGTCCAGCGTAGTCATCCTGATCAGCGACCAAGGACATTAGACTGTGTGCTTTGAACGGTTGTGTGGACGGATGCTCCGGGACTTCATCGGCTGGATTGTATGACTCGGGGAACGGGTAGCAAGTCACGATTCCTTCGTTGTATCCGCGTCCTCCTGCTTCTGTTGCGATAATCCACGCGTAGTCCTTCAGTGTGATTTCGTACACGACCCCGATAAGCGGTTTATGCCAGGCGTTTCTCTCGTCATCGTAGCCCTGCCCCCAGAGCGGCTTTTTTTCCGAAACGATGTCTTCCATTTCCTCGCCAGGATCATGGCGATACCGAGTTGACGCGAAACAAGGTTCTGAGTACGGTACACCGGCGAGGTCGAAGGTGAGTCTCAGTTCAGGGACGTAAACGTTAATGAGCGAAATAGGCTTGATCCCCCGGTTACCCAGGAACGTATTCGAGGCCATGTTCGAGCCGTATGCGAGGTACAGCACGGTTTGCTCGGGTGATGGTTGGGTTCCATTTTCGAGATCGCCACGTAGTCCCAGGACCTTTTCAGAGAGTCGGTCGTCGAGTTCGAGTGATGATACGGTTGTGGAAGCTTGTCGTCTCGCAAGGGTTGTTTCCATTATTCCGAATTGCGCAGACAACTTCGCATCGCAGGCGGAATAAGTCTGTTGCCGATCGGATCCCGTATTTATTTCATCACCAAATCTCCCCCACCTGATCTCCCGTACGTAATCACTCATCTCCACAATGGACCTCTCCATAATGGGACCCTCCCTAATAGATCCTTTTATCCCCATAATGGACTCTTCTCTATCAAAACTCTTCCAACTAGTCCTTCAAAATATCTAGAAACCTCTGCATTGGAAAAACTGTAGGCTTTCCTATCGAAAACTGCAAACATTTCAGAGTCCCTAAGCATTATACCTATGTTCAAGCTTGACCCGGTAAGAATGCCCAAAAGAAAACAAGGATGGCACCGAACTAACAAAATATTCAGAGTGACGTCCCCGAAGGATGGACAACTGACCCCGAAGAAATGGACTACAAGGATGAATGGGCTGCGAATGATAGCATGGGCCAGCGACTCGCCCGTGGAAGAAAGCTAGGAGACAAAACCTATCCCATCATAAATGGATTGGAGGGAGCTCCTCCCTAAATGTGCTTTGTTTGGTGAAGGCAACTGAAACGTTCATAATAGTATTTATTAAATTAATGAAACGAGTACCGAATGCATATTTATTTGATGTGATGTTGATGTTATATATCATTTGTTATCATGTGAGAGAGTTGTTTTCAATTCCCCGGACTCCCGCCCAACCTCTCTACCTCCTCATCCGCACGATCGTTCTCTACATCAGCAAAATGACTTCCTTTTTAGAAGACAAACAGGGGCAGAGAGACTCTGATGTTGTAGAGTTAGTTTCTGTGCTAGAGGATATAACTACAGACAATACGCAACGCCAGACTGTTTCGTGAGTGATGAGATGTCCATATCCTTACTTTACTGACTTCTATTTCTCGTGATAGCTTTCCAAGTCATATATTCGATACTTTCCTACGCTGTGACGTTATCGCCGACTCTCAACATCTTAATCGCCTGGTTTCGACCCTTGATCAAAACCAAGAACGAATTCGTGAAATCCTACACAGAGACTCCCTTCGACTGTTGGCATATGTGTTGCTCATTTCTGATAATACAATAGAGCAGGAGAGGGGGCTATATCTTATACTGGTTCGATCCAATGATAGCCCACATACTTGGAGGGGCGTAAACTGACTTGTTTAGGATGGACCTACTCAAGCAGACCAGGCGCCTCTATCGTTCAGTGACCATGTGCCGTCAATCCTATATAACCTCATCACAGTGTTATTTCGTATTTTTCTCGACAAAACACGGGTCACACAGTGTCGACGAATGGTGAGCGCGGACCCAACCTTTCGTCTGACTACGCTCATACTTCTAGGCTGGGAGATTAATAGTCGGACTCTTGAATGAGTCCAGCGAGACTGGCCCACATATACTACAGTATAAAGATTTAGCAAACTACTGGTAAGACAGAAAGGATCTTGGAAAGCATACAGATTTGCTGACATGGTATATTAGCCCTAAGATCGTCTCTATTGTTTGCCATGAGAAGGACATCGCGCTGAAGTTCTTTGCCGGTACTATAATCCGCATTCTACGTAACACAGGCACAAACGAAGACCAACTCTGGAAACCTCGCGAACCGAAATATAGAAGTATTTTCTTCGAATGCTTGCGGAAATATCCCAATGATTGGATTCGGTCTTTCCATAATTATATCAGCGAGGTGGAGCACTACGAATCAAGGAAAACAAGGGCAAGTTCGAGAGTTGAGAGATCTGAAACTATCAAACAAAGCTCTTATCACCTCCTTAGTTCCGTCGCAGTTGGTCCGCAGACATACTCGGGCCCTGCGATACTTGCGCTGTCCACTCCTGATTTCTTAACATTTTTACTGCCCGGCAGCGACTACATCGAAATCACGGTGCAATATATCTCAGAACCCATTCATCGTGTCCCAAAAAGGAAAAGGGAACGGAACGACACCCCGTGCTTGGAGTTTGAAGCGACTGATGGTGTACTACTGGATGGAATACAGCAACTCAGCGAGGGCAGTGTCTCTATTGTCTCTGAACAAGACCTGGGTGGACTTCGAAACGCGCTAGCAGACGCCAGAAGAAAAACTCAGAAGCAGAGTCGAACTACCCGGAGAATATCGTCAACCGTCGTGGCCCTAGACACAGGGGAGGAAGTGGCAACAAAGTCCAGTCAATGTCGCGACAGCTCATCTCAGGCTTCCAACCACGAGATGGACTCTTCTGTCGATAAGGACCATGATTCTCGCGGCGAATCAAGGACGGGCACATCAGATACCAAGCAAGATGAGCTGCGTGCTATTTCAGATGTAACTCGAGAGCCATCAGGGCCGGGGGAGAGATCACTAATGACAATTGAAGACGTGGAAATATTGGCAGAAGCACTTAGTGAAAGTGATGAAACTCCTCTTGTTTCTCCAAACCAAGAACACCAATACATTGACCCAGGGAAGAAGATTCCCTCCCCATGCGGTTCTGCAGGGGAATACGTCACGAGTCCCATAGCCGATGGTCACTCAACTCCAAGTCCCCAAACAGAGGCCAAACCAGCGGAGAATATCACAGAATCTGACACCGCGAATGCAGTATCGAGAAACCCACAACCAAAGCGTTCCGGTATGTCCAATAGATGTGCGACCCAGAAGAAGCCACCTCCCAGGCGCAGTCCAAGGGGCAGAGCGTTGAGCAATAGGAAGGGTCGACCAGCATTACCCAACACCCAGGAGTCTTTATTGTTCCCTCGCATGGGACGCCCCAACAAGAAGATTTATACTTCTCGTTCAAAGCGTGCAGTTGACTGGGAGGAAGACCTCAGACCAACTGAAGATGAGGAGGAGGCAGCAAGAGCAGCGCGAAACGACTCTCAACTCACATCTGTGCCGTCGCCATCCCCCGGTGATACCAGCATTTTCAGCAAAAGGCCGAACACGGCACAGAAGAAACGGAAGGCCAGAGCAGCACCATCGTCAGCGAAAGGCAAACGATCAGTAAACAAGAGGGGTGCAGGCGCTAATAGAAGGGGAAGGACGCCGCGGTTACCTTTGCAGATGAAGGAACCAAATGTCGACAACGGCGACAAAGGAATATCTAACCACGAGGCCGAGAAGACGACAAATGGCTTGAATGGAAGTAGTAAGACCGGAAATTACGCAGGTCCTCGACCGCATAATTACGAGGACAAAGAGAACACTTCTGAACTGGCAGCCGAACTCGACAATGCCTCTTTCGCTGTCAGGATAAACCAGTTTCCGTCTGGGGTCCAAGGCAGTAGGAGTCCATCAGTAGACACTCGTGTCAAGCGGAGTGCACATGCAGACGCTGCAAAGGGTGCTTTTCAGGGAAGAGAAGGAGCCGGGGAAGGTAACCTGCACATGGCTTTCAAGGAGCAGTCTTCTGCGGACCAGATGACGGTATCTCAGAGCTCCCTACAGCAGACAGAACCTAGGGCCGATCAGAACATTCGTGTCTTTCCGGCTCACGATGAGCGGGCTCTTATGCAAGGACCCGTTCCTGAGCAGGGATTTGAGTTGCCTAATAAATACGGAACCCAGCAGAGTGAATCCGATCAGCTTCAAGGAAGTGGAGATTTTCAGGCTCTGTTTATCTCACAGGAGAATGAAATTGGACGGCTTTATGTGTCGGCGAGAGACCGTACACATGATACTCCGGCCGAGACAATAACAGACGGAAACAGAGACTATCCCCAGACTGAACTAGAAGAAAGACTCTCGGTGCACAGCAGGAAGAGAGCCGCCACACAGAGTACTACGGATGAAACCCCGAATAAGAAGTCTCAACGGACCTTTGCCGCTACCTCGGACCATCAAAAGCTACACCAGTTGGAAGATGCGGTTGAGCAAGACAGGACGAGCAGACAAAGCGACATCTCGAGCGCCGCGAATGCCTCCATGGGGGAAAGGTCAACATCCCCAGTGTCGTATCCAGAGTCTAAATTGGCGCTGGAGAAAATGGAAGGGGATCTGAGCGAGCAAACTACTACCCCAGAGGGGCGAAGCCGCATAGCTTTGCCGATATCGAGTCAAAAGAAAAGCATAGTTGACGAAAATGGAAGTCCACGATTTACGTCTAGATACATTGATAACGATCAGTGTTTGCAGACGAAAAGGGTCCGACGTTTGAGGTTGGAACAATGGCGAGATTCGTTAGAAGATGCTACCAGCCGATCTGGATACCACGGGGATTCTGATGATGATTCGCTTTCTGCGTCCGACAGTGCCAGTACTCATTCATCACCGGAAAGGAATGCTGGCAGCTTCAAGGGAGGCCGGCTGAACTTCCGTCCGTCCACGATAGTTGCTGATGTCAATGAAGCGCGACCAACAAGCCGTTCCAGCAGAGAACCTTGTCTCCCCGATAATAATGCACGAGGACAGTCAGCAAAAAGGTCAGACCAGCATGTGGAAAGCATGATCACTCCATATTCAGTATCGGGACTACCAGCACATAGAGCTGAAAGGGCTGACACAGGATCGGGAGGACTTTCATCGGCCACTACTATTCGATTACCGCAAGAACCGACACAGTTGGGTATACAGGTTGAGGGTCCAGGTAAATCAAATTGGCAAGCATCTCTGGAGGCTATCCAAAAAACTACGCATGATAGGCTGCTTCATACAAGCGAGGTACGTCAGAATACACACACGAAGACTCCTGAATTTTTTTTTTTTTTTTTTTTTTTTTTTTTTTTTTTTCTAACGTCTTTGCTCCATGCAGCGCCTTACGCACCAACTTGAACAGGAAAAGGGCACAATCGGTCAAGTATTGGACTCTTACCGGCAGGGTTGCCATCAAGTAATGGATCAACTCTTCAAGGTACACAAAGATCGAATCGAGCTATATAGACAGCAGATACAGTCGGTCAGGGAACAGCACAGCGACTTGTGTCAAGATCTCATCCGGCGACTTGAAGAAAATGATAGACGCATCCAAGAACGAATTTGCAGTGGTGTATAATGGGATTTTTCATACTTTTTTTAGATATTTGTTGCATCAATATGTTATAGATGATCTAAATAATGTAATTTATAAGTTATCTTATCAATTCTGGATGTACTTAACTAGAGATCGATGTCATTATTTAGGCTTATGCTTAGCGTACGTAATGGAGAACAAGAAAACCTCAGAACTTCAGGACTTGATTTTGGTATCTCCCCAAGTTAAAGGTGCTAACATGAAGCAGTACTCTTTCACAAAGACTGTTAATTGCCCACTCTGCGGATATGTTGCTGGAGTACCTCTTGCGTCGAACTGGTTGACAAGGGTGCGGGCTTGTACGTACGGCTTTCTCACTATTCGATATTTTACAGCACTGACAAATCCGTATTCTTGCAGTATACTCGACTCCGGATGGCCACCATCGCATATCCGCCGTTGGCACGTATCTTTGCGAGCAGGGTCTGAACCACATTAAGGTCGCGAGCAACGGAAACGAGTCTGAGCTCCTGGCATTCGAGGTACCTGAGCATCCGCGGGATATGAATACAGTGGATAATCTGAAGGGAGTTTCGTTCATAACCCACGATGCCTGCTGGAATATCTTGAAGGATTATTCTTACGACACACCCATACCTCTGGACCAGCTGGCGGATGTTCTGTCAGACACCTGGGGCAGATACTTTCAGGACGTGAGTATAGAAAGAATGGACCTCGAAGACCCCACTGAGTCAATCAAAATCCGCAGTAATGAACTAAGTCTACTGGGAGGTGTGCAAGAACCTAGCTGTGCTGTGGCTCAGCAGTGGAAGGAGAGGGCGACGACAAACCGGGATGTTTTCACCACGCTCCACTCCCTCCCCCGAAATGCGTGAGCTAATAGCGGGATATCTACTTATGGAGGACTTTACCGCCTACGCTTCCCGCACTATGGGAGACCTTTTCTTTAGCGAGGGGTTCTGGCATACGAGATTCCATGTCCATAATGAGCGCGGTTTCCTCAAGATGGATCATGTAGGAAAAGGTCGAAAGAAATGGCAGCTTATTTATCTCTCCACTAATGAGAAGCACCTTTTGAAATCTTGGGTTCCGAGAAAAGAGCTCTGGGAGTGCTGTCGTTGGTCTCGAGATATGGTTATGAAGGCTACGCTACTAAACACCTTGAACGTTAGCGAAGGGGACTCGAACGGATGGGACAGTTCTGGATAGAAGTAGAAAGAAGTTGAGTCACGAACGCAGAAGTCGCGTGTTAAACAGCCTCTTGTGGAGCATGCTGCACGATTACCGTCATCGCTGAATACAATCTCCATTTCCTTCTTCTGGGAGCTCCACGAGAGATACATGATACCCGGAAGTCGAGTTATGTGCCATTTTAGGTTGTTCAAAGGCTTTGTGGTTGCTTTGGAAGACACCGGTATTCACGCCATCAAGATAATCTCCGGTGACGGTCAGGATTCATCATGGATAGGCGAGTTTAATGGAGTCTGCGTAACAAGGCCGTCCTACACAGGACGAGGTCAACGCTCTTGAATTTTGTTTTGACATAAGTGCGTCCCCGAAAGCCTTTATGACGAGTCCATCCTCACTCTAGAACAGAAATATAAACTGGTCAGCTTAGCGGTCACAACTAAGCCCTCACCAGCAAAACGAACACAACAGCTTCAATCAATTAATCGCGACATGGACAGACTGGACCATGCAAAACGCATTGTGGCTCCCGAATAAACCATCAGAAGGGCTTCAGTTCAGCGACAGTTCAGCATACGGGGCTGATCCTCTGGCTCAGGGCTACCGGCCCTTTGCATGGCACCTTTTAGGCGACGAGTACGGGAGTCGCCTTTTCTCTGACACAAATTGACATTGGTATTTCCAGGAACAGGAGGAGAAGACTTTGAACATAAACACCTCGCAATTGACGGACCGGGAGGAGAAAAGATTATTTCGGTACAAGTGGCGGCTAAGAAGCGTGTCGATTGGTCAATCACCAGGCATATCACTGGACCAGTGCCGTTATATTACAAGGTGAGGATTCTTTTGTTCTTTTGAATCTGCATCGTTGACAATAATAGATCACGACCAACTTCGGAAGATATGTATGGACAAGACGCCAGGACGAGTGCGAACCTGCAAAAGAAGGGTTTTCATTAAAAAACGTGGATATTGCACAGGGAACCACGCCCGTTAGTTTCTATGCGATCAAGGCAATCCGGTCATTTTCTGAGCACGAGCAGTGGCTAATTGTCGCGGCAAAACGAGCTTGGTATAGTCAGTCTTGGGGTCATATCCGTAGCTTTGGAAAATGGCAGCTGAAACAGTTTTCAATTCAATATATTCGCTTTCCATTCAATATCCTAATCACAAACAGACTAGTCTAGATTCTCGTACAGTGAATAGTAAATCATTCACTTTAGGGCTTGTTCTATTGATAGGCTCTGGCTCACCGAAATCACGTGCATGATGACCGATTGGTGGACTATGACTCGTCGGCCCGAAATCGCAGCTCTCCAAAAAGTTGCAAACGACTTCTCTGATACCTCTTTTAAGTCTTTTCCTTTTTTATTGATTCTTTGTCTTCTTCAAAATATTCTGAAAATCTCCAATTCCTCTGGCTATATAAACCATCCCTCTGCCACTGTTGTCTCTCTTTCCTAATCCCCCTCTACCAACACCTATCTCAACCCCGCCGCCATGTCTGTGAGTCAATGACAAAATCGCCCATTTCTCGTCTGGATACTGACTCAATTGCTCAGTTCTTCATTGAGAACACCAATGTGGGCAACCAGAGCCATCTGGAAGACTCGCGCAGTGCGTATTCTCTATAATCTGTTAATTGCAGTTCAATGACTGACAGCGCTAGTCCGCGGATACAACCCTCTGACTCCCCCCAACCTCTTGCAGCATGAGATCGCATTGACAGAGTCCTCGCACCAGACGGTCATGCAGGGCCGTGAGGAGTCCATTGCCGTCGTCCAGGGCACAGACACCGACAAGCACCGTCTCCTTGTCGTCATCGGACCCTGCTCCATCCACGACCCCGCCATGGCCCTCGAATACTGCGACAAGCTTCTGAAGCTGAAGGAGAAATACAAGGATGAGTTGTTGGTTGTGATGCGCTCGTACCTCGAGAAGCCGCGTACCACTGTCGGCTGGAAGGGCCTTATCAACGACCCGGATCTCGACAACAGCTTCAAGATCAACAAGGGTCTGCGCACGTCGCGTCAGATGTTCGTTGACTTGACCAACAAGGGCATGCCTATTGCTAGCGAGATGCTGGATACCATCTCGCCTCAGTTCTTGGCCGACTGTCTGTCCGTTGGTGCTGTTGGTGCTCGCACGACCGAGTCCCAGGTCCACCGTGAATTGGCCTCTGGTCTGTCCTTCCCCGTCGGCTTCAAGAACGGCACAGACGGCACTCTGGACGTCGCCGTCGACGCGATCGGCTCTGTCAAGAACCCCCACCACTTCCTGTCCGTCACCAAGCCCGGTGTCGCCGCCATCGTCGGCACCGTGGGTAACCCGGACTGCTTCGTGATTCTGCGCGGAGGCAAGAAGGGCACCAACTACGACGCTGCGAGCATCCAGGACGCCAAGAAGAAGCTTGAGGCCAAGGGTCTCCCCGCTCGTCTCATGGTGGACTGCAGTCACGGTAACTCGGAGAAGAACCACAAGAACCAGCCCAAGGTCGCTGCTGTTCTTGGCGAGCAGATTGCCGCCGGTGAGACTGCTATCATGGGTGTTATGATCGAGAGCAACATCCACGAGGGTACGTACCCCACGATTATCGCTAAAGACTACATGCTAACAATTCACAGGCAGCCAGAAGGTCCCCGCCGAGGGCAAGTCCGGCCTCAAGTACGGCGTCAGTATCACCGACGCTTGCATCGGCTGGGAAGACACCGAGTCTACGCTCGAGGGTCTCGCACAGGCCGTTCGCGCCCGCAGACAGAAATTGACCGGTAACTAAGCTAACGATTCTCGTGTGTTTTGTTTTCGGTGTTGTCGTTTTTTAATGAGCGGCGCGTGTTCTCTTTACTGGGGTCTACGAATAATGTCTGAATGCTTGGTTAGGAAAAGTTAATGTTCAACAAATCATTTTGGAGATTTAGTATGGAATAGATAATTGGATATTTCATGATTTGTGATTAAGTAGTTTTATAGTAGATAGACCTTATGTACTCCAGTATCTCAAAAAGGGGAAAGTCAATTGCACTATATCAAAACAGATCAATAAAGTAAATCATGGGGTATTCAAAATATAAACAAAATCATAGAACAGACACACGCCTGCCACCGTCATAACATGAGAAAACATGAACAATCTGCGCCGCGCTATATACCAAACTGTCGTAACTATCGTCAAGCTTCATTCTCAACCCATCTCCCCTCCCTCGCCCCAAGTTCAGGAATATTAAACCCAACAATACACGCCGCGTACGACGGACGCCGTCGCGAAGCCGCGCCGGCCGCCTGAGTAGCGGGCTGGGCAGTTGCATGGGGATGAGCGCGCTGGTCCATATTCAACCCCGCCAGTGTATGATGCAGCTGCGCAGAAGTCGAATGCTGACCTCTAAAGTCATTAATGAACTCCGACCGGGGTGATTTCGGGGAGAACAATCCCGATTCCTCGGATCGATTGACGAATTGTGCATTTTCAATGCTGCCGTCTGCGTCGATGGAGAGGGATTTACACGGGACATCTGCTGGTCTCTGTGCGGGAGATGTGAAAGTATCCACGTCGACAATGTTGGTTTCACCCGACGCTCCGAATGCCCATACCCTCGCTCCGCCATGCGACGACTGCAATGCCAGTTCGACGACATTGTCCATTTTTCCGATTTCCTTCCCGTATATCTTGAGTGGCCACATCATTGCCGTAGGACGGTAGCTCACACTAAGCAAGAACTCCCAATCACCATTCTGGTTAGGCACGAGACTACCCCGTCGCTTGAAGGAGCGTTCACCGTCTAGGAACCAGTCGCGCGCAAGGTCGGAGTCGCCCATTACACCTAGCGATTGGGCTTCGCGTTCTTTGCGGATGACGTTGAATACGTCTAAAGGTACGGAGTACAGGACTAGACGGTCCTTGTAGGCTGCGACGACCCGAAGACCCCAGGAGAGATCTGAGCCTGCTGCGAAGACGGTTGGTGTTGGGACAGAGTCGGGGCGTTCGTGGTCGAATGGAGGTGCGCAGACGAGGGCACGGGTTAGACTTGAAGGACCGCCAATTGGTGAGTCAGAGCCTATACAGAGGAATCCCGTGCGCGGCTCGATGAAGAGGATGTGCAGGCCGTCGTTTATAGGGATCGCGCGGTAATGGTGGCAGTGTGTTGCGCGGACGAGGCTGAGATTCTGCTTGTCGCGGGGGTCGAGTCTGGTTAGGGAGTGGATGTCTGCTGCTAAGTGGAGTTGGCAGGGTTGCTTGGTCTCGCTGTGGCATTGGCAGGCTGAGACGCCGGGGTCGGCGAGGGAGGAGACGAGGCGGAGTTCTTCGGGGGTGTCTGCGCGGTTGGGAAGGAAGTGGAGGATTTCTGATGGTTGGGTCATGGGGAAGTGCTTTCTGCAGTCTTGCTTGGATACTTCGTCGATCCAGCGTAGTTCGATGCCGGTTCCGCCGCCGAAAGCGACGCAGCGACGGCCGGGGCAGATGGACACGCTGCGGGGTGGGTCTTCGGGGGAGCACACGTCGTGGTAGTAGTGTTGCGAGTCAATCGGATCGTTTTGTACAGACTCGTTCACGGCATCTTGATTCTCGGGCGTGACAAGGTCGCAGACCATTCCGACGCGATCACGAAGCAACGCAGCAATGACGAATCTAGGTGCACTGGTGTCAATGGTAGCTGACACCACACCATCCGGACAAGGGATGCTTGCGACAAGCGCGATATCCCTATTGCTAACGTCTGCCAACGACGTTGACTCCAACGGGCCAGTCTTCTTGGCCAGCAGGCGGTAGACATGAATCATACAGCCAGACGTAACTAGCAAGTAGTTTCCGCAGGTGCTAACATTGAACTTCGATGAAGTCGTAGCATCTTTGCTGGAATAATCGGCTGCCTCAGACGGACCCTGCGCGCTCCGCGCACTCTGCGAAGGATGTTGAGGGGAGAGCTTTGAGAAATCTATAACACCTGTGGTCAAGAACCCAGGCTTCTCGACATTCAACTTGCGGCCTGACAGCAGACACTCGGTCGAGAACCGCTTGCTCATCCTCCACACCAGACTTTGCTCTTCCGCAGCTGAAGCAGGAGGACGCTGCAGCTGGAAATCCCGCTGCCATGCATCCCACCAACCAGCCTTCTTCAGCATACTCTCCAGTAGATTCTGGTCCAGACTAATCCGCATCCATTGCGAGCAAATCCGCCGGGCATTATCAAAGTCCCGGGGATTCAACATGTAGAAGATCTGCAGCAGAATCTCTGGTGGGACTATATTTCCAGCGGGTCGGGTCACGGGTTTCGCCGTATCAACGGCTCGAGACCATGACTTGCATCTCAAGCGCAGGGAAGAATGGGTCTGGGGTGCAACGAGATCGAGCAGCCGTTTGGCCACCGCTGGAGGAATCTCCGGCGTTACACGAGTGTCGATTGGGTTCAACATTTCAGACGAACCCGATGCCGAGTCACTCACGGTCGATTCGTTCCAGCTGAAGCCTTTCTCAAGCATACAGCTTAGTCCGGGGTGCGAAGGCCACAAGGACGGCATTGTGAGTGCAATCGAAGCAGAGTAAGCATATGCAGTTGATCGGTTCAACTCATTCGAATTGTGTCACTTTGATTAAGCTGTATTCTGTGTATACAGGTAGAGCGAAGCGAAGCGAGTAGACAGACCGGTAACGTCAGACTGTAGTCGCGAGAACGGAAGAACGGACTAACGAGAGGATCGACTAAATCGTGGGGGTGTAAACGGATGGAAACTTGATGAAAAGACGATCAGCTGAAATCAAACCAGAAAGTATGTGGAGAGAGTGAGAGGAAAGCATTCAGTGCTGCTCGGATGCCGATCTGCAGTATGGGATAATGGAATTGTGGTGGTGCCTATTCCATTGCTTCGGGGAGGCGTTGTTACCTCAATTCCTTCCTATTTTTTACTTGTTCAGGCCTCTTCGTATGAGCTGGCCAGCAGATACTCTGCTTGTCAAAGAATGGAGCAAAGCAGCGTAGTGGACGCCGGACAAGTAGCAATGCAGATGCAGACGGTTGACGTGCCAGCGCCTCTATCAGAGAGCGATTGGATAGAACAAAAGAATGGAAATTGGAGAAGTGGACGCTTCACCGCTAGAAGCGAGACAAATGAAGAAGGAATCTGATCAAGTTGGGTGTATGAGGAGAATAATATGCAAGTCTTTCTTTGTCCTTTCAATTTGCCTCTTGACTTCTGCACTCCGGGCCATCCTCTATCCGTGGCGCCGTGGCGTCGACGTCCCGAGGCCAGGGACGAGAATGACGCCCATTCCCAGGGTCAACGCCTCTAGAATCCTCCATCATTCGTTCAGATGCGTTGGTCGATCCACCGGAGAGGAGAACCAGACCCAAACTTGACATATCTGGCCATCCACATCATTGGTTCCGAATGCGTGCGGAATGGCAAGAGGAAAGATTCTGCGCGATGATTAAGCTCCTGCTTTCTTTTTATTGCCCCATGGTCCATCTGTATGCATATTATTGTGTCTGCAGGAGCCGGTGGTATCGCGGGACGACATGGTCCATCCGAGGGTCAATCAACCGCAGCGGGAATCCTTAACACTAACAAATCATCCAGCGTCAGACTTAAGTTCTTATGCTATCTCAGCGTTCAGACCAACCCATACCAGCAGGGAGATGCGCTCCAGCAAATCATAGCTCTTTGCTTAATCCCAGTCAATAGCAAAATAGGTATAGCCGAGGAATACGACGAAAGGAAACGGTCGGATGCGGACTGACGACGGAGTTGGAGTCCGGATGCAGGAGAGTTGCAGTAGTGTGCGTTGAAGGATCGTATTTGCTGTCGTCTGTTGCTGTTTGGTCTGGGCTTTGGTGTCTTTGCCGTTGGGCGTTGGATGTCGTCGTGCTGGTGAATGGGAGGCTGATGTTACATGATGCCTGAATTATGAGGCACCAACTCTACCAGGTCAGATCTTCTACGCAAGACAGATCATTGTAATTGTTCAATTTGTAAGACTAGTTTAACTTGGAAGAAAGTCGGCTCATAACAGTCTAAATCGAGGAACTAACAGAGGAATAACGGCATCGCTAGGTCTATCCAGAACAACCCAAGCACAACAGTGAACAAATGCAAGATATCAAAGAGCTAGGTGGTATCGTGGTCGTGGTCGTGGTCGTATATCATCAATCAGTGCTGTATCATCATGCCAAGTCAGTGTACTCAGGGAAAGGAAAATGATAGGAAAATGAAACGAAACGCAACAAAAGGACGGAGACAACATATAAGTACGCTTGAAACCATGCTCAAGCCATCAAACGGATTCACCACTTCCATTCATCGCCTCATAACCCGCAAAAGCTCCCGAGAAATCCGGCGCCGCACTCCGTCCCGGCAACCACGCATCATGCAGCGGCAGGATCAAACTGGGGTTCACATATTTACTCAACTTCAACCCCAGCTCTTGCCCGCCAACGCGAATAGGCAGCGCATCACGCTCGAGACCTGACGGAGGCGAGAAAGTCGCTGATGGCGAGGGAGAGATATCACCGCCGCCTGGGCGGTTTCGGTCGATGCTTTTGAGAGCGATGAATTTCATGAGTGGTTCGTAGGAGCGGCTAAACCAGTATGAGACCCAGACGGTTGCACCGAGCAAGGGCACGAGGAGCAATGAGCGAGTGACGGCTTTGCTTAGGGCGAGCACACCGATCACCGCGAGCTGGAAGACCATCAAACCCACAAATACCCGGCTGCAAATCATGGGCCAGGCGCGACCGGTGGAATGTTGTTGGTGGTCCATTGCGTACAGGAGCTGGTATTTATAAATGAATCTGCCAAGGGTGAAGTATACCAGTCCGAAAAGACAAATGAGCCACGAGCTAGGGAAAACGCTGTACACCACACAGATGATCAGAATGAAAATCGTCTGCGGAATGGAGAACCCGTAGCTGAACGTGGGCGGCGTAGTCAGTTCAGCGTACTCCCGTGGCGTCTTTGCATAGAAGAAGTTGATCGGATACATGGCGACGCTGCCAAATTCAAGAAGTCGGAATGGAAACAGACCTAAACTCTGCAAGACCAAGAAATTGATGTAGAACGGGGCAAATGATTCCAATGACCTGGCTAGAGCAAATGCAATCGTCGTCGCATCCTTGAACGCATCGCGGAGGTTCTCCCAAAAGCCGTAAAAAGTCGACGCAGTACCGAAGACAGTAAAGACGAGGAACAGGTTGAAAAACGAGAAGAAAAAGTTCTTCGAGATCACCGACAGCTCGATATCTCCACCGGACATCATACCCTGGTGATGAGAAAGCCAGGTATACAAATACGGCACAGCAACTGTCAACAGCGACAAAGCCAAGGTAGGAAGACCAGCCTGGACCAGCGACTGGGCTATCGGGTTTCGAGCAAGGGCATCCGCCAGCTGAGGGAACACCTTGTGCAGAGTCTTCAATTCCAGCAAATAGGCGACGGGAATCAAAAGCACCGACCAGAAGACTGTGAAGAATGCGATGGCTATAGTGATAGACCACGACTGCATCATCCGTCTGGCACGCGACACATACGTATTCCTCCACACGACATCAGCCGGCGCGGGAGCAAGTCTGGCGAAGAGTTGCATCGGATGGGGATCGAGTATCGCCTGAACAACCATCTGCGAAGCAGCAATAGACTCCATCGTCACGAACGCCAATCCAGTTGGCGTGTACTTCTTCCGACGAGCAGTCAGAATCGTATCGTCCAGATTTCGCAGCTTTTCTTCAAAGTAATCAATCGCATCGATATTCCGGTAGCGCAGGTTTAGTGGCCCATACCAGATACGCACTGCCGGACGCTTCCTGTGGGCAGCGCGTTCTCGAGCACTGTCCGGCAGAAGTTGGGTCCGCTCGTTGTCATCGTCTAGGACCAGGCTGGAGCCACCTGCTTGTTGCCATGTCATGGGCATAACGTCCCCATTAGCCCTACTTGGTCGCTTGTACCCCAGGTATTTGGTCCACGACCGTTCAAGGTTCCGCAATACGCCAAGTCGCTCATCGATCAAGCCATCCAATTCACGCCAGTCACGGCAAAGAGTGACATTCTCGACTTTCCCAATCTGCAGGCCCTCGATAAACTCCTTGATATTGTCTTCCGATCTCATTTCCTTCGGGATGCCTGAGAGACGAATCGTCCGATCTGTGGTGCTGGTCTGACTTCCAAGGTACCTTTGACGGGTGCGGATGACTTTGTTCGTCTCTTGCAGAAGTAAGTAGATCGCCAGCCCGCTGAAGATGTATGCGAAAATTACATACATCGACAGGTAGTTCGGAGAAAGCACCTTTTTCTTATTGCCATCATCACCTCCATCCCCATTATCCGATCCGGGGATACCTTTCTTGCCGCCGTATGTGTAATGAATCGGGAGGATGATAGCAACGGCGAAAACGAAGAGGGTCGACAGGAACCGGATACCGAATTTGAAGAACGATAGGAACTGCACGATGAATTCTGATTAGACGTGCTCCCGTAAGACTTGGTACTAGAGGCACTCACCACATAAGCATCCATACCCGCAGACTCTAACACCTGCTCATCCGTAATCCGATAGAGAACCGGTATCCAACCAAAAAAGCTATCAGGCAATTCCGGCAAATGAGACGCAGAATTGCGTTGCCGTCTCCGGGCCGCATACAATTCCGTCCATCTTGGCCGTAGTACCTAATCCATTAGCATCTTATCATCCTCTCCTTTCAAAAGAACCAACATACACAAAACGCCAAAAAAGCACCCAATCCCAACACACTGCTTATCACCAATTGCGTATACAGATCCCGCTGGCTCTTCATCTGATCCTGCCACGGCTCATGCACACCCCCCGGCTGGTTGGTGGCCGTACTCGACGCGATAACATGCACCGCCGTCGCGGCGGTTTCGGCGAGGGACATCAGGTATCACGCACGACGTGAACCGGTTCTTCGGAGTTCGCAATGGGATAATTCTCCTTATCGCGGTGCTGCCTTTTTTCTTTATCACAGCATGAGAGGCGGTACGATCTCTTCCAGAGAGAGTAGGATTGGGCTTGGGTCAATAACAGAACTGACGTCAGGGGCGGATGGCAGCTGAGAGTATGTTGTACAGAGTAGTGAATGTCGGTGTCTTAAGGGATTAGACACAATGAGAATGCAATAACAACTGCTGCCCTGGTAAAGTGAGGCAGATGAGGTACATACTGCGAGAATTTCTTCGTCCACCTGATCCCAAAAAGTTAAGACGCGATGAGTTGTGCATTGCTGAGTCAGCAGAGAAACGGTGTGGTTGTTTCAGCATTCTAAGAGTTAACCTGGAGATAGATCATGAAGCACTTGAATTGCATTCTTTATGGGACTAAGCTTTTACATACATATCTGGGGGAGCAGAAGTACGAACGGCGAGCGTGGTACTTAGAAAAATGTACTCTGTACTGTGCCTGGGAGAGTAATATAGCTGCATCATGCGGTCATATTGCATCCTGTCTGTCTTCACGGTACAAATTATCCCTGAATCACTTGTACCCTGAATTGTACAGAGTACAGATGGCCATGTACTACATACTACACGGTACAGTGCCACATATTCTGAGTTGAATTGACTACATCAGTACAACCTTCAACCGATAACTACATATTCCACAACCCAAATCCCCGCCACCAGTTTCGTCCACTCCTCAGGCGATGGACACGGTCGAAGCACGTACTTATGTGTATCGGCCTCCGAATTCTTCGCACAGCTGGGAATACGCTTTTCCGGACGGCGGCAAATGGAATGCAGGTTCAAAAAGGGATCTCCCGGGTCGCTTTCAGTTTTGAGTGCTGCAGTAGAGTCGGGTTAAGTCTTTCGCCAGCCGATTGAAACCCCAAAACCTCTGGTAGCCGGAGACGAAAATATGATAAGATCCGGAATACATGTTAGGATACAAAGCCGCATAGCGGACTTATGCATGTACATAACGCGCACGTGCGGTTACTAAGCACCCGCACGTCACATGACCGCGACATAAAGGCTTAACCCCGCTGATGGCCGGAGACAGGACATCAGCGATTAGTACCGTGAATACTACGCATACACCTTCCATAACGCTCACTGCGCTATCTATAGATCTTCTCTTACAATACACAAACGTGGGGTGTCCAAAGCTATCTCCATAACTGGACTCAAGTGGGGATTGGAGAAATGATTGCCTCGTGCCAAGATTCCATCTTCCATAACTGCTTGGTTCTGTAGAGCTCCGGTAATCCTGCAAGCGGTCCTACGAGGCAGGTTAGTAGATGCTGGTGATAGCTTACCAGGTAATTACGCTGCCGTCTGTCCGGTTCTCAAGATGACCATGCGATAACAATGGTATGGATGGCCAGCAGACCGCATGAAACTGGAGGATAGTTCTATGATTCATTGGGGCGAAATATCCGAGACCGAGGAAACAATTGCCGTATCGAAATCTTGCTCAAAGTAACCATGGTAGACCACACGAGAAACCCATGTTCTGCGCGTCCATAACCATTTCATCCATCTATTGTTGTTTATGTACGTAACGTGATCCATGTCCGGTCCCAAAGCCTGCCGACACGTTCTAGAAATGACAAAAATGGAAAAAGGGAATACGACATTTCGACATCATGATGATAACTGCGAACCGCTCTATAGTCTGGAGTTCAACCCGCTGGTTCCGTTCGGCTTTTGTGATTCCGCTTGAGGTTTGCTGTAGAAAACGAAAACGGAAGGAAAAGGTCGCCTGAATTAACAAAAGCAAAAACAAAAAAAAAAAAAAAAGAGAGAAAAAGAAATGGCTGGAATGTCAATTTACCGCTCAATGTACGAAGGAATAACCTCCGGCTGCATAGTACCCTGGAGGATGTCTACAAGTAGTTAGCATGTGTCGTACTTGGCGAAAGTGCATTAGGTGACTTACGGTAGCAGGCTGTGAACAAGGGGAAGTCAGACTCCGTGCCCTGCTTCTTGAGGAAATGGTTGACCTCGATGGCAGTCAGGGTTCCCTGGAGCGACTGGCCATTGAGCTCGGTCTTCTCGATCTCGCTGATGTGCTGCTTTCTCTGCACGCTGAGCTTGGCGCAACGGAAGTTACGGCCAGAGCTGCAGCTGGTGATGAGATCGGCAACACCCGCGCTCTCGTCGGTAAACGTCCGGTTGTCGATGGTGGCACCGAAGAACCGCTCACCGAACTTGACCATCTCCAAAAGACCAACACGCATGATGGCAGCCTTGGCGTTGTCACCCCAGCCCAGACCGTCAACCCATCCGGCAGCAAGAGCAACGATGTTCTTCAGAGCACCTGCGAGAGAAACACCGGCAACATCGCTGTTCACACGGATGTGGAAGTAGGGACGGTGGAAGAGAGTCTTGAGAGTCTCGTGGTCAACTGGGGGGAACTCGTTGGGCAAGGGCTGGAGCTTGGTCTTGGAGTATTGACCGGAGACATCCTTGTGCTCAAAGTGCACAGCGTCCGCGTTGGGAGCCTTGGAGTCCAGATGCGGGGTATCGTAGCCAATGGTCGACTCGGACCACTTCTCACGAGCAACCTCGTTGGCAATGTTGGCACCCGAAAGGGCACCGCAGTAGATACCCAGGGTGTTGCCAATGGTCTCGGAGAAGAGGTGAGCACCCTCCTCGTTCACGTCAACACCCTTGATACACGAGATACCACGGGCGTAGGGCAGGATCTTGCCCTTGATCTGCTCGCAGGTCCTGACGATGAACTGGTGAGGCAGGTTGAAGACCAGGATAGTACTATCCTGGACGGCATCCACAATCGAGGGGTTGGCCTTCAGGTTGTGCGGCAGACTGACACCAGGGAGATACTTGATGTTCTCGTGGGTCTGGTTGATCACATCGGTCAAGTTCTGCTGGCCCTGGCACAACGGCGACGAAGGGTCATAGTGACGAGAGTCCTTAGGGATCTCAACCTTCTCCTCGAACACCCACATCTGGACATCCTGCTCAAAGAGCGAGGGGCTGCTAGCAGTGTTTTCAGCGACGATCTTGGCGATGGCACAGCCCCTACAATTCAGTTAACATTCCACTCTCTTTTTATTGATCCGTCTCAGTTATTATAGTGAGCATACCAGTTACCGGAACCGACCACGGTCACCTTGTGCTTGCGCTGGTAGTGGGAAACAGAACTCATATTGAAGGTCGACGTATATGCAGAATCAAGAGATAAGGACGAGTTGTTGGAGGAAGAGAATGGAGCCGGAGCGACAGGGCGAGGTAATTTAAACGGGCCCGGAAGGATTGGCTTCGGCGAAAATCGTAGCGGGAGAGTTTGGGAGGACGATCGAGTATTGATCCGAGAGAAAGCTACAGAGGTAGTAGTTAGGGAACGTGGAGAGGACGAAAAGACGGGGGACCGAGGCAGTTGAAAAATAACGCCGCCAGCGCTGAAGGTGGCACACGACAGAGGAATGCCTGTCCGGTTAATTGCGCACCGCATCCACTCTGACAAATGAGAGGGACGACAATATCGAACAAAGTATCCGGAGTAGGGGATTCCTGGAAGGAATTGAGGGAAAAGCCCTCCCAATGATGTAACAAGAGTGCCCGTAGCGGGTTTGATACCCGTGAATGTGGACCTGTAGTTATCCCAAGATACACCGGAGTCCTCACAGGTTAGCCGGAACCACAGTAATCAAAGCTAAACCAGACACCGATGATGCTGATAACGTCAATTCGACGGGCGACTCCCCGTTGTTGGCCCATTTCCCTCATAAACTACTGTATGGACTCTCCCCACCTCTTCCCTCCTTCTCCAACCACGAAAACATGACGAAAACGCCCGGATGCAGGCGGTAAGGTAAGCGGCTCCATAAGCGGACGGCCACTAGGCTGTTTAGGGACTAATGTGGCCATTAGGAGTGGCAGAATTCCGGATCATGCTGTTTTCGGTAAGTGGGAATGCTTCGCTAAAATTACTCGTTCGGGACTCGCTGCGAAATCTGTCGGTTCACTCTGGTCCGTAACAATTCAAAGTCTCTCTGAATCGGAAGGCGGCTGGTACGCATAATATGGTAAATTTCGCCGTGATGGTCTTGTCGCATTGAGGACGTTGCTAATGATTGTCGCATCAAAAAGGCGCCTAGTATAATGAAGAAGCAGACCAGTGGTCGAGGGGCAGTTCCCTCAACCAAGACCAACGACGGTCTCTTTGGCGACGACTTTCGCACCTCGAAAAAAGACAAGCGCACCATCAAGCATTCCAGTTTCATCTCCAAGATCGAAAAGAATTCGAAGAAGCCCCCCCAAAAGCGACGCGCGTCGAAGAAACTTGCGACCTTGGATTCTCTGGCCGACGCGCTTCCCGACGCAGATACCGAAGAACAGCAGCAGGGTCCCAATAGTCAAGTGAACATCATCAAGCAGAAGACGTTGAAGCATAAGCCAGGGGCCGAGAAGCGCAGACAGAACCTGGAGAAGTTGGAACGCGATCGGTTTGCCAGAAACATGGCACAAATGACGGCCATGGACACTACCCAGGAAGCGGCAGCGCCAACCACAACAGAGGGAGCTAGTAGTACGGCTACAGAGGAGACAAACGGGTCCGCGAACAGATGGGCAGCTCTGCGCAGTTTTATCTCGCAGACCATGGAGCAGCAGCCCGTGTTCAAAGCAAACAAATGAACAACTGGCGGCGGTGCTGGTGAGATGTATTCCTGCAAGTCGCCATAATAGTTTAGGTTTTCCCATGGTATGCCTGTGTGTTATATCAGGCTGCCTGGGCATCTCGTATAGTTGCAAGGGCTATGCTGTCATGCGCCCTCAGCCATGCCTTGGGCACCTCGGCATGTGTGACAGCCATTCAGTGTCTATAGTTGTCGGGCTATTCCCGGACCACTGAGCCATAGTCTCAGGCTATGAGGATTGAATACCGGCCTACGTCTCACGCCTCGAGTCAGAAGGATAGTGAAACATCAATCATGTCGAATTGATTGTCTATACCAATACCAATATCATACGATCCATAGTGAATGATTTGAAATGAGAAATGCCAGAGCCATCATGCAATGCATGTCTATGATTATTTCTCCGAGACTTTACCGGGCATTGACCCATTCTCCCCGTTTTACCCACCTTCTCCTTACAGCAAACAATCGGCGGGTCTGCTTCTGTTTCATTTGGTCATCCGTACGGCCGCGGGGTCTCCGCTCAGGATGCATTTCATGTACAAAATAATACGCTTGCTTTGCATTTACTCCTCACGAGTATGTACTTATCCTGCGAGGTACACCGGGTAATGCAGGAAGATCGCAATATCAAAAATATCGCACTGTCTGGAGACCGGGAGGCAAATGCCGGCTCGTGGTTGCACATCGTATTGGGGTCAAAAACGACCAATTATCAACTTGCCATATATTTGAGGAAGATATTACTACGCTATTTATTGTAGTAGTTTCGCATGCAAAGGCCATAACATGGCTTCGGGTACTGCGTACTATGGTACTTCGCACGCAGATATATATTGCTCGCCTCCGATGCCTTGAAGCAATACGAGCAATGCCAGCAACGCAAGCGACACACATGGGGCAAACACAATATCAATTCTAACGAACAGGCAGAGGGATGCAGCATCGTCGACTCAATTCAATCCACACTGCAGAACAGCGTGTTTGAAACTCATCGGCGCAATGCTTTCACTCCTGAGAGACTACCGGTTGGAGACTGGAGAGAATAAATGTCAATGACTCCTGACTACTGTATCTGACCAAAGGGTCATGATCATAACCGACAAAAATGAAAACCACACAACTATCAGCGTCTTCGATGCTATCGTCTACATAGAAGAAATATGAGGAGAAGATTCTCGTGATAAGATGTCACGTGCTGCGGGGAAAGCTGTCCCATCTTATCTCATCAGATGACAACAATCGGATCGGAGCCGCTACTCTGACTTCATTCCTTGTCTCACCACGTTCCTTCATTCTTAACGCTTTTCACCTTCTTTTCTTTTAGTATATCGATAGTACAGGCGCCCGGCCATGCTGCGGCTGCCCCTACGAACCAGTGCTTCTTCGCACTTCCTCAAGGTGCGCTGCGATAGCGTCCTCCGCTATCGGCCTGCAGTATACAGCGCAGCTCGACGGGATTTCACCAGCTGTTCTACCTCTTTTCCTAGATTCTCGCAGTTTAACCGGTCAGATTTTGGAAATCAATCATGGTCTAGCAGCTATGAGCCTGGGCTTCCCACAGCTGGCCCTCTAGGCGCGACTCCGGCTTTCGGAGCTCCCCGAATCACGCCGCGAGTACTGAAGCAGTATCTCGACCAGTTTGTTGTTGGACAGGATCGGGCAAAGAAGATTCTCAGTGTTGCTGTATACAATCACTACCAGCGCGTGCAAGAATTGCAACGACGGGGAGAGGAAGCTGAGGAGGAACAAGCCAAACGTGAGCGGAAAGAAGCTCTTGAGGGCCACCCGGTAGAGGGTGTGTTTGCCTGAGTGAGATCGAGACCAGCAAGTGCATGGCTAACTTCTGCAATTTTGATCAGATGAATTTCCCGGTCAAAACCGGACAGTTCGCGTGTCTACGAACCGAAATCAATCGCCTTCTCCGTCGGACCTACCGGAGCTCGTCGATACGGCACCGCTACAACTCGAAAAGTCCAATATCCTTCTCATGGGCCCGTCTGGTGTGGGAAAGACATTGATGGCAAAGACGCTGGCTAGAGTGCTTTCCGTCCCGTTTAGCATCTCCGACTGCACGTCGATCACCCAAGCCGGTTATATCGGAGAGGACGCCGAGGCGTGCGTCCACAGGCTATTAGCGGCCTCCAACTATAATGTTGAGCAAGCAGAGCGTGGTATAATTGTACTAGACGAGGTGGACAAACTTGCAGCAGCCAAGGTCAGCCATGGCAAGGATGTAAGTGGAGAGGGTGCGCAGCAAGCCCTTTTGAAGATCATCGAAGGTACAACAGTACAGGTCCAGGCGAAGCAAGAGCGCAATTCTCCTCATGCTGGTGGCACACCCAACACCTACCCATCCAACAGTCCACTGGGGAATCCTCCGAATTCGGGCAGTCAACCAGCAAAGGGAGAGGTTTACAATGTACGTACGGATAACATCCTGTTCGTATTCTCCGGTGCGTTCGTTGGTCTGCACAAGGTGATCATGGATCGGATATCACGCGGCTCGATTGGTTTCGGGCAGCCCGTTCGATCAGCAACCAGCACGGGCGATCGTCCTGGGGAAGCAGGTGCAGGGAATAACCAGCCCATTCCCATCCTACCGGGCTCAGAGGAGGAAGAGTTATACAAGAAACATCTGCCGTTCTTCACGCCACCTTCAATCGCATCGCCTGATAGCGAACCAAGCTATTTCAACTCGCTAGACCTTGTCACCCCTACCGACCTACAGAACTACGGCTTCATCCCCGAATTAGTAGGCCGTGTACCTGTTACAGCCGCCCTCGCCACCCTAACACAAGCCCTCCTCGTCCGCATCCTGACCGAACCCCGCAACTCTTTATTGGCACAATACACCACCCTCTTCTCGCTATCCGGCATCGAACTCCGCTTCACCACCCTGGCTTTGCACAAGGTCGCCGCCAACGCCTTCCAAATGGGAACCGGGGCGCGCGCTCTCCGCACGGAAATGGAGACGATCCTCAGCGACGCGATGTTCGAAGCGCCGGGCTCTAGCGTGAAATTCGTCCTTGTTACGGAAGCCGTCGCAGACCGCAAAGAGAAGCCCATTTACCTAGCGCGTGGCCAGGGTGGAAAGTTCCATTCGATGATTGCAACAGAGGAGAGCCAGTGGGAAGAGAAGGTTCAGCGAGAGAAGAAGGACAAGGAGTCCAAGGCAAAGGCTCAATCGAAGGAAGGGATCAACTTTACGTCGAATTACCAAGAACGATCTCATGCTTCGGGATCCTGATCTTCACCCTTGGCCTAGAATTGCGTCTACCATTGGGATCACAGAGAGCCTCGATGGCTCGTAAACTGGTTTGATGCGTATAATATTATATTGGCATTGGAATGACCCCCGTCATTCATAGCATTTAACATTCAGGTATTTATAATGGTGGCACATTTGGGTATAGTCTAGGCGTCCACAGGTTACTTACATTCTTGTCTATTGTTGTGGTCATTTATCGTCGATAAGTTCGTTGCAGAACTGCTAAATAGCATACGAATACAGTGGTTATTTTCAAGTCCAGGGTATAGATAGTATTCTATCCACATCAGCACCATGTGTAAAACGAGACAAAATAAACAGAAGTAAACAGCCGAAAAAAGCCAGAACCAAAACAGGGTATATTTAAACAAATCGAAAATGAACATAATAGATCCAACTTCCATCACATCGAGCCCACACTAGTTAGTACACAGACAGCATATCTACAACCGCGCCGGACCCTGCGCAGACCCCATCTTAACCGCATCGGATTTGCTCGGCGAATCCGCACCCTGCTTGTTGTCCTTCGAAGATGAAGACGACGACGACGCCTTCCCCTTCAACCGACTCCAATACGTCCGATAATCAACCCCATACGCCTTGAAAAAGTCCATTGCCGTCTCCTTAACATCAACATGATTCCACAAATTCCAACTCTTCAGCGGCTTCGTCGTGAGAATCGTAAACCGTCTAAAGCGATGGCTGTTGACGAGTGCCCAGCCAGCGAAGAATTCAGCTAGATGGTCTGTGTCGCGTTGTTCTTGCGTGACCAGACCCCTGGTGTCTGCTTCGGTGCGGGAGCCGTAGAGGGGGATGGTGGGTGGGGAGATGACGCGGTTTTCGGGGCAGTCGTCGTGGATGCCGTCGAGGGGTTCGGAGTGGGTGAGTAAGGTGCCGTTGTCGGTGGTGCTGAGTTGGGCGATTAGGCTGTACATTGCGAGCCAGCTGTATCCCAGTTAGTTCACTGTGGTATAAATAAAGGGGCTGGTGCACTTACACTCCCTGCCGCTGCTTTTCCGCAGGCTCTGGCTGCTTCAAGAGCCATTCAAGAACATTCGGGCGTAGCATCATCTTCCAACTGCCTGGGAACTTCTTCTTCGTCCAGTCGTAGAACCAGGCCAGGATGATGACTGTGGCATCTGGTTCACGGACCATAAAGTCTTCTGTCAAGAGAATGACCCCGCCATGGGGGAAGAGCCGCTGGAAATAAGTCTTGTTGTCGCCCTCTCCTATTCCAGTTAGGGAAAAGGACCAGAATGTGAATGATTTGTGGATGAGGCCGCGGAGGCTAAACATGGTATCGTAATTGACAAAGCTGTCATGGAACTGTTCGAACGTTAGTGATATAAAAGAGACTGCTTAGTGCGCAACATACCAGCACAACACCACGGTTGATGGTCCGAACAAACCGCTCCCAATCCTCCTCAAGGCGGCTGGAAAATATGACGGCTTCATGCTTTTTCAGAAACTCAACGATGATTCCGCATTCGTCTTGGGCTAATGTATTCTCAGGCGGGCACATCAGGTAGAAAACCTGAGCACGGCCTTTCTCAACGCCATTATTCGTAGCAAGCACGTCGAATGTCATTTTGAACACATTTCTGAAGTAGTCATCTACGTCGAAGTTCGCCACGGACAGTTGCTGCTGTTGGAGTTGTTGCTGGGCCGAAGGTTTCTCCTGAACAAGTGCTGGCTCGTCACTTTCCATGGGCTGTTCCTGAGGAAGCACTGGAGTTTCGACGCGATTGCTGGCATCCGCGGGAAGCTGCAGTTGCAGTTCTTGGGCAATCTGAGCTTCCAGCAGGTCTTTCTCAACCCTCTGTTCCGTCGGAGTCGGGAGGTTGTCCTGCAGTTCCGTCATTCGTGCAGGGATTGCCCGGAAAATCCTGTTTGAAGCTGTCGGTCTGTCCAGGTATGCCAAGGGGTTTCGAACAGTTAAATGAAGAAACGTGTCCGGAGAAAAATTGAAGTCATTGCGAAGGAAGTCGAAATCTAACGAAGAAGGCGAGTACGCAAGTAGCACGTTTTTACCCCAGGTCGGTTCGTCGGGGTACGCGATCGCGAGAAAATTACCCCGTTGGAGTGCCTGTCCTGTCCTGTAAACATCCGGTTCCGTATCGTCGTACCCCTCGATCCAACCGTTATCGTACCGGAAATTGGTTTTTGACTATGAGGCAGTTGTCAGACTTGCTTGTTCGTTTGTTATGGATAGTTGATACAGGCACACTTACTCTATTGCACAGCTCTCTGTATTCATCGAGTGTGCAGATCTGTTGGAACCAGACATCTATCTTGCTGTCCTTCTTTGATTGTATAACCCTGGACCTTGACATGGAACTCAACCCGCACAGTCGAACCGGTCCTATAAACCTTTTCTCTGGTCCAAGATACATGTTGACGAAAACCTCGCCATGGTTCCAAAATCTGGTTTGAGAGTTTTCATCCCTGGCCCGACGGAAGTTGGCACCTTTGATTGTCATGGGCCGTCTTGGAGGGAGTGGTGGTATTGGTTCTTCACTGAGCCATTGACTGCGAGCACCGTCATTTTCTATTTGCAATTGAGAAAAATTTCGTTCATCAGGAGTGCCAGGGCGGTCTCGTGAGAAGGTAGATTCTGGCCTCCGTGAATCGGGTGCCGGTCTTTCGGGGCTGAAGGCATCTCGCGCGTGAAATGAACTGGTTCTCCACGAATCTCGTGAACCTTGTCTTTCCGGTAAAGGCGGACGCCGTGTGCGAGGGGATTCCGACCTCCATGAGTCACGGAATGCCTGTCTTTCAGGTACACGTGGAGCCCTTGGCGGAGATGATTCTGGTCTCCACGAGTCCGACGTAAGCTGACGGCGAAGGCCTGGTGCCGGACTGGATGGACGATAGCTATCCGAGAAAGGGTTGTTTCTTTCTACTGGCGAAGCCACAGGAGAGCCCCCTATGGGAGAGTCGACTAGATGGTCCGCAACCTTGAGGGTAGCAACAGGGGCACCTGTTCGCGCAGGCCAATCTGACGGACGAATGAGCTCGAGTTGGTTGATGTTGGGAGGTGGTTCGTAGCCTTTGGCCTTTTCAAATCGCCATTTGGTTGAGAGGTTACTAAATTGCTTATCCGGCTCATCAGGCTTTCTGTTCTTGTTGCGAGCTGCCATCCATGGTCCATGCCGGTTCTGACCACTTCCAAATAGAACCATCGGAGGTTTCGGGGGGATGTGTCTCATGGCAGTAGGACGAGATGGAGGATTCATTCTTGCGTTTCCTGAGTCTGAGTTGTTGAAAGAAGGATGATTTGAGGAAGCAGGCGAGGCTGCGCCGTCGACGCGTTGCTTTTTCCCAGCATCTGTTTGCTCGCGGGACAGGCCTAACCGTCTCCTCTTGGCCTCGCGCCTGCGACTCCGCTTCTCCTGCGCATCCTCCAAGGCAATCAGATGGTTTTCGAAGCTGACCAGATCAAACTCAGGTTGCTTCCCCTCTGCGATGGCCTTTCTTTTCCTTTTCCAGTCCAAAAAGCTCTCATCGTTAAAGAAAGACTCCGCGGGTTCCCAGGTGGCGCGTTCAATGGAATATCCCGCCCACTTGACCAGGTACATGGGCTGATCATCTTGAGTCCGTTCTGCCAAGATGGCCTCGACTTCATATTCCGATTCTTGCTCACTGGGCACGGTGGACGTGACCGAGATGTCATCATCATCCACGTCGCGCATTTCCACGTCAGTCATTGTGCCTGAGCAATGGAGTAATTTGATCAATCTGGTTTTATTGGTGAAGTAGAAGTGATTGGTGTATTCTGGATGCAGTTATCCGGCAGGTGTACATATCAATCAGAGCGGAGATTACATGCTGATGGATGATACAGCACTCAAGACGGCTGCCAGTAGAGCATCCTGTCAAGAGCAAGAACAGTACGCAGTAACAGTATATGCCCCGATAGACAGTAGTAGTAGGAGTGTAAACAGTAGACAGTGTCGCGGTCTACTGGAAAAATGTCTGACCGCCCACGTGAACACACTAAACCGTTTTCAGCGTCGACGGGCGGGCCAGGGAGAAGCCGCTCCACCTCCGGGCCTCGAATGAATACAACTATCTCAACTTCCCTTTTGCTACGGACCAGTCTGGCATCTGCTCCGTGTCTGTGCTTGTATGTGTACCCCCTGACCCATCGTTATTCTCCTTGATATTTCGCGATTTCGCTGCTAACGGCTTTGTCTTCTTCCAGTTTCTTTCTTTCTATTATCTCCCTCGTGACGGCTCGAAGCCACGTCGAATTTCTTACCCTTTTTTTTATCTAAAAGAGTGCTGGTCTAACTCCCACGACTACCCCTCATGGCTAACGACGAATATGATGTGAGTTTCTATTCTAATCCTTTTTCTGCAAGAAAGATGACAGCTAACAGCGTTGGGATGCTAGTTTCTCTTCAAGGGTACGTTGTCACTCGTGTGATCATGTCCCTCCTTTTTTCGCCCCTTGCCTCTTTCGCACTTCCTATCTCGCACCTATCAGGACTTAACTGACCAGAGACAACGCGCAGTGGTGCTGATCGGTGATTCGGGTGTCGGAAAGTCCAACCTGTTGAGTCGTTTCACCCGCAACGAGTTCAATCTGGACTCCAAGTCGACTATCGGTGTCGAATTCGCAACCCGCTCCATCCAGGTCGATTCCAAGACGATCAAGGCTCAGATTTGGGATACTGCTGGCCAGGAACGTTACCGGGCGATTACCTCGGCTTACTACCGTGGCGCGGTCGGCGCTCTCCTCGTTTACGATATTAGCAAACATCAGACCTACGAAAACGTCAACCGGTGGTTGAAAGAGTTGCGGGATCACGCTGATTCCAACATCGTCATCATGTTGGTCGGAAACAAGAGCGATTTGAGACACCTGCGGGCTGTGCCCACGGAAGAGGCCAAGCAGTTTGCGAGTATGTTTTCTTTGTGTTCCCCAGGGGGGTGAGAAGTGGGTCGCGCTGACCGCAACATAGGCGAGAACAACTTGTCGTTCATTGAGACCTCTGCCCTTGACGCCAGCAACGTCGAACTTGCCTTCCAGAACATTCTGACAGGTTTGTATTCCCGCTGCACTTCGCTCGAGTCGCACATGGCTGACGCAACAATTCCAGAAATCTACCGTATCGTCTCCAGCAAGGCGCTCGAGGGTGACTCGCCCCAGAACCCGCTCGGGGAACGTCGCCAGGTCATCAACATTAGCGAGTCGCAGGATTCGGAGCAGAAGCAGGGCTGCTGTTAAACGACTTTTCTTCCTTTCTCCCTTTGTCTTTTTTTTTTTTTTTTTTATCCCCTTCTTGCTATGTGATAATTGAATGGTCTTATTTTGGTCTGTCTTAGCCTCCGGATGACAGACTCGCACACTTTATGAGGTTTACTCGTCATTCGCCATCAAATCCTTTTATTAAATGGACTATTTTCTTTTCTTGTGTTCGTGGCCTCTGCTTTCGGTTTTATGATTAGCTCTTGATGGCTCATGTATGTTATGTGGTACCGGTTATGGATCATTGAATCGTATTTTAGTTTATTATGATTAGTTTATACCCCTGTAGTGGTTCGTCATATTTGGATATATCCTTCACTGAGGCCTGTCCTATTCCTTCAGGCACCCAAATGAAGTCCAACTTCCTTATTCCATCTCAGTTGGCTCACGATCTCGGCACGTTTATAGATTCTTGGGGGCTTATGTCCATACCTTCTGCTATCTGCATCAGCAATCACCCGGGGATCCACCTTTCCGGTGTCAAGCAATAGTTTGATCATCTGTGTCTCGTGGGTTTTGGCTGCATAGTATAACGGAGTGCGTTTGGAATCGTCTTCTGCATCTGGGTCCGCTCCACCCTCAATAAGTAAGTTGGCTACAGAAACATGCCCATACCGAACTGCATAGAATAATGGGGTCCATCCTGTGTCATCTCCTGAGTGTGGATCCACTCTCCCGGTCTCGAGCAGTACTTTGACCATGTGTGCGTGTCCCGCCCTAGCCGCGTATAAAAGCGGCGTCAGACCGTTCTTATCCGTAGGATTGGCGTCGACTCTGCCCTCATTGATCAATGTCGATACGACAGCAGCTTGGCCTGCCATGATAGCTCTGAAAAGAGGCGTGTAACCATCAATGCCCACGGGGTCATGGCCAACTCTCGGGTCGCTGAGCAAGTGCTTCAAGATTTCCACATTGCCACATTCGGCAGCGTAAGAGAGAGGAGTACGCTTCTTCGCGTCTGCAAAATTCGGATAGCAACCCTTGTTTAACACCAGGAGGAGAGTATACATGTCTCCACTCTCCGTGGCATAAAAAATGGCTTCGCGACCATGGCCTTCATCTTCCAGCAGCGCTTGTAGCTTAATCAAGGTCTTGGCCACGGTTTGCCAACCCCTCGCGGCAGCAAGGTCAACTAGGTGCTCGTTTATGTCGTTGGGTTGTGTAACTTTAATGTCTCGCAACATCACAAGGGTGGAAACCAAATCGCCCTCTTTGATGGCAGCTTGTACTGTCTGCAGGACTGTGTCAAGTTGCACAGTATTACCGCTGTTGAGCAGGAGTGACCGGCTGTCTGTATCAAGGGTCAACCTCAAGGCCACATGGCCGTAAGTCTTTGCGACTTCAATAAATTTTGGTAGCTTGAGGTTAGTATACTGACGAATCGCCCATGATATGCCCTTGCAAGCCAAGATGCGATTCTCAGCAATACCAGTGAACAGCGCCCATCGATAAAGCTCGCATAATGTTTCTAGTACTTGTTCGTGCTCTTGCATTGTACTGCTCCCCGAGGCTTGATCGGAGTCCAGCGTTCGCAAATCGGGTTGTGGCTTCTCAGAACCTTCTGAGCTAGCAGATGCGCGTGCAAGCTCCAGCGATATCTGCCAGGTCCACTGAAGAAGTCCTTTAGCTCTTTGCCATTTCCGATTCTTTCTCAATCTGTCAGCCATCTCTATCACTTTGGGTAACCCCTTCTCAATGAGGAGATAGCTTTCCTAGACTCCTAAGAGCAGGTATGATGCACTGCATCGCATCCTCGGTGGATCCGAGCCCGCTTTCCGTGAAGGCATGGCATAGCAGTCCACGACTGCCCAGCCGTACGATCAGGGCCAGTTTGACGCATCAGTGTCAAGTGTATTTGGTTCATTACCACCTCATCGTCCAACTCACCGGGCACCGTTTTCTCGCCATTGAAAGCAACACAACATACTGGCCAGCAAATGGCCCGCACTTTTTGCCAAAGTTCTGCAATCATCACGGCATTGTCTGCCTTCGCATATAGGACTTTTGCGGTCTTCTCGATCCCGTCAGCCAAGATTAGGGCCTGCTCTCGTACCCGAACATATTTGAGTTCCCATATGCTGCTTCTCTGGGTTGGTTCGATGGGAGGGTCGAGCTCGGTACTTGAACCTTATTCCCATACATCTCATAGTTACAAGTCTCTTATCTTTCATTCTATCACCATAGCACTCCCTGTAAAAGCGCCATTTTTCTAGTACGCGGAGCGCAGCGGCGGACGAATCGTCTCATTTTCGTTCTTGATGGCAGAGATCCTGGATGACTCCCCACATAACAGGCACATTCTCACTGGTCTGACCCGTCGGACGCTTCTTGATAATAGAAAGACCCAATTCGGACAGCTTTTCGATGATATCTTCCATATCACTGTCAAGGGATCGGCCGGCAATGAGAACTTCAAAAGAGTTGATCGCCATGGTGGAGGCGAGCCAATCCAACTCATACCCTTCATATCTATCCGGATCAAAACCCATGAGATTGTCATGTTTGTGTAGACGCCTGGAACGGAGTGATGCCCGAATCCCGGACATAACCAGTGTGACCCCGAGCTGGACAACGGCAATGGATGAATGCGAAGCTCGGGAGCCAATGAACTGCAAGAGAAATCCGGCCATACTCAACACGACAGTGAGCCACACGCTCAGTGTATGGGTCGAATCGCCTGACTTTTACGACGTGATGTAATGCGTCAAAGGCGCTCTCTTATCACAGTGAGCGAATGAGCCAAAGACCTGGTCGCCGATAACTTGGTTGCCAGGCTGAATCCAGTAAAAAAACATCCGATTGCTATCCGGGCGCTTCCTGAAGATGCGCTCTTTCGTGCTCATTTCAATCAGACATGCGCAAAGAAACATTCCTATGGAGAGGAGTAGTGTCCCACTAGTGTAAACAGGGAATCCGTATCCAGGAACTACCAACCCGTCCTTATCCCATCGCAAGCAATAGGTGACCAAGCCAGCGTAAGCAAGTACGCCACACTGGACGAGCAAGCCAAATAGCGCGACGAACTTGAACATCCAGGGGGGAGGATGCTTGATCCCAACGTTGAGAGAGAGATTTGGGTTTGGTGCAAAACCCTCCGAGTCGTTGTCTGTATGACTGGTTTCCGCATCCCTAGATCTCCCCAAGGATTCTTTCACGGTTTTCATGTCTTCATACTAATGCGAGGCCCATGAAATCGGGCGATGCTCTTCCCACACTTTCTTCTTATTCAAATGTTCGCGGAATGTGTAGATTCCCGACTTGGCCGCGATTCTCTTGGTGCCTTCGTAGGTGTCGTAGAACTCTCCATCGCGAGAATTTTCCTCGAAAACCACTTTCAGAATCTTGGGGCGACCAAAGACTCTGGCAATGCCGCCGTTGTTGTGTTCCTGGTCACAGAGCATGTGTCGAAACGGTGTATGATGAGTTGTCAGGATGAGCATAGTGACCTTGCAGCTCCCGGTGCATCTGAGACCGTAAGATATAATGAAAATCGGATGAGAGTAGATGACTGACGAATGAGGAAGGAGTGAAGCTATCTACAAATCTGGCACGTGACGTCCCAAATGGAAAATGCCAAGTGAAGCGGGGTCTCTCGGATCGTAGCTCAGAGGGGAATTCGGGAGTCGATTATTCCGGACTAAACGACGTCTATATGGAGAGAACTAGTTTTAACGAAGAGGTATATTGCCTAACGAACGTATGTGCGTATACGCAGTTGATTAAGTGCTTGTCTATTTAAACGTGCGTACACGCTGGCCTATATCATCGGGCCGGCGGAACTTGCCTAATCGGTCCAACGTTATTCCTTAACACCATACGGCGATGGAACACTCTTAGTTAGTTCTAGTAAGCACTCTACGGCAGACTCAATACTACGTACATTCCTTACTGCGCGATACTGTCTCTACGGCCCACGGCTGTCATATGGCCTCGTACGGTAATCCGGAGAATCGGCACCGCTGCCCCGAAGCTTCCCCGTTTCACACCAAGATTTGTATTCACGTGCATCACATGACGCGAAGGACCGAGGTGCCTTTTGACACCATTTTTGGCGCTATGCAAAAGCCTCATAGAAAATGGAATGCTCAAGAATGGTGGCTCTTGTTGAACTAACGACCACTAATTTAGACACCCAGAATCCGGACAGAACACCTCGGGCAAACCCCCCAATCCAGCCAACAGACCCCCGATTTGCATTCCCTTGACGCGCTCGGCTTCATACTCTTTCCAGTCTGGATCAGTCTCTAGCGGCAGGAGACTACAATCCCTCAATGCCTCAATCGGCTGCACCGTCTTCCGTCCATCTTTCAAAACATACCGCCCAATTGCCGAAGCCAGGATATCCTCTTCCCGGGGCACTCCGCCCCTCTTCCCGGACTTTCTTCGGACAAAATAACTAACAACATACACCCATTTCTCATCCCAGCTTAACACTCTTGACCAAATCTCAACCTCCTGCAATGGCTGGATCTCCTTCCGGAACACGCAGCAGGTACTGCCCAACGCGATATTGAGATGTTTATTCCGTTTCGAGCGGTCATAATGCGAGGCTGATAGGACGAGCTTGAATAATCGACAGAGCAGTTGGGTACGGTTGACGTCGAGGTCGGTGAAGTAGGTGCTGTTGGACTTGTGGCCGTTATAGTCGCATTCCAGAGGGGCGGCGCGGGTGGTGGTGGTTAGATATTTGAACAGCGGCTTGGCATCATTCTTGCTGCTATGAACGGTCGGGGCAGTGGTCTGCTTGTAGATACCCCAGAGAACGCGGGCGTGCCATGCGCCAGGAAGGACTTTGAGATTGAAGAGGAGAAAAACGACGACCCCGAGGGCCAAGAGGAAGATCATCTTGCCATACAACAACCGTAGCAGGTGAAAATAAGATTGAAGGGCTATATGCCGGGCTGATATACCGCGAGATACCGCAGCCACGGAGTATATACCGGGAAGCATCTTGACCCAAAATTGGGTTTAGGGCTGTTTCAATTTTAAAACACGCCATCTAAGATCAACAACGGGCAAAAGGCCGAAAATGACATTAAACTATAATACACGGCCGAAGCCTATTCCAATTAAAAGTATTCCAGTGCCAAACCCTATTCTACAATCTCAAACTTGATCGCCGAATCCCCAAACACTCCTTTCCAATCCTCATACAACCCCCGCAATCCGTCAATGTACTTTTCTTGCAGAGAGTCGACATATTTTTCGTCCTGCTCAAAGCGCTGCTGCACTACCGGAATTGCTTCCCCAACGACAACTCTTACCGGCTTGCGATACGGAATAAACATCCCAAACCGTCCGGTCGAGAACGACACGGGATGCCCCACAAAGCCCTCCCAAATCTTCGCGATCCCTTTTTTGAGCAGAGATGAGTTGACATCCACGGGCGAAAAGAGTTCATTCTCTCCGAATGCGATCACGGGGACTAGATCAGCACCAGTTTCAACAGCGACACGGATGAACCCCTTTCGAATGCGGATTACGATTCCCATCGTGCCTGGCTTGGCGATCGCATATTCTCGACTTCCCCCGACGGTGATGGTAATCGCGCGACCCATGCCTCGTCCGTCGTGACCCCCGCGGATGAGATGTTTCACGCAGGAGCCGCGGGAAACACCACCTAGTCCAGAAGCAAGCAGATACTCTCTAAGCAGCGGAGTGAAAAACGCCGTATCCTTCATGAGCAATGTATTCGTGATTCCCGGGAACAGGTACGAGAAGCCCGCTGCATCAGACGCGAGCACGCCAATGGCCCCGCGCAGAGCAACACCATGCGGATGATATCCGAAAATGTACTTTTTCTGCGGGGACAGCGGTGCAGTGCGGTACAGGGTAAGCGGGAAATAGGAGCTGTAGAGCTCCCACACCCAAGAGGTGCGGAAAGAGTCACTGCGGAGCGAGAGAGTGCCGGTTGTGTGGGCTTTGGCGAAGAATTTGATGTATATGGTGTACAGCAGAGCAAAGAGTCGGATTCGGGGAATCAGAAGGGCGGCGTAGGCAAGAGTTGGGAGGACAAACAAGGCGTTGCAGAGGAGGGAGACCATGAGGGTTTCTACCATGCCTTTCGCGAAGGATCTGCTCTTGTTAGACGGAAGATACAGGATGAGTGAAGATGGCGGGATACTTACTTGGATGGTTTCGCCTGTGACGGAACCGTTTCGAGCGTCTTTCCAGCACCATTGCTGATCTGAGCGACCTCGTTATCCTCGAACTGAGGCATATTCATATTCATTCGCTCAGGATTCTCCAACAACTCAACCAGCTTATCAGCACCAACAACCCGTCCAGGAATACGACACTTCTCCTGGAGAACAGCAGCCTTCTCCCAATACGAGTCATTCCCCATGACTTTAAGTAGCGCCTGACTCAACTCCTTACCACTGACATCCGGCGCCCGGGTTTTATTCCCATAAACCCCGATCCCAATCCACTCCGCACGCGCAGCATTCTCATAACAATCTTGCCACGCCGGGAGAATCACATGCGGGACGCCGTTCTGAATAGCCTCGTACCATGAGTTCGCACCACCGTGGTGAACAGAGCAGACGATGTTACCCGTTTCCAGCATAGCCATGGGCTCAACCTGGAACCAATCACGGATGCGCACGCGATCTGCGTCGCATTCTGCCTTCAGCGGTTCGATGGCGGAGGCGTACACATCGCCTTGGTCGTAGGGATGCTTGGGAAGCTTCCAGAGGATCTGAGTGGATGGATCGGACCAGCGATCGAGGAATGTCTTGAGACCGGTTGCGAGCTCGCGGGCCACATTGGGGTCTGGCGCGTACAACGTCCCGAGGTTCACGAGGACAGTCGGTGCCTTCTGCAACCACCGGTCCATTTCGGGATCTTGGTCTTTGACAGATGCAACGGGGAGAAGGATGGGGCCGCACGGAATTACGTTGTCTGGCACGTCCATTGGCCAGTCGAGTTCTTTCAATGCCGGAGAGAGATGGATGCGGTCTGGGCGCCATGCATCGGCGAATGGAAAGCGGCCTTTGATCTTGTGCTTGATGCGCCACTCGCGAATCTCGCGACGACGGCCGCTGCCGTGGTACATTTTTGCTGTTTTGAGGAGGGCATGTGCGTTTGCTGGGATGAGGTGGAGGGGGAGGGGGTATGGGAAGCCGGTTCCGGGTCTACCAACTCATTAGCATGTGTCTTTTGAAACTGAAGCAAAGAAAACGGGAACTCACAAAGGATACTTCCACAAGGGCGACGAATATTTCTGCAACCCGAGCACAATATGGCTAAGCGAGGTGGTATTCATAAGCACCGCGGTATGTCCAGTGTTGCACGCCGCATCGCGTCCCTGCAAGAAGAAAAAATCGCACACCACAATATCTGGTTGCACGATCTTGACGACCTCCACACAGCCCTCATAGACATCGATATACTCTTCCTCATTCCATCCCCAGATATCCTCGATCAAGGACTGGAAACCCAGGACAGCTCCTGTGGCACCCGGGGGATGAAATGCCCCGCGCTTGCCGGTGCGGAGGAACACATCTGTATTAGAGGGCCCACGAATGGGATGGAAATGAATGCGAGAGTCGAATGAGCTATCGTAGAGAGGAGCGTTGTCGTGGAGGAGTTTGTTCACGCGACGTTCGAGGGCTGGGAAGGAGGCGATGTGGATGTCGATATTGCCTCGGAGGAGGAGTTCATGAGATAGCGCAAGAATGATGTTTGTTTGGCCGTGTTCGCTGTTGGCCAGGAAGAGGATTTTCTTCATATTGAGCGGATTAACACCTATTCAGGTATATAGTGCGTGAAGTAGATGGTTTAATCCATAGGATGGAGAATCTACGACTTATATGTAGTACTCCGGTAGACAACCACGGAGGCATAAAAATGGACAAGGACAATCAAACAATCGCCCGACAATTCAGACAATTCAGATAGATCTACTGGCTTAATCAAACTCTGAATCGAATCTGAAAAATGCATCGGAGCCAAATTTGAGACAGTTGAAACTGCGCTAATTTCCGGCATCCCAACTCGGAAGTTCAACAGAGCCCTCTAAACTATGCCAGGTGATAAATAGATTCGTTCGTACAGCATGGACATCAGCATTGAATCAAGAGTCAAACAAGTGTCACTATGATTGCTGCTATTATCTTGGTATGCTTGTCCTTGTTCGTCTGCCTTGGTGATACTAACATGCTACGGTAGATCCCATGCTTGGTCCTGTTGGGCTGTGCGCTCACGCCAAAGGCCCCTACTATGAAGGGTGTCCCTGGTAGCTGGACTGATCTTCTTCTTGCTGGTGTGAGTACTCAAGTCCCTCCATCATGAGCCATACTGATTTCAACAGTTCGGTACCAAATTCTCCTTCCTTCGCGGCCGCAGCGCCCACAAGTTCAACGACTTGCACTTGAAATACGGTATGTTCCGTTCACCAAGAGCTTAGTATCAGAATGTATACTAATTTTGTAGGAAAAATTGCCCGCTTCGCCCCCGGTCAAGCGACAACAAACACCGTCAAAGCCCTTCGAAACATCTACGCCTCCGTCGGCAAAGGCAGCGTCTTCCTCAAATCCCCCTTCTACAAAGGCATCTCCCGCCGCAACATCTTCACAGCTCAAGACCCAGCATACCACGCCACCGTGCGCAAGTTGTTCAGTCCATCTTTGAGCCCGGGCAGCGTCCAAGCGCACGACGGCGTCATCCGAGACTGCGTGCTCCGTTTGCACGATGCCCTGAAAGTTAGACTCCAGCGCAATGACACGCTCGTCCTGAACGACCTGTACTATTGTCATGCGGTGGATACCGTCTCCGAAGTGCTTCTCGGTAAATCGCTGGGCTGTCTGAACCGAGGACGGCCCTACTTCTGGACTGAGCAACTGCCGCGAATCTTCTTCTGGGCTACTATAAGGGACCAATTCCAGGGCTCAGGAGTGCCCACGGTGATCAAGTGGCTTCTGCGCAGATTTCTTCGCAAGGGTATCCGAACGAGGGCCGAAGATGCCCGCATGCGTCTGATTAACGAGTATGTTCTCTCTGTTTTTAACTTTAGGCTAGTGACAATTGCTAATGGAATAGACAACTCCGGGCCGAACACACGAGGCGGGACATGATGGTCGAAATCATGGAACGAGCACCCACCACCGATTTGCCCGAGACCGAAATTGCTGAAAACTTTTCCGCAATTATGTTGGCTGGCTTCCACACGACCCAGAATGCGCTTTGTGCGGCGATCTACTTTGTCCTGACCCATCCCGAGGCCCATGCCAAATTGAAGGCAGAGTTGGACAGTGTCTACTCCGCCCCGAAGGACATTGATGGGCAGGTGCAGAAGCTTCCGTACCTTAATGCGGTAATCACTGAGGCTATGCGGTTGTATCCACCCGTGCCGGTGGGAGGACCCCGTGTGTCGCCCGGAGCATATGTGGATGGCACCTACATCCCGGCCGGAGTAAGTCCCCCAACATTTCCAGAAACGAAACCCCTTACTAACTTTGACAGACTGAAATCTGCAGCTCACTGTTCGCCCTTCACCACAACCCCGAATACTTCAACGCCCCATACGAGTTCATCCCCGAGCGCTGGACAGACCCCAGCAACACTGACCGCAAAGAAGGAGTGCAGGCATTCCTGGTCGGTAGCCGGTCTTGCGTTGCCAAGTATTTTGCGATGCAGATGATGCAGTTTTCGCTGGGTGCGTTCTTCCTGGAGTTTGATGGCCAGTATGTGGGCCGCGTCAAGGATTGGCAGCGACAGAGCGAGTGCTATGCCTTCTGGGAGGTTCCTGACCTGCGGGTCAAGATGAGTACACGGGAGTAACTATTGGAATAGCGTATTTAGTTTTCTGTCTTGTTTTTGTGTTGTTTCCTCTTCTTGTACATCGTTACCTATTGCGTATATACTCCGGCAGATAGAATGATAGCCCACCTATTTTTTATTCCTAAGTTTATTCCTTAAGTTTATTCCACCCGATCGGTCAAGCACATGAATTTAAACGAACTATTAACTACCGAACGTCAAACAATAAGCGCTCGGAGTTCCCTACGTTCTGACCAAAAAATGTGACAGCCGGCGAGCTTTTAGGTTAGGGCTGAGTCTCAATTTTGGGTCGTTTCAGGTGTCCACTTTCCGCGGCGCCCTTAATATTGCATCAAACTAGTCCTCCAGACTATATTCCGCACTGTATAACATTGTTTTAACATTGCTTCTATTTACTCGTTCTACCTGTATATTCTAATTCTGACTCCAACAATGTCCTAATCATGGCAATATCCCTCTCCCACCACGAGAAGGACATCCTCGCCCGCCAACTCGCCAACCCTCCTGCCCAGAAAATCGGCTTCTTTTCGCTCTATCGTTATGCCTCAAAGTGCGATCTTGTCGTGCTGGCTATTGCCAGTCTCGCCGCTATCGTCGGCGGTGCTGCACTCCCTGTTTTCACCGTACTGTTCGGACAGTTGACCTCGAGTTTTCGCAAAATCGCCATTAATGCAATCACCTTTGAGCACTTTAACCAAGAACTCACAGATAACGTATTTTATTTTATCATCCTTGGAGCCGGCGAGCTCGCAACAATTGCCATAGCTACGATCGGGTTTATCTACACCGGCGACCATGTCGTGCAGAAGATCCGAATCGAATACCTGCGTGCTATCCTCCGCCAGAATATCGCTTTCTTCGACTTGATCGGTTCTGGAGAGATTACCACGCGAATTACGGCTGATACAAACTTGATCCAAGACGGTATTTCGGAAAAGGTCGCGCTGGTGTTGACCGGGTTGTCTACGTTCGTGACTGCGTTTATCATCGCATACATCAAATACTGGAAACTGGCGCTCGTCTGTACTGCTACACTCCTGGCACTGCTGGTTATCATGGGTGTAGGTTCAACCGGTATGCTCATATTCACAAAACGCGCACTCGAAAGCTCCGGTCGCAGCGGTAGTTTGGCCGAGGAGATTCTCGATGCTATGCGGACAGTAGTCGCGTTCGATGCACAGGAGACACTCGCGAAGAAATACGAGTCTTTGCTCAAGGAATCGGAGAATCCGGGCAAAAAGGCACAGATTGCTTTCGCCCTGATGGTGGGAGGCCTGTTCTGCGTTATGTATCTCAACTACGGTCTGGGATTTTGGATGGGGTCAAAGTTTCTGGTCGATGATGACGATGGTGTTCAGGTCGGGGATATTCTCACTATCCTCATGGCTATCATCCTCGGTTCCTATAATCTGGGCAATGTCGCGCCTAACAGTCAGGCGCTGGGTAATGCCGTCGCGGCTGCTTCGAAGCTCTACAGCACCATCGATCGCGAGTCGCCCATCGATCCATCTTCTGATGAAGGCGAGAGACTCGACAAAGCTCAAGGGAATATTTTCCTGCACCGCGTCAGCCATGTATATCCCTCCCGTCCTGAAGTCCTGGTAATGGACGACATGACACTTTCCATTCCCGCCGGACAAACAACAGCTTTCGTTGGACCCTCTGGATCCGGAAAGAGTACCATCATCGGATTGCTGGAGCGGTTCTACAGTCCCATCTCCGGAAAGGTCTTCCTCGACGGCCACGATATCCAGACGCTGAATCTTCGCTGGCTAAGGCAGCAAATTTCTCTGGTCGGCCAGGAACCTCGCCTCTTTGCTACAACCATCTACGATAATATCCGCTTCGGGCTACTGGGATCGCAATGGGAGCACGAATCCGAGGAAGACATTCAACACCGTATCGAGGATGCCGCTCGTATGGCCAATGCGCATGAATTCATTATGAACCTCCCGGAACAGTATCAGACAAATCTTGGTTCTGGTGGTTGTTCGTTGTCTGGTGGACAAAAGCAGCGTATTGCCATCGCTCGGGCTGTGGTCAAGGATCCGCAGATCTTGCTCCTAGATGAGGCTACTTCAGCTCTCGACACCAAGTCCGAAGGTATTGTGCAAGCGGCACTGGATCGTGCAGCTGAGGGCCGTACGACAATTGTCATTGCGCATCGATTGTCGACTATTAAAAATGCGCATAACATCGCCGTCCTTGTAAACGGGCAAATTGTCGAGCAGGGCTCGCACAAGGCACTCGTTGATTTACAAGGTGTCTATCTCGATCTAGTCCAAGCTCAGCGCATAGAAGAGATCCGGCAGTCGATGCATCTCGAAAAAATGACCTTCCTCTTCGACGCGGATTCGGTCAGAGACATGTGCTCATCTGACTCGGACTGCTATTCTTACCATTCAAGTCTTGATGAGAAGAAGCCGCGGGTCCGACATTCAATGCTCCCCGATCTATACCCAGAACCATCGCCACCGTCCACCCCGGAGCCAAAGCAATTACCCTGCTACTCCCTTTCGGAACTGATAAAGTTCATCGCCAACTTCAATCGCCCCGAATGGCCCATCATGAGTATTGGTCTCCTCGCCTCGATCGCAGCCGGCGGCATCCAGCCATCGCAAGCCGTATTGTTCGCCAAAGCCGTTACCACCCTGACTCTGCCGTCGACGGAATATGGCAAGCTGCGCCACGACGCCAACTTCTGGTCTCTTATGTTCCTGGCTGTTGGTATTGCCACATTCCTCTTGTACAGTATCCAGGGGACATCATTTGCGTATTCTTCAGAGAAGATGATTTATCGCGCGCGCACAGCGGCATTCCGCGCGCTGCTGAGACAGGACATTGCCTTCTTCGACCGCGAGGAAAATTCTACCGGGGCGTTGACCACGTCGCTATCAGCTGAGATCAAGCACCTCACTGGTATCAGCGGTGTTACGTTGGGTACATTGCTGATCGTGACCATCAACCTCATCGCCTCGCTAACAGTGGCACTTATCATGGGCTGGAAACTGGCTCTTGTCTGCATCTCCGCCGTCCCTGTCCTCCTCGCTTGCGGATTTCTCCGAGTCTGGCTACTCGACAAGCTGCAAACCCGCGCGAAAAAGGCATACCAGGCCTCTGCAAGTTCAGCCTGCGAAGCTGCCTCGGCCATCCGCACTGTCGCCTCATTGACCATGGAGACGGAGGTGCTGGCATCCTACCGGAAACAACTGCAAGCTCAGCTCCGCGCGGATATCATCCCAATTATCAAATCGTCAGTGTTGTACGGAGCATCCCAGGCATTGCCATTCTTCTGCATGGCGCTGGGGTTCTGGTACGGTGGACGCCTGTTGGGACGCCACGAGTACTCACTATTCACCTTTTACGTCTGCTTCAGCGAGGTTATTTTCGGTTCTCAAGCGGCGGGGACTGTATTCTCCCATGCTCCGGATATGGGCAAGGCGAAGAACGCGGCGACTGAGTTCAAGCGTCTCTTCGACTCGAGACCGGTTACTGTGAAGCAGAAGGAGAAGAAGCAGGATCAGCCCGTTACATCTATGAAGGGTGCTATTGAATTTCGCGACGTCTCATTTACCTACCCCACCCGCCCTGAACAACCTATTTTGCGAAATTTGAACTTGACGGTAAAACCAGGCCAATATGTCGCTCTGGTCGGAGCAAGTGGTAGCGGGAAGAGCACAACCATTGCCATGCTCGAGCGATTCTATGACGCGGTCTCCGGGCAGGTCTGCGTTGATGGCCGGGACATCACCCGTCTGGACCTGGGATCATACCGCAGCTTCCTAGCGCTGGTCAGTCAGGAGCCTGCATTGTTCCAAGGCACAATCCGAGAGAACATTCTTTTGGGCCGATGCGGCGACGAATATGTATCAGACAAAATGGTAGTCCAAGCGTGCAAGGACGCGAATATCTACGACTTTATCATCTCACTTCCGTACGTCCCCTCCCATATACCCTACCTTCATATTAAATACTAACGACAACGTCAACAGACAATCCTTCGACACCCCCGTCGGCAACAAAGGCATGATGCTCTCCGGCGGCCAAAAGCAACGCCTCGCCATCGCCCGCGCCCTCATCCGCGACCCTAAAATCCTCCTCCTCGACGAAGCCACCTCAGCCCTCGACTCTGAATCCGAGAAAGTCGTGCAGGCGGCGCTGGACGCTGCTGCCCGTGGACGGACGACGATTGCCGTTGCGCATCGGCTGAGTAGCATTCAGCGCGCGGATGTGATATATGTTCTTGAAAAGGGGGAGATTGTTGAGTTGGGAACGCATAAGGAGTTGATGAGGAGGGGTGGGAGGTATTGCGAGTTGGTGAATTTGCAGAGTTTGGGGTGATTCACTGTATTATAGACTGACTGTATAGTAATAATAGACTGTGTATATTTTTTTGATAGTTCTTTTCTAGCAGCTCTCTTCATCCTTTTACCCATTGCCTCTTCGTCTCTTCTTATTCCCTACCTATCAGCCAACACAGAATCCTTTCCCGCCCTATATTGAAGTTGATATTTATCTCTATAATCCTTCCAACGCAATCATTATCTTGCAAGGGATGTTGATTGGGATTGTGTACAAAACTTTACACTACCACACAATGGAAACCTACCTGCGCTGTAGCAAGTGCTGGTTCTCCATGCACTTATCCTCTGCCGGTGTCTGTTCACATTGTCAGCGTGTGGATAGGAACCAAAAGGGGGCTCCCTGAAGACTCGCCAAGGTGCTAAATGTCTGGCACTGAAATGACATTGAAGAAGTGCAGGGTACACTCAACCCTACCAGGTCGACTCACCGGATTATGGAATACGCATGCGGTGACCGCTTCTAGGACAGTTGACTGAGTCCTTCTCGAATGTAATACCTCGTGGTTGTTTGTTGACCTCATTGTTATAGATTGCCGAGTACAGGCTCTTTTCCTGCCCTATCCACATTCAACTGCTTTAGCCTTTTTATCCTCCAGATAATTCTTTTTGTTCCAAAGCAGAAAAAAACAAACATCTTTTAGGTGTTGAGGTTAAGCAAACCTGGAACACAAGCCAAATCCTAACCAGGGTTCTCTCACGAATCCCGGCAATAAAAAGATGAAAGATGCCAATCTTGCGCTGTATAATATCCCTCATCACAAAGTTTGCAAAGAGCTTCACTGAACGTCAGATGGGCAAGACATTTAATTGACCATTGCCGTTGTGCAAGGAAAAATGAGATTCTTCTGTCCACGTCATTGTCGCCATTCATTCTGAGGCACTATATACATCGCGAGGCCAACTTTTTCAATGCCTTCGACCTGCATGGCTCTTCCGTGGCCGGTCCAGCACCGAAGGGAGCCACGAAACGAAAATTTTCCCTACCTTTGACAGCCATTCGATGATTTGAGAAACTGGAAGAAATGCAGAAAACTCGCGCTATGGTGGGATTAAAAGCCACTCTGGATATGAAGAACATCCACAAGACGCGTTGCTTAATTGGCTAAATTATCTATACCTGGTAGGAGAACGGAAAATGAGAATGACCCCGAAAGTCATGGACGCCGTCAAAATGAGAAGCAGCTTATCATATACTTCGCGAAGCCAGAATATGCAAGATTCGCTACTTCGCACGAAGTGCGTTCGATCGAGACACAAGCAGTGAAAGGGTATTAAGGTTGTGTATCAATGACAGAAATGTCAATATTCTTTATACTAACCATCTTGAACTAGATTTGTACACAAATTTAACCGCATAGTCCATCATGCCGTGGAATCCGGCAACAGTCAGCAAGGAATTAACACCTGTTTCTGGGATCAAATGGCCGTGATATCAAAATACAAGATATCGACAGGAATTACTTTGCCGAAAGGGTGAGAAAGAAACAGAATTATGCGGGACCCGAGACAGAATTTCCGAAAGAGTTTCCGAGAGACGATTTCCAAACCCGGCCGACAAAGTGGATATGACAGAATAAGGACTCTGGCTTTGCCTATATTGACATAAATACCTGAAGGAAATGAGCAAAATGAGGCCGTCTCGAGTCTGCGTTCGACACTGTGTAAGACAAACATACGACTTACTACGCCAATACCAGAACAAGTCTAAACAATTCCCATATCTCTATCATAAATAGCAGCTTTAAAATACTCCACATCCTCCCCCCTCTCAAGCATAACCCACGCCAACGTCTCCCCAAACGTCTCCCCGTTATTCCGGAACCACTCCCCCAGCGACTCAATATACGCCTCCACCTGCTCCTTCAACGGCGCGTGCTCCCGCAGCCACAGTACCTGTCCGGGGTCCAGTTTCATCATATCCTCGACCACGTAGTAATGCGGTATCTCATCGCCCCAGCCTTCATACCCAGGGTCGTGGAAGATGTCGTTCCGGAAGCGAGAGCGGTATTTCACCGGATCCGTGGGATGTGTATAGAAATAATGATCTGTAGAATAATACCCCGCAGGTTTAACCTCCCCCGGCATCGGGAGAAAGTTAAACGTCAACTGCCCATTCCCAGCAGGAAACCTCTTCCGAAACTTCCTCTCAATCGTCCCATTACTGGGACATATATGATTCCGGACGACATCATGCATAACACCCCGCAGATCTTCAATCTCCGCTAACTCCTCATTCGACCAGTTATGCAGTAACCGCGCGCGTTCAAGGACTACAGGCCTTAGATTCCGCGTATACCGGTCGAACGTCCTAGTATGGAATGCGCGAGTATACAACCACAACCGATATACCGCGCGCCGTACCCTCCACTTCTCATCATCGCCCAATAACCGCCGATTCTCATAGTCAACCTTCCATTTCTTGAACGGGTAGATAACCTCCCACTTCTTTGCCACCTGCCCGACCTCCGCGATCTGCCTGAGTAGCGGGAACGAGAGCGGTGCTTCGCGCCGGATATGTACTGGTTGGGACTCGTTCTGCGTGACCAGCTGGATTATATCGTCTATCGGAGAGAACTCATAAGAGGCGACGGTGTAGAGGATTTGGAGTTTGTTGGAGGCGTTTGCGTTGAGGATGCGGTGGAAACGGCGGCAGGTGGAGGCAAGGGCGAGGATGTCAGTTATTGAGGAGGATGAGAGGAAGATGTGGATGAGGAGTTCGGTTGGGAGGGTTTTGAATTGCATTTCGTTTCGTGATATGCTTCGTACTTCGTATTGTAACTATGCTTGCTGTGTATGCGATGAGTAATATCCAATGATGTTGGATGTGTAATAATGCTTGTTAACTCGAGAATGCGGACTCTAACACTGTAAAAACCAAACAACATTCCAAGGAAAGAGCGTCCAGCCGCAAAGGGCCAGATTGCGATATTAAAGCCATGATGTTGTGAATGTTGGAGATGGAAAGATGGAGAGAAGATGAGCCAAGTCGAAGGTTATTGCACAGCTTAATAATACGGTATAACTTTTATGCAACCAACGCCTAACCATAAACTATGAAACAAAATAGGTAAAAATAGATTATGAGAAAACCTTCTTGGTATCCAACGCACTCGGCTTGACGCCCGCCTCCTCATTCAATCCCAGGGTCGTCCGCTTGGTCACCCGGTCCGTCGTGGTATCGCGACGATGGCCGTACCGAGCAGCCTTGTCCATGCGGTCCTCGCGACGAACCTGGTTGGGACTGACGTACTCCTTGTTCTCGTAGATAACCGGACCACCGAAGCTGCCTTCGAGAATGACAATCGGGGTAAGGACGAAGCGAGGTCCAATCTCAACGAGCGAAACGTCCGGACCCTCCTTGTTCTTGTTGTCACCCTCTGCCTGACGGACCTCATAAACGCGAATCCAGATCTTGCCGTCCACACCGAAAATACCGATAATCCGGTCAACGAACGGCTTCATGCCCCTAACGCCCCGCTTCGGTACACAGAACACACCGCGCAGCATCTCTTTGATCAGCGAACGGTACTCCGTCCCCGGCTGGCCGTCCATAACAGGTCCTTGCTCATCGAACGAGCGGTCGAACACCACAAGTCCGCGACCACCCTTCAGACAGTTCCCGCTAAAGCCCGCGTTGATCTCGCCCATGGTGTGCAGGTTGTTCACGTGGAAACGAATCGTAGGGCCGTTCGGGGGACGCGAGAGCCAGAGGTAAAGGTCTTGACCGCGCTTGCGGGCTTCGAGGAAGAAAATGACGTTGCAGGAGTGGAGGTCTGCGAGCGAGTTGAGGAGGAGATTGTAGCCCGCTTGCTTCTTCTTGCTGTCGAGCTTCGTCTCTTTGTAGGTGTGAGGGAGGAGGCCGGCGAGGTCTGCCAGAAGATGCCGGTGGCTTTTGCTGTCAGTTTCTTTTTTTTTTTTCTTCTTCCTCTCATTTTGCGAAGAAAACATACCGATATGTGACACCCCTCGAAGTCAACATCAAAACCCGAGTCTTAGGCATCATCCCAGAAGCCAGCTGCTTCTGTGCGGAGCTCAAGGTCTGTCCATCTTCCTGCTCATCCTCATCCTCATCCTCTTCCTCTTCCTCGCTGGTAGTATCGTCGGCATCATCGATGAAGTCCTCCATTTCAAGATCCTCCGAATCCTCCTCGGCCTCAGCGCGCCGGGCATTCTTCTTCGAGACTGTTTTGTAAACGGCTGCCATTTTGCTGTGTTTAATTGAGTGGTTGAATTTGCGATGCTGAATGCGCTCCGAAAAATCGCAAAAATTGCGGGCAGAATATTTCGATCTTCACCGCCTTATCACGTGGTTCTGTTTCCCGATTGGGAATGGAGCTTTCCGATCTAAGGCTCCTCACCTACAAGTATATAAATTGTTTAAAGATAATATACAGTCGAAGAAGCTACGCGTCTAGCGCCCGCGCCAAACCGGCAAACCCCTCCTGCACCACTTTCATGCCAGCAACCCGATTCGCAAAGCTCAGTTTCTTCGTCGTATCCCAGTCATCCTTCCAAAGCAGGCCGTACAGCATTCCAGCGATAAACGTGTCTCCGGCGCCAATTGTACTACAAAATCAGCGGGGATAAATCGGGAGAGGAGGAGTGGACTTACTCGACGACTTCGAAGTCAGGTGCAGAATAAGCCAGGTTGTGGATTAGAATGGTGGATTTGGTTTCTAGAACGACGGCGCCGTCTTGGCCCCATGTGCAGCAGAGCAGGGTCCTGGAGAGTTAGTTATAACACCTCGTGTGTTTTCATGAGGGGACATACGCATTCTGTGTCAACTTGGCTTGCTCGCGAAGACACTCTTCAGCCGATTTGTAGCCATTTCCCTGTAGTCGTTAGCGAGCCATCAAGTCATCAAAGAGACTGTACTAACCAGAGCCCAACTCTTCGAGTAAAAAACCACATCAGCCTCAACAGCCAACTCCTGCAACCCCGGCCGCTGAGGTTTCTCGACCTCGACACTAACCCGCACCGACGAGAACTGTTGACGGAGATACTTGATACCAGCCAGGATGACATCGGGTATGCGGCCCTGAGACATCAATATCACTACCATTCACGACCACAGAGGTAAAACGAAGACTAACCTCAAAATGAAACCAAGTAGTCTTGGGTCCAACCTCATCAATAACCCTCTTCAGCTCATCAACACTCATCTCCGGCAACTCATTGTAGTTAACAATCGTCCGACTCCCCGTCCCAGAACTCTTGATAATATAACTCGACGCCGGCTCACTAAATTCCTCCCTATATATACATCGATCCAAGTTCACGCCCGGCTCAAACGCAGTCTTGATCTGCTGCGATCCCACCGAGGACTTTGCCGGGAGGATGGCCACGAGATTCAGTGAGGCATCCGTGGTTCTTGATGTCAGTTGTTGGATGACCTCTAGTGTGTTGGGACAGTTGCCTCCGCGTCTTCGGGAGATGCTTGATGCTCGTAGCTTTTCATCTTCGCCGGGGTAGTAGGGTGTTCTGGGTATGTTAGTTGTGTCCGTGATGAACGGGATCGACTCACGTTAGAATGGTGTCAGCATAGCAAGCTCCTACTGCGACGAGAGACATTTTGGGGTGTTCTATAGTTATTCAGGGCAATTGATACACATCAATCAATGCAATATAGAAAATGATGAGAGCCACTCCATCGATGAAGTCAATGAGGGGCGGATTAGTCATCCCCACGTTGACGTCGATTTTATAGAGACAGGATCGAGGGAACCATATTAGATATTATTAGACTATCTCATTAAGTACAGTGTTTTCCATATTACCCACATCCGTCATATCCAGTTGCTTTATCCTGTTTTGAATATTCAAACTTTTTTCTGGTCCTTGCGGTTTGCCGTTTATCAGTGGATATGTATATCCTAATCCAGATCCTGAATCGATATCGAGTTCCCAAGTCGTTGGAGAAGAAATAGCGCTTTAAACAGTGAAGTCTGATGTCCGCAAGACAATAGTCATCTGTGAGCGCTTTAGCTTGATTCGTAAAAGATGAAGGCAAACATGCAAGACGAGGCTGTACTCACCAGAATCAAGCAGCCTCAGCGGTAGCGGCAGGGCTCTCAACACTTTCAGACTCAGCGTTGCTGGTCTCAGCGTCGGGCATCTCGGTATTCTCCGCATCAGTGTCGCCAGTCGGAGTGGCACGGTTAGCCCGACGGGTGCGTGGAGTACGTGGAGTGCGCGGAGTACGGCCGGCACGGCCACGACCACGACCACGACCACGAGTAGTCCTCGGGGTGGACGAGGTGCGAGCACGACCACGGCCACGATTCTCGGCACCCTGGTCATCGCCGTCAGCAGACTCTGCAGCTGTACGGCGACGGCGCGGGGCCGGCTCAAAGTCCGCGTCGGTCAGGAGAGGGTGAACGAGTTCTGGAATCACGGTGGACGGCTGGCCATCGCGCTGGGCGAGGGCAACGGCATCGAGTTGAGCGCGGCGGGCGCGGGCGTTATCGGTGGAAGCGTAGTCACCGAAGCGTTCGGACATGAGGCGAGAGAATTCGAGACTGTCTCCGATTAGTATCAGTTGGAAGTGGAGGAGGGTATGAGAGACTTACCGCACGCCGTTCCAGGACGCACCCTTCCACAATCCGCCGCGAGAGCCATCAGCGATGCGGTGCCACGCTCCTTCGGAGACACTCTCGTGGCGACGCTCGTAGGCAACCTGGAGCAGAAGCTCGAAGCGGGTTTCAGGAGTCCAGGAGATGGTTCTGCGCTCGCGCTGAGTGGCAGCTTGTTCACCACCACGGGACTCTCTGTCTTCAGCACGTCGAGAGCCTCCAGCAGCAAGCTGCACCATGGCCTCGTAGTTGGCCTGGGAGTCTTCGCTACCTTGAGACGCGCTGTCGTTGGTGGCAGAGTCATCAACCGGAGTGAGAGGACCCTGGACAGAGCTAGCTTCGTCAGCAGTAGCCGCGTTTCTCGCAGTGTCACCGTTGGTCTGGGGCTGGTCCTGGGAAAGCTCAGGATAGGCCTGCTGGTGGTTCTGAGGAACGAACGGCTCAACGGAGTTCAACACGTTCTGACCCTGAGCGAACGGTTGTGGCAAAGGAGGGGGAGCCATATGGAACTGGGCGCCAGCCATGTGCATGGTAGCCAGCACGTGATCAACGAACGGAGACTCCATGTTGACGCCATTGATGTTATTCATCATGGAGTCGTAACTCCCAAGAAGGTTGTCCGAATGGACGTACTCGTTGAACGCGTCAGTCGCGGAGGTGTCAACGTAGGTATCCGCCGGAATACCATTGACAGGAAGGCCATGGCCCGAGGACATGTGGTGTGCAGTCATAATCAGTAAAGGGGACACACAAGAAAGGAAGGCTTAAGCTAAGAATGAGGGAAATGTGAAAAGAGAGAACGTTTACAGTTAAATAAAAGCAGACAAAAAGGAAATCAAGAAGAAAGATAGATGAGGAGAATGAAAGGAAGAAGGAGAATGCCAGGTGAGCACTTTGTTTTTATAGGGTCCAACGCCGAGCCTGGCTTGCATGGAAACAGCACCACTCCAGCTCATTCTGCCCTGTTTTGCTCTTTTTTACCAGTTCAGGGTGAATGCAGACCCGTGTCTGTCTCACAAGACCTGAAAAATGACTTTGCACGCGGGTCTCTTGGGATATGAAACCCAATCATCCTCTACTGAGCCTTTGTCGTCGCCAGTTTCTTTACGTTGAGCGGCAAAAAAAAAAAAAAAAAAAAAAACGGGCTTTTTCGAGGTGAATGACCTTAGGTAACATTCGAAGGGAATATTTGAAGGAGGCATAGCAGAAAATACGGCAAACTGGAAGCTCGAGTAGGCCCGTCGCTATACGGGATGTAGCCGGAGAGATAGTCTGGTGTCGTTAGTATAGAAGCGATAAACATTGTAGATAGACGTACCTTATAGCTTTTATTATATTACAGCCTTAGACAGTGTCTATTAGAAGCTCTTTCTGTGCTTTCATGTCCAATATCTTTGAAGTCGAAGTGTAAAGAACAGAAAGAGGAAGAGGTGGTTTACATGCTTTTTATCACCGGCCTCGGATAAACTGCCTCCGTCTACCCAGCCCTACATTCTTTTCTGTGAGCACGTGCACTTAGCATTTAAGAATAAAGAATAGTCTACGAGTATTCGAAGATTCAGTGTCGCTGTCAGCTTTGATAAAAAGTGGTATGTTTGCGACCGTATCGATCAGGCGAGCTTCAGAGCCTGAGTAGAGCTGGCACCTACGATACCTAGTACTCAAAGCCGTCTAGGAACAATACGCAATCATTGCATCGAAGTAGAGCCCATTGTCATATATCTCTTCGCTGTCACATATGTACACTACTCAAGCACAGCAAAAAAGCAAAGCCTCCAATCCCCAAAGTATCCACGAGCGCCAGCGACCGACCGACCGAGCAGCCTATTCCAGTCATTGTCTCCTCCCATACATGCGATCGTCGAGTAGCAAGAGAGCTCTGAGATAACATGCAAAGGCGCGTAGCTCGACTGGTTGTCGACTCCGACCATGTCCTCGTAGCGTCCGCAAGAACCCGTATGGCACATGTAGTGATTAACGTTCAGATCGAGCGACACGCAATCCCCAATGTATGGAGCATGCGTCGCTCTGGTGTCTGTGTATGGTTTTCATCGCGTTGCGAGTTGTTGGAGCTTCGTCGGTAATCGATCGGGCGCGGTAGAACGTCTAGATTGTTTCGATCTCGTTTTGGGCTGTTGATTCGTGTCGAGGGCGTCATCAAGGGTCTCTAATGCAAAGTCTAATTAGCAATAATTCGTCAAGTCTGGAGAGGGGAGCTTACCTGAAGGCAGATGCCCCGAGAATCAACTGTCGGGATCGTAGCCGGAAGTCTTTCGGTACGAGAGTAGACAATAACAGGGCGTAGGACTGTATGGGCACGTAGAGAGTTTAGCCAGGATAATAATAATACTTTAATATCTCTTCAGATACAATGCTTCTTTGCCTGGTTGTCTTTCTGTCAGTTCTCTGCATGAACCAGGGCATGGAAAACAGGAAAACAGGAAAACAGAAACAGATCTGTTTCAGTCTGTTAAAAGGCACAAATATAAGCCTTTTGGTAGTATAATAAGAATAATAAAAGAAAAGTGGCAGCAAAAGTAAAGTAGAAAGTAGACTGAAAGGTGTTCGGTCATTGTTGCTGCAGGAATCCATGCATCCGATGCAGGTCTCTGTATACAAGTACAGACAGAAGGAAGACTGCATGTTGCATTCTTTAATCCTTTTCAGCTTCATTCTTTGTCCAGATGCTATGGTGTGGTAGATGCAGTGGCAACTGTTCTGAGAACAACAGCTGGACATGAAGATATATATACCATTCCCTTGTCCAGTGGTGCACTTCACCACCTCACATTCTCATTCCAGCACAGGCAGTCTTCCTCTTCTCTACGAGTCTATTTCTCTGTTTGAAGCTATCTGTTTTCTGATTTCTGTCTACGCAATGTCCGTTCGTCGCAGCAAGGCGATGCCCACCGACGGCCCGACGGCCAAATTTCTCTACACCATTATCAAGCAGCTAGACCTGAAGTCGGTAGGTATTCTCTCCCACAAGCCCAAGAGCAGAAGCTAAATATTTAGATTGACTGGAACTTAGTAGCCTCGCAACTCGAAATCTCCAACGGCCATGCCGCCCGAATGCGCTTCTCCCGTTTCAAACAGCAAATGGAAGGCCTCACCTCAACACCGCGCGCCTCAAAACCGAAGAAAACAACCAAAACCGGTAGCGAGAAGGGAAGCAAGCCTGGTCTGGAGAAAGGGGTGGTTTCACCTCCACCTGCGCCACCAGTCAAGCAGGAGACGGGGACAGAGACGGCGTACGACCCGGGCCAGAGTCCGTATATCAAGACGGAGTCGGAGCCACATCTGCAGAGGATCCCAACATTGGAGGATCCTTCTGTGCCAACCACGTTGTATACGAGGCCGTTGCAGCCGTATCGTCCACAGCAGCAATTCTATCAACAGCAATACCCATCCTACGCATATTCCCCGTACACCACATACAACCCGTATCCGCCAATTACAGTTGCTCCGACGGACTTGACTATGTCCGCGAGCATGTCACCGTTTTCTTCGCCAATGTCGATAGGATTTGAGATGCCGTCAAGTGCGTCTTCCTCGTGGACAGTGAAGAGTGAAGGGGAGGATGGAGGGTCGAATGAGCCGGTCAAGTTGGAGGAAAGACAGGAGACTTAGCCACGAGAAATCGGCATTTATTTGGATATGTCTGGTTTTGGTTGCTATGGCGTATGTTGAATTATATTGGGTTGCTGTTATTTAGAATCTGTCGTTAGAATATATTATTTCTGCTCAGGCCATCTTTCTCGCATCTTGGCCCACTACTTGTCTTGCTGTGAATGTCCCACCAACCTCTCGCTATCCCGCTCTCGTTTCTCACATTAATACAATTTCTCTTCTCACTCTTTTCTCTCTGTTTTCTATACTTGAACACATCTCCTATTCCCTCGTTGCCTCTTCAATTTTCTCTATTGTACACCACAACAACACACCCACCAACTCTCTCCCAGTAAGAACCACAACTCTCCTCAGAGACTAATACTAACAACCAAGACCATGTCCTCCACCGACGAAATCTCCACCAACGACAACCAATTCATCATCGAATGTCTCAAGAACCTTGACGAAGACAGGCTGGTACCATTCCCCTTCCCCTCCTTCCCTTTCCAGCTCTCATCTACAAGCACACAACCGATACTAACTAATATAATGGCCGCAGATCAACCTCAACAAAGTCGCCGAAACTCTGGGCTACAGCAACATCTTCTCCGCCGGCAACCGTCTCCGCAGCCTACGCAACCGCTATGGCTTCGCCAACTTCGAGGGCAAAACGATCACCGGTAAGGCTGTTGCTGGCGAGGGAGCGGGAATCCCAGCCCCGGCCCCAGCTCCGGAAAAGAAAAGGGGTCGTCCTCGTGTGAAGAACGTTGCTCCTAAGGGCGATATCGCTGTCGAGGTTACCAACAAGCGTAAGCGCGACGATGACAGCAACAACAACAACAACAACAATAACAACGAGGAGAACAACGGTGGCGCCCCCAAGAAACCCTCCCATCGTCGCCGCAAACCCGCCTCTACTGCTACCACTACCGCTGAAAGTGAAGCTACCACCAACGGTCTCGGTCACGTCCACGGTCCAGGTAAAACCACCACTTTCCGCGCAGTCCATTTCCCACGTTTCCCAACACCATCTAAGAAGCGCAAAAAGCAGGCGGAAATGACGACAACAACAACAGCGGACAGGAGGAAGCTGGATACGCCGAGTAGACGGATCTTCCGCATCGCAGCACAGACAATTGGAAGGGCGAGGTCGGAACGACGGAGGTTATTGAATGGGGAGACGATGAGGTCGGGGTTGAAGTTGGTTTTCAAGTTGCAGGTTTGAGTATGTTTTCTCCCTGTGGTGGTTATTTCTACGATTGACTGACTGACTGGATAGTGCTGCGACTACGTATTTATGTTGAGTTATATCTAGGAGGATGCGTTGCTACTGGGTTGATATTCTTTGTATTTTGATGCCATGGTACATACGTAATGCTTTAGTCCTTCATCAAAGACATTGAATGTCCATTATCTATGGCTTCAATAGAGGTCCTTTCTGCTCGTCTTTCATTCAAGTAAATCAAAGTCCTTGTCATATAACAATAACCCAGTGAATCAACAACACAGGCGTCCGACCTCCTCTCTCACACTACAGGTCAACCTCTTATCATCCCTCTACCATCCCCTCTATCGTCCTCTCTCAGACAGCACACACTCCTCTACTCCAAAGACTTATTCTACAGTTTCTACAATCTCGCATACAGCAACGCAAAATGTCCCGCATCACCAACGACGACCAGTTCCAGTTCCTCATAAGCTGCATCCGGCACTCAAACAACGGAAAGGTACTCATCCTGTCCACCTCGCCTGCCGTGACAATCCAATGTGGTATAGTAACAGTACCTACGCAGATCGACTACACCGAAGTGGCCAAAGAATGTTCCATCGTTTCTCGTGGCGCGGCGTACGTCCTCCTTCCTCCCCTCCACCACCTACACTTCCCTCTCAACGGTTGTCTGCACAGAATAAAGCTGATAAATACAGTGTCAAGCGATACTCCAGACTCATGAAGGCCCATAGAATCAACACCGGCGGCGACACCAACACCACTTCCACCTCCACCTCCACCCCTACCGGCAGCACGAACACCACTCCCAAGAAGACGACGAACGGCAAACGCAAAACCACAGACTCCGAGACCGATACCGAGAGCAACGGCAAGAGCAAGGCGTCGAAGAAAGGAAAGAAGGATAAGGCTGTTGAGAGCGCGGAGAAGGTGGTGAAGAAAGCTGGTCTTGATACTGTTAAGGAGAAGGAGGATGAAGATGAAGATGTGGAGGGGGGAGACTTTTGAGAAGGTTAAGGGCGAGAGTGAGGATTCTGAGTAGTTGTGTACTTTGTTCTGAGAATTGGTTTGAAGGTTATTGTATCCATTATGATGTCCTAATTCCAAACGCGATAGGGGTATCTGAAAGCCAACTGTACAATAAACAAAACAACCCATATGTACAAGCAAATACTATATCCACCACTAAGGCTAAATTTCCGCCATAACGGACTCCATGATCTTGCGCTTATACTGCGACAAGGATTTCTCTTTCTTCTGCATCTGCGCACGAAGACGCATATACCGCTGTTTCCACGTAGCGTCTGATACGCCGTTCTCGGGACCGTCGACTTCGAATTCTGCGTCACTCAGACCATCCAGTTCATCGATGTTATTGGGTTCCTCAGTAGTTCGCGATGCAGTATCTATTTTATCCTCGGGCTCGATGCGCAGCCCGCGATAGGTGACTTTTGTTACCACGCCAGAGCCATAAGTGTATTCGCGTTCGACTCCGTATATAAACTCGGGAGGTAAGTTTGCACCAAGTATTATAGCTGATGAATGCCCGTGCACCACCGTGGACCCGGAAATGGGCCCCTGGTAACCAGCGAGTGACCCGAATCCAAGGTGAAACGCGACCAAGCGCGTCGAGCTTGCTCGAGACAGATTTGGCAACGAAGACGTGACTTGCTTGATAACAGCCCTTGCTAGACCGCGTGCCTCATCGGGTCTAAATGGGGGACGTCTGCCTTCCATGTCTGCACGCCGGATTTCATCTGCTAACACCCGCACGAGCTCCTCATACATGTTATCAGGTTTAGTATCGATTGGCCGTGCACCTGAAGTATCAGGCATCGGCTCGGCCCTTGACGGATCGGTTCCGTTCACCATGACTGTAGGCGGCGTTGCTAGACGTACAGGTGCGCCTGTGTTCTGCGGAACTTGTAGTTGAAGTTTGCCTGGTTTAGCACCCTGCTGGAAAGGAGTAGGTGATTGAAATTGACCAAAAGAATTCTGGTCCATTCCCACTGCAGAGACCGGTCGAGCAGAATTCTCCCCATGAGATGACTCATCACGCGCCGGATTCACAGGAAACGAAGAAAATGGTCCCGAAACAGTCCCACGGTTTGGTGGCCGGCCTCGAGCTTTCCCAGTGGACGAAACGTTGCTGCTAGGCCAAGCGGATGACACAGCTGGCCCATGACGTCTGCGAGATCGTGCCTTGTCTCCAGGGGGCGGCGTGATTGCTGATCGTGGCTCAGCAGCGAGGAAGACATCTGAGGGATGATGCCCTCGAGGAATAATGGCTGATTGCGGGTAATTGGCGGGAGACGCATCGCGCTCAAGGGCGCGCCATCTTAAATCCTGTCCCTGTTGAGTGTGCGGTGCATCTGCCGGGAATGCAGACGTTGCTGTCATCCACGGGTCGTGGGTCTCCACTTCGTCTGGAAAAGCGCTAAAAGGAATTGCACTCTGGGGAAAGGCAGCAGAATGTGGCTGAAAAGGGCCACCATGTAAGATCCCGACGGAAGTATCCAACTGAGGCCGTTTAGCTGGTTTTTCGTCGTCTTCCTTGTCTTCTGCCCTCTTCCTGCCTCGCTTTGGCTTCCATTGTGGGACAAGTGCTCGCAGAGCAAGATCTTCCTCCAAAGGAACCCCGTCACGACTATCGCTGACCAATGCATTGGCGGCGGGACGCTGTGTGTAGTATGGATGAGGATGGCCAAGACAAAACTCGAAAAAAGCATCAACATGCATTGCTCTCATCCAGCGCTGTAATAGTTAGCCAAGTCAGACCAGAAAGCACTAAACAAAAGCACCAACCTTAAGTCGAACAGCATATTGCTGCACCTTTTGTGTGCTCTGCTTCTTCTCAACAGACGGAGGCTCAACCCCCAGCTCAATGGCCAATTGGATCCACGTTTTCACTTCCTTGGCATCAAACTTTTGAATCAGCTCCCACAAGCTGAAGATGCTAAAACTCTTTCCATCACTGCGAGGAGGCGATCGAAATGTCTTCCGTAGCTCAGACGTGTCCACGGAACTGGGAACATTGGGGTTGCAGTAGAAAATAAACGCCACATATGCATCGTCAATATTTTGATCCGTAATATTTCGTGAAGGCAGTGTCCGGGCCTCTGCTTGGTCCATTGACTCTCTCGATTGTCTCTGGCGCATTGAATCAAACACTGGAGGGGACATTGACGGCCCTGACCGCACCGAGGGCGGTCGATGAATCATTGATCGCTGGACTGTCGGGGACGTCTGTAGACTGCGCGGGGTCTCTTTATGCTGAAGTGAAGGTGATTTGGAGGCAGCCACTCGACTGCGAGAGCTATCAATGGACGAGGCACTGGGCAACGCGGGCTCCATCGTTGGCGGATATCTCGCGTACTGCTGAACAACCATCGGATTCCCCCCCAATTCCCCCCGATCTGGTTGATTCATCACGCCGGAAAACGAGCCCTCCATTACCGAAGACAGACCGATATAACGGACCCTCAGGCACGTGGGATGATCGAAAGAATCGGACCTGATACAACGCGCGCTCAAAAAACCAATCACAAACCAAATGCGACGAATATATGCACAAAAAGGAGGCCTCCGGATCACCCGGCGCAATGAGACAGGGTCAGGTCCCTTTGTATATGGCGCAAAAAGACCGGTAAATAGGGGCCACCTCAATCGGGGAATACATCAACAAACAGACAATCGCGATTCCAGTAAGATAGCGCCGCTCTGCTCACATCACCAGCAATACTGGCAAGAGAGAGAGGAGGAGGAGGAAGAAAAAGAAGGAGAAGGAGAGGATCTGGACATGGCGGTCGTGTGCTGGGGCCAGAGGCTGCAGGATGGCCGGCGCTTGAATCATGGCTGGTGATTGGCTGATCGACCGCTGGACGCTGCTATTTTGGGACGAAATCCCCGCGTTTCCCTATTTGGATTAGCGTTGAAGCCTCAGGGCGGGGGAGTTGGTGCCTGAATAGCTGAGCTATCACGTGGAAAGCTAGCCACATCCGGTGGTGTTTATGCCTCAGGGAATAGGCCGTATCAGGCAGGAACACCTCGCCTTATCGATAAAGCCGACAGTGAAGTTGACCTCATCGTCCCATGGTCCTTTCTCACTCTCTTTCTCTTCTAGTGATCATTGCACTTCTCCTGGCTCATTCATTCTGACCTCTCTGATTCCTGGCTATCGTCCTGCTTCGACGGACATTGCTGACCATGTTTGATTAACTGTCTCTCTCCCTTTCTAACTGTACTCGCTACGGCGGACATCTGTCATGGCAACCTCGAGACGCTCCGATCCTTCACGTCCGCTTCGTTCCAGTCGATTGAAAGTCCAGTCATATCATGAAGACAGCAGCTCGGATGAATCGCCCGATGGCAATGGTGATGGGGATTCCGAAGAGGGAGATTCGCGTCGCTTATCGCTATCGTTGCGGCCCCGCAGTTCGAATCGTATACCACCGTCATACAGGGAGGAGTCATCGGATGACAACTTCGAAAGAAATGCAAGTGATGATGATATAGTGGAAGCGCCTGGTGCCTCGACTGATCCATTGCCCGCTCCAACGAGCAGCAATGGTACCGCCTCTCGACCTCGTCGTGACAGGACGGTCAAGACACGCTCTCAGACCAGACGTTCGAAACGCCCTATGAACAATTCGCGGATGGAGTTGGGCAGACCCCGGAGCAAGCGGAAGAAGGTGGAAGTGGACGAGACACCTCTGCTCACTTCAGGCGTCATACCTCCATGGCAGCACTTGCCGTACCACATACTGTTCGATATATTCTTCTATGCATCACAGCCACTGGTCGATGAGAGGAGCGTCACTAGAACGGGCTCTGTGCAATGGCTTGTCCAGGTAGCTCTACTATGTCATGCGTTTTGTGAGCCTGCACTGGCAGCTCTCTACTACTCTCCACCGTTGATACCAGCTGCCAAGTGCCATGGCCTGCTTAGCCTACTGTCTCAGCCTCAGGACTCCCTTTCCACTAATTACACCAACAAGATCAAGGAACTTCATGTTGATGTAGAAGCCTTACTCTTATACAAAAGCGGACCGACCTTAGGATATTTTGAATTGCCTAGGTTGATTGAAAACACGCCGCAAGTAAAAAAGATGCGACTGTACCACGCGGAGGACTACGTCGTGGGCATTCCTCCATGGCAACGCGCGCGCTCGAAATGGGGGTACCCAGAGGGTCTTTTTGAGTCGATTGCCTACAGCTCGATTCGACTTCGCAGTTGGGACTGGAACAGTCGGTTCATGGAAACGCCAGAGCTGGCTCCGCATGCCCTGACAAAGCATCTGCAGTCTGCGTTTCAGGGCATAGAAGAGCTGCGCTTGTTGCACGTTGCGTCAGAGGAGTGGGACGAGGAGGGTGACGGGTATATCTCCAACGAACGGGAGGTCGTTATGGCGACGGCCCTCAAGGAACTGCCGGGACTGCGTCAATTGGTGTTTATAGAGTGTTCCATTGTGAACGAACATCTCCTACCCCACCTCCCGACGACACTCACATCCCTGACCCTCAACAACTGTGACGAAGTAACGACGGCGAACTTTGGCGCATTTCTCACCTCTCACGGTCAGCATCTACGTGAACTCAATTTGAGCCACAACCGTCATCTGAGCATGTCTTTCATTGTCGGACTTGGTGGATCGTGTAAAAATCTTGAAAAGTTCAAAATGGACATTTCGATCCACGACTGGTCCAGCTATCACGACGTGGAACCTCACTTCCCGGAACTCATTCGCTCGTCGGAAGTCCCAACATGGCCGTCTACACTGCAAGATATTGAGTTGATCCAGCTTCGGAAATGGGACGACGCAGCTGCGGAGGTCTTCTTCACATCTTTGATTAATGCCGCACCAGAGCTACCCAACCTGCGACGGCTCGTCATCAGTGCAATCTTGAAAATTGGCTGGCGCGACCGTGCAACATTCCGAGAAAAATGGATTGGACGACTGGAGCATGTTTTCCTACGACGCAGTGCACCTCCGGACCCCAATCTGCGCACTCTTCGGGGTTCCCCGCCACCTCCCGAGCCAGTTGAAGGCACTGCAGAAGACACTGCTGGTCCCCACTCTGATACACCGAATAGCGGCCCGTCAACACCATCGAAGCGTAAAAGTGCCCGTCTCGCGCAGCGCAAAATCATGGAGCTCGAAGACGACGATGATGACGACGTTGAAGGTAGTCCATCGCCAAGTCGCACTGCAATGGAGGGGTTCGGCGAACAGGAGCCTCGTGCAATGCAGGTTCAGGGCATGTGCGACGTTGTCATGGTCCGAATTGACAATCAACGTCCGACGGAGACGCAGTTCAGCGAGGGGGACTTTCTCGATGATGAGGTTAGCGGGGACGAGGATTGGGATGGGGATGATTGGGATGTTGCCGAAGGGGGGTATGCTTGGTGATTTTCTCACTTGTTTCTTTTAGTAGTTACCCTTTTTATGATGATTAAACTCAACTAATGGCGATCTACGGCGCTTCCATGGAAGGAGTTTGTTTGGTTCGGAAAGGCTGGGTTCGGGACTGACAATGTTTACTTCGATATTCGGTAATGTTACATACTACGATAATGAATCTCAACTTATGTTCAAAATGAAGATCCCCGTCATAAGACTTTATTCGATACTAGCTACCTTGGCCAGGAGCAGTTGTATATCAAAATATGGCACCACATCACTAAACAAACACAAAGGCACCATTCTCGTTGACGATGCGCTCAGACAGGTTAACATCCGCAGCAGCACACTCCTCGCCAGCCTTCTTCAGCAAAGCCCGAAGAACAGGGACATCATTTTCGGACTCGATGCCGAACTGGACCTCCTCGGCACTCTCGCTGAAGTTCTGGCCACCCCATTCCAAGCGGCCTGCCACTGTTAGCTTCCAGTCTTCTCGTGCCCAGTGGACAGTTGAGTGAGCGGGAGGCATACCGTCAACATTTCCGATGATGGTGTTCAAGTCAATGGACGAGTCGACAAGCTCGCCATCCGCATTGCGGAGCTGAGCACTGAGGATATGGTTCTCCTCGAGACGGAGGCTCTCGGCGGTGAGGTGGAAGCTCATGGTGATATCGTAGAGATAGTAGATAGTATCTGTTGGTATGGGGTATGGAAAGATAGATGGATTGACTGATGGACTGATGGATTAGTACATTTTCTCTGCCCTTATATAGACAATTTGGCCCTCAGCTGGCCTCATCAGCCTCGTACGGCCATGTAACCTCCCCTCTTTCGAGGAATACTGGTACTATGCATGTACTCCGTACCGCGTGGAGTATTTTCAATAGAACAGGTCGCAGTACCACATGGAAGTGGTGACAATGTGTTCCTGTATAGCGTTATGGTGTTTGCTGCACAAGAGGTATTTGTTGGATTCAGAAAGAGAATCCACCATGGTCATCAGTCCAGATTTCTTCTCCCAGGTTGAGTTCACCATCTCTCCATTATCCATCCGGACGTTGCAGAGTTGCCTTGAGAAGCACGCGGCCGGCTCCAACCTTCAATCCGAATATCTCGAGCGCCCCCGGCGAAGCCATGACCATACCACTCTCAATCCCCTATACATTATTTAGCGAAGCATACCGTTATCGTTTGGAATGTACATGTCCAGGTCAATGAAGGTTCTTCTATAGTTGCCATTCTTGTCCCGGAGATCGCCAAAGAGGGGGTGGCCATTGTGGACGCTATGATGGTGGGTTGTGCGGCTGAAGGTATGCTTGTTACTTAGTTACATACTGCAGGGACGAGGGGAAGTGCTAAAAACAATGACGCTGGACAGCCATCTTCATTCTCTACCAGCTCATCCCGGACAGCGGGAACTGTCTCCGCCGTCAATGGTATCCCCCTCCTTCCGGGAGTACATTTACATATTTGTCTTCGCGCCATTTGCCCATGCGAGTGGGTTTGGGAGGCATTCAGCTCAGCCGCGACGGAGATAGGCGTTTGGAGGCTACTTGATGGAGTACTACTGTATTTGAAAGGCAAATTATGCTCGGAAGGACAGATCTTCGTCATAAGGTTATATTCAATCATAGCTAAACCGGTATCCAGAGCCAGTTAATATCACACTTAGTAGATGCCATCGGCTCCCATCCATCATTTCCGAACATCGGTACGCTGCGCTGCGGCCCGCCCGTTAGCCGTCCATCCTTTAACCCGACATGTCATGTATATCAAACGTACTTTACTGGAATTCGAATTGACCGTTGTTGTTCACAACACGCTCGGCGAGGTTAAGGTCACGGGAATCCCAGTTGCCATCGACGCCCAGCAAATTTCCGCGAAGAACAGGGACATCCGCATCACCCTCAATGGCGAAGTGGACGCCCTGGGCGGTCTCGCTGAAGTTCTCGCCGTCCCAGTGGAAGTTTCCTATAGCGCAGCTTAGTGTTAACTTCCATGTCTTCACTGACCACATAGTCTGTTGTAGCATACCGTCGTCATTTCCAACGAACTGGTTCAGGTCAATAGCGGACTCAACATACTCGCCATTCTCGTTCTGAAGAAGAGCGACGAGGATGTGGTCGTTCTCGATACGGATTTCCTGGCCGGTAAGGTGGAAGCTCATTGTGACGTGCTTTGGAGGGTGTGTGGTAAAGTTGAATGAATTGATTGATCGAGGATGTCTCTCTGTCTGTCCTTTTCCCAGCAGACTGTCAACCTTTATATATGTTCTCCTTTACCGCCATGTGGAACTTCCCACTCCTTCGATTGTCGACCAGTTTCAATAGAACAACCGCCGAGTACCACATGTCCCCCGATTATTTGTCCCCGGTTTGAAACGAAACCCACCCGAGCAATCAGGGTGTCGGCCTCGCCAGGCAGATTAATTGAATCCCGGCGCATATACGGCGGGTGTTATGGTGGTGTTGCTTATAGCGGTGACCTGCAGCGCTTGGCGGCCACTTTACAGAGTGGATCTTGGAGGGGCAGATGTCGCATCACTCCTACATTATTGGTATGTACGGAGTAATTGTACGAGAAACGCCTTGCCCGTATGCTAGGTAACTTGGGGGCCGTCAATCCGCTGACCTTCTTTTGCATTCCGTGATCTTCGCCGGTTATCATGCAATACCGGTGGCATCAGTTTTACTTCGGAAGATGATCGACCAACACGGGGCTCCGAGAATATGACAACCTGTCCGCTCTCATTATTGAACACACTAGAAAAGAAAATCCCACGTGCCATTTACTGGTACACAAATTCACCATTCTCGTTTACAATGCGCTCCGAGAGGTTGATATCAGCTTCAACCGTTTCACCATCATTTCCATTACCCAGCAATGCACGGAGAACAGGAACCTCGCCATCACCCTCGATGGAAAACTCGACATTTTCGGCAGATTCGCTGAAGTTCTCGCCGTCCCATTCGAAAACGCCTATTCATGAAGCAAAAGAATTACCGTTAGCATCCATGGACGACACTACAGTTTCGGTCCCGGGTACGGAGTACTCCGTGCTCTGTGAAAGTGCGTACCACCGTTGTTCCCAAGATGTTCATTCAGGTCGATAGTTGATTCGACAAGCTCATCGTCTCCGTTCCGGAGCTGGGCCTTGAGGATGTGGTTGTCTTCAATGACAATGTCCTCAGCGGTAAGGTGGAAGCTCATGGTGGACTGTGTGTTTGTGTGGAAAGATAACGCGTCGTCGTATAATTGAATCGGTTGATTGTGTTCTGTCTGTCGTCTCTAAGCTGCGCGGTGCCTCTACTTTATATGTCTTCCGGGCCTCAGCCGGCTGTCAAAGCCATATGCATTTTCCCCTCCTTCCTGATGACCACCTCAACAGCAGCCCACCACTTGGCACTTGTTCATTTGCCTGTCCAAACCAGTGGGTATCTCGGCATATTCCTTCGAATCCCCCCAGGGCAATCAGGGACACAGCCTTGCCAGGCAACTGCATAAAAAGTAAACAGGACCCTACTTATGGAGGTGCCCTGCGGCGCTTGGCAGTGGGCCATGGAGGGGTTATGCACGATGATTGCATTGCGCGTGGAAGCCTTGTCTGTGGGATACTGTGTAAGGTCCGTTGATTCTGTCATTCTTCCGTGACTCCCGATTATTATGCAATATCTGTTTATGTACACATTCACTGTGGGTCATCAGCTGCCATCCCACAATTCCGACATCGCATATAAGACATACCCCAACAAACACGAATTGACCACCGATGTTCACAATATGCTCGGCCAGGTCAGTACTAGCCTCACACCAGCTACCATCCTCAGTTCGAGCTCTGTCGAACGAGCGGGAATATCATCGTCCTCAGAGTAGAAATCAATTTCCTTGGCGGTCTCGCTGAAGTTTGTAGCGCTCCATTCAAAATTCCTCGTATAACGAACGCATTCTAAGTAATGGTATATAATACTATGCTCTCCGTAGAACTGTCATGCCGTTGTTGTTTCCGATCATGGTGTTCAGATCATGAACCCCCGCCGACATGGACGTAACGGGCAGAAGTAGAAGCTCGCTATACCTATGAAGAGAGAATGTGTTCCCCCTACCAGCCAGACGGCGTCTTGCCATCTGTTATGACCCCAGCTGCGTGGGGCCGGAACTAAACTGGCCTGATGTACTCCGTATTTCCCCTTCTAATGTAGATAGCCTTTTGAGCCGCGTAGGACTTCTCTCGTTCTCAGACCTGCAAGCTGCACGCATCAGTCAAAATCTGTGCGGGCCAGAACCGACAGTCAATCGGAGCGGCATATCAAACTCGACGGGTCACCAACATCCCACCTTCCCAGAGTAGAAAAGGACATTTTTAGCTTCCTACCATTCGTCTGGGACGCATGTGTCAGGAATGAACCCCAACCTGCGCCTCGGCCAGTTTTGATGGCTATTCCGCACATTGCTTCGTTATGCATTGCCTTGTGCTATGTCTATGTACAGATAGTGGACTTGCATGAGGACGCTTTATCCACACTAACAAGCATGCGTTTCGCTTATCATAAAAATACACACAACCCCCTGGGGCCATCACCATCTATCGTAGTACTGAACCCGTTAGCCGTCACTCAGCTCACTGTGAGGTTGTGGGGAGAGGTTTGTCTGGAATTAAGTTGTGGTTTGACTGTTTTCGCTCATAGCTGGACGGCTCACGTATTTATATGCACCCTGGACGGCTCATGATGAACACCCCCTCCTTTGACCATTTTACCGAGGGGCATGGAGGAGTAACGCTGTACATAGTAGATACCAAGAAGAAAGAAATAAACATTGATGGGATTGAAGTCGAGAGGACCAAGTCCCGTAACCCATCCCACTTCCTTTTCTGGCATTCATCTCCCTTGCAGTGTATCGGCATGCAACTAGACTACTCTTCCTTATTGGCTTCATGCTCTGCTTTACAGTGTCTTAATAAGTCGCTCGTATATTGTCGAAGCCCCCGTAGCCGATCTGATCTGCAAAAGAGGAGTAAATGGCAAGTCCTACCCGCTTGTACGAAGTACGTCTAGACTATTCTAACCGCGATCCAATAGAATCAATCCCAAATGCAATTAGTATGAGCCATGCACCGTGAAACATGCAACGTCGCGTCACATAGGCCGGGATGTCAACTAGATAAGCTGGCGGTTGAAAATCGCCGGACTTATTTCTATCAGGACTGCCCCTCTTTGAGGGGATGAGGAGATGCATTTCATAACTCCCCAAAGACACCATGTTGATTGACAATTGGACCTTCACCTCTGAGAGCCCGCAACTGTTCATCAGTGTGTTGCTCTGTGCTGCTGTAAATGTCATTGGTGTTGCCGTGTATCGTATCTTTTTTCATCCGCTGGCTCATATCCCCGGGCCTCTATTAGCGGGAGTGACTTCTCTTTATTGCTACTGGTATAATGCTCGCGGTGGACGATTTTACTTGCAGATACAGAGGCTACACGAACAATATGGTACGTTGCCAACCAACACAAGAATAACTTTCTAGAATCTAGAAACTCACACAATCAGGACCCGTCGTTCGCATCACTCCAAACGAAGTCCATCTGAGCGATCCAAACAACCTAGAGAAGATCTACAGCATCGGCTCACGATACGGAAAGCATGGCGACTTCTATCGCGCCGTTGGTCCAGAGAGACCATCACTAGCAACAGAGAGTCCCGAAGCCCACCGGATCAAACGATCAGCCATAAACCCATTCTTCTCGCGCAGAAAGGTCTTGTCCCTGGAAGAGATAGTACAAGACGCAGCCAAAAAAATAGTCTCGCGCATGCAGTCGGCCTTTGAGACCTTAGGACGTCTTGATCTCCATTATGCCTTTCGGGCAGTGTCTGTGGATGTCATCACCGACTATGCCTTTGACGAGTCGTACAAGTTGCTGGATGCGCCAGACTTTGGGAAGGAATTCTTCGATGTGATCCGTGACTTTGGTCCGGCAACGTTGTTCTTTCAGACCTTCCCAACCATTCGCTATGTTGCTTTGCGAGTGCCTAGCTGGCTAGCCATGTTGCTAAAGAAGCCCTGGGGTAGCATGCTGCAGCATCAACAGGTGTGCCATCCAAGCTTTTGATGCAGGATATAGCTAATGAATATAGAATGCTCGCAACCAGGTCCTCCGCGTCAAGGATGCCGTGGACAAGGGAGAGAAGTCGAACCGGACTATATTCCACCACCTTCTTCAGCTCGATGATGTGGAAGGCTACGAGCCATCAGTGGACTATCTCGCGGACGAGGCATATATTGTCCTTGGGGCTGCGGCGGATACCACTGGGAATGCGCTTACGATTGCGACTTACAATACTGTGATCAATCCGGACATTTACAAACAGTTGACGGCCGAGTTGACGGAGGCATTTCCTGATCCAGATGCCGATATAAATCTCACATCACTCGAGAAGTTACCGTACTTGGTAGGTCAAGCAATCCCAACATGGCGAGCAGTGCTAACGATCACTAGACGGGTGTCATCAAGGAAGCGTTACGGTAGTTGCCCCTTACCATTTAGTTAAAAGGCGTATCTAACCAAATTAGTCTCTCCTTTGGTGTCCCCGGTCGACTCCCACGAGTTGTTCCCAAAGGTGGTGCACAATTCAACGGACACACAGTTCCAGAGGGTGTAAGTTTCCCTACAGCCCCGCGAGACAACATATTAAACATAGCAGACCGTCATTAGTATGAGTACATGGATCATGCACCACAACGAAGAAATCTTCCCAGACTCCTACAAGTTCGATCCGAACCGCTGGACTAATCCAGACGTCTGCAAGGCTTTGGAGAAATACCTGTTCGCTTTTGGAAAGGGATCTAGACAGTGTGTCGGAATGCCGTATGTTCGGACCTCTCTCATTGTGTTGCAAATAGCTAACTATGTAGTCTTGCATACTGTGAACTGTACGTCACGCTGGGAAGAGTGTTTCGCCAATTCGGTGACTTGAAGACGAGGAAGAAGAGTCCGGAAGAGCTTGTCTTGAATGATTATTTCTCAGGATACCATCCTGTAGAGTATGCCGGTTTTGTTTTTGAGAAAGCGGTATAATAAGACAATGGCGGAGATAGAGAATGAAAGACAATTGTCGGTGTTGTGTTGAGACATGACTGTATACAAAGTTTCATTCACCTCAATACACTACAGAATGAGTGAATGCAATAGCACTTCCTCCAGCGTCTCTTCTTCCTTTCCTTCTACCATGTCCCTTCTCCCAGCAACGCCCTCAATGTCATCTTCTTCCTAGATTGAAGTTTTCTTCTCTCCATACCTGCTTCAATTCAAATAATATACCTCCACACCCACACTACCCTCGCGTATCACCCCAACCGCCACCATGCCGATGACATGGAATGACCAGAGCGACGCAAAGGTAAGCCGACTCGCATCTCCAAATATAAGCGCATTCCTAACAATCTCAAATCAGCTCCTCGTCGCGATCCTGCATACTACCAGCGCGAAACTCGACTACGCCGCCATCGCGGAATACATGGGACCAGGTAGTCCTCACCTCGAGCCCTACCCTCACAAACCGAAACTAATACACCGTTTACTACAGAATGCACCAAAGTTGCTGTCCAAATCCGCATCACCCGTCTCAAGAAGCAGGTCCACGACGCTTCCAACCCTACTGCTGCCGTCGCTGCTAGTGATGAGGGTTCTGCGCCGGCGACCCCCGAGAAGAGGAAGAAGGGTGCTAAGGCGGGCTCCAAGAACAATGAGGGAGGTGTGAAAAAGAGGCCGGCGAAGAAGGTTAAGAGAGGGGAGGATGAGGAGGCTATGGGGACTGAGACTGAGGAGAGTGGTTAGAATGCGCTGTTGGGGCTGGGCTAGGAATTGGTGTGAGCAGATAAATTTTACTTGTTTTTGATCTTCTACTAGTCAGGATAACGATAGGCTCGGTGTTTTGTATTGAGACATGCTTTGATTGGACAAAGATCTATTATTCATTGTCTACTGAGATGCAGATAACATAAAGAGTGAATGCAATTACACCCCTCTTCTCCGCCATACTTATTTTCTATCTAATATTCCTCTCTTCTCCAACTCTCTACTCTACCTTCATTCCAAATATACCGTTACTAAAATCTGCGCTCATCTCAACCGTCATCATGCCTATGACTTGGACTGACCAGGCGGACGCCAAAGTAAGCCAGCCTAGCACAACACCAACCCTCCATCCAAATAACTAACAAAAGTCCTCAAAAGCTCCTCATCGGAATCCTCCACCTAAGCACCCAAAAAGTCGACTACGAAGCCCTCGCCGAATGGATGGGACCGGGTACGCTCACACCACCCACTCACCCAACTCTGTTCAAAGAAGCTAACCATGTAGTGCTGTGGTAGAATGCACCAAAATCGCCGTGCAACGCCGCATCCAGCGCCTGCGCGAGCAAGTGAACAAAGACTTGAACATCATCGGTTCTGCGTCTGCGTCTGCGTCGGGTTCTGGTGCGGATGATGCTGCTGGAGAGGGATCGTCTGCGTCTGCGCCTGTTTCGCCAAAGAAGAAGAGGGGTAGGCAGGCTGGGAAGGGGAAGGAGGATGGCAAGAAGGCTGCGAAGAAGGCTAAGAATAAGGGCAATGGTGAGGAGAAAGAGGAAGCTGGTGAAGTTGATGCAGAGATGGAGGATGAGGAGGAGGATGTTTGAGGTCTGGTCTGTTGGTTGTGTTATTCTGGTCGTACGAGGGGAACCGAGCGGTTATCGGGGTTATGTGTTTCTAGTGATGGGAACGATTTGACAAGCCCGTGCGATTTTATTCCTAGGTATTGAGAAGGATATTTTGAGCAAGTGCCACTTAAAAGCATTCCTAAACGCATAACAGAACGTACCCCAATCCTCCACTCAACCCTCAGACATCTACCCAACCACAAAACCAAGTACACAAGTTAGCTCTCATCCCCCCGCTTAACACCATCTTCCGGCACAAACTCCGAAGCAGAACTATCATAAACAGTCTCATCCTCCTCCCACTTCTCCCCATCACCACTATACTCCACCATCCCCAACGGCAACGCACTACTCTTCCTAACCCGCTTAGCAGGAACATGAACACCATCCAACTCCGCAAGTTCAAGTTTAACAGCCTTGCTCTCAGGCTCCTTCTTCACGCTCTTGCTCGATTTGGTGGGGGTCTCGACGTCAGCCATGTCCTCGTCTTCGGTAACGTCAGCATTCTGCGTGCGAGCGCGCTTGGTTGAGTCGGGGGCTTTGGTCTTGCCAGAGGCTGGGGTGGATGTAGTAGTGTTATGAGGTTTCTTGGGGGTAGCAGGGGCGCTTTTGATAGCGAAGCCGCCGGCGTTTCCGGAGGAGGCTCGGGCTGTCTGGCGCATGCGCACGAGGCGTTCAGTTATGGCGCGGGGAGTGGGTTTGTCTTTTGCGTCGGTGGCGGCTGTATCGTTATCATTGTGAAAAAAGGGTTATGTAGTGAGTAGGTGAGGGACTTACGCCATGCTTCAGCTACTTTCTTGGTGTCGACGGAGAGGTCGTGGGTCTCCAGGATTTTGAGGAGGAGCTGGTGCTGTTAGTTGAGACTAAGTATGAAGAGGGGAGACGTACCAGCTGGTCATTTCCAGGTGTCCACTTCACAGGCATTTTGACAGTGGATGGTTCAGTGGGAAATAGAGGGTAGTTGAGAAAAACAGAGGTTAAAAAAGAGAAAGGAAGAAAGTGAAGGGAAAAGAACAGGAAGAGTGTGGTATTGCCAACCCTAGTGAATACACGGCAAATTCCATCATTCACTGTGATGTTTGCCATAACAACCTCAACACAACCCTCCTCTCTTCAATGGCCCTCTTCGTCCCTCTTTGACTTGTCTTTATCTGCTGACTTTCCCTCACCACTAAAACACATCAACCCAAAAAAATAAAAATAAAAATAAAAATACAAGATGGTCAACAGGAAAACAGCCGATGCGACAGACCGTCTGTTCGCATCCCTCATCGCCGGCAACCCAGGCCTCAAAGTATGTCCTTAACCCTCCAATCTCAAATACCACAACCATACTAACCCAGCATCTTCGTCTGTCTATTTAGCTGGACTACCACAACATGGCAGCCATCTACGGCCAAGGAGCCACCTACGACGCCATCGAGGGCCGTTTCCGCCGGTACAGAAAAATGGCAGACGACCTGCGCGCAGAGGCACAGGCCCGAGGGGTAAATATCAATAACGGCGTCCCGCGCACGCCTCGTGGGCTGCGAAGCAGAGCTCCAGCTTCTGCGTCTGCGTCGAAATCAAAATCCAACCAGTCCTCCGCGTTGAAGAATCAAAAGCCAGGTTTTGGGGAAAACATCCCCGAGACACCGACAAAACCCAACGGCAGCTTGAGTAACATCATGGGCTCGGCTGCAGATGTGATCTGTCTTGACGACTCCTCCGCATCCCCCGAGGCCGAAACGAAGAAAGAGGCGGACAGTCTGTTCGTGAAGATGGAAAATGTCAACCCAGAACACACTGCAGCCCGCTCTCCCTCTCTGCCTGTTCTGTCGCGGGTTACTCCATCTCCTGTCAAGCCCAAGAGTCTCATTGTTGGAAGTGTAACTCCTCTGAAGCGATCTGTTGAGGGTATCGAGGATCCGGAGAACAGCCCTACTCCGCAGGTGAAGGCGGAGCGTCTGGAGGTGACGAATCCGTTTGTGTTTCGGATGGGGGATTCGTTTGCGATGTCGGATCCGTTCGTCAATGAGGATTACTATGAGGGAGCGGCTTGATGCGTCGGGGTCGTGGTGATGGCGGTTCTGGTTAAGGTATTGGAGCGCGAATAGGTTCGTATCGGAAGAGTTTTTGGTTGGTATGGTTATGCGGTTGTTATATTGAATTGTATCTGATGATGATTTGGTTTATTGAAAGGAATTCGAACTGGTTCATGGTTGTAGATCTGCCGATGACGATGTGTTCGCGAATAGAATAACATGCCATTGTTAGCTTCCGCGCTGTGGTGTTGAATACAAATATGTTACAGTAAGAATATGTACAGGTTGCTCTTCCCTCCCCCAAATGAATATCACATCTTCGAAGTCTTGGGCTTAGGCGGAGGTCGAAGAGGAACAATATATACCACATGGTTACTCAAAGCCAACAGCTCACCGGACTCGTCGAGAATCTGCACATTCACGTCGTACCGGCCGTTGGATACCTTATTCGAATGCGATCGCGTCATCACCCACCGCGTATCGGGATGCGGAATCTTCTTGAACTCCACTGACAAGCAGAGCGTGGACAGTGCGTATCGCGTGTAGAACCCTAGTTCATGCGTGGCGGGAGGTTGCAGCGGCATATCCGTCATGACTGCTAGGTGAAAAACGCTAGACATTTTCGATCCGTCTCTTAATGACAACCAAACCTCCCGGTAATGACCTCCCAGCCGGTGACCCCAGAGACCGTTGGCATTAGGGGCAATCCAGTGTAGCTTCCGTGTCACCGGTGTAGCATCGACCACGGGGTCGTCGATAGGAACGCATTCTGTGTGTCTGTTCGGGAGTGTCGTGATAACGGGCTTGGTATCCTGCGAGATGCCTTTTTCTTTTGAGAGGTCGCCGTATGCGATGATAGCCACCGTGGTGGGCGATTGAGACTCGGTATTCCGGGATAATTCGACCCTCACCACGCATTGTCGAGACGAGGTACGTAGAGTATGGCATGTGATAACCACCGACCCAGCCGGGACCATATTAAGGAACTGAACGAAGGTATGGATGGGATGAGGATATCGTCCAGGTCCGAATTCGAGTTCTAGGTATTTCTGAGTTGCAGATAGCATCAACGCATTGAGAAAACCTCCCAGCACAGCGCTGTTTCAGTCAGCCTCGGTTCAATTGCTATGTCTTCCCACATACAGCTGCGTCGTCCAATCCCTCGAAATCTCCGCTGTAAAACAATTGCGCGACCCATGCGCGACGGATAGGCAGGACAATGCCTCCAGTAAAGGCGAGGACTGTTGCTGCGTCATATTCAACGGCCGGTCGCGTGCGTCGCGTCTGCGTTGCAACAGGGGCCGGGGATTATTATAGCACGTTCGGAGGTTTTGTATCGATAGTGACAACGGTAACACAGACTTTCAGCTGCGGCACGCCGGGGTTAAGTACTTTTTGGACTCTAGCAAGGAGTCGACCTGTCTTCGGTTCCACGTTTAGAATTCTGATAGAGCAATTGTCGCCATTCATGGTCCACTCGGGAATGGAGCAGTTGAGCTAGTGAGGTCGATCTTGTGGAGGTGCAGCTGCAGCAGTTGTCAACACCATGGTTCAGGAGAGGAGGCAATTGGTTTTCATTGCATGTCCGGAGGCGAGCCCGTGCTTTTGCCGGTACGAACACCTGGAGAAGGAACCGGTGGAAGGGAAGGAGCGCATGAGTAGATAGACTCCGGGGTAGCCATGGGAGGAGACATGGTGAACTGTGGGAGCCATGAGAATAACCGAGGTTGATCTCTTTTGGGCGAACAATGAATTGATAGACAGACTAGTGTCGATAGTCCACAGCAATTGGGTTATTTGCTTTATTTGACGGCGAGAATCTTCTGCAGCTTTTAGGACTTTCAGGAATGCCGAGTATTCAGGAGAACTGAGAGAATTTCTGCCTGAGGCATAATCCCGTGACCGGCTGTGTATGCGAGTGCGAACAGGGAAATGCAACGCTAAATGCAAATATGCCGTACAACTGGGTGTACTCGTACCCAATTCCTGCTGGTAGTGGTACTCTGTATTACTGCCAGAGCCGAATGCCGTCCAGTTAAGGTAGTACGTAGTACAGTAGTTCGTGCCCAATTGCCGCCAGGTCACGTGCCCGGCGCGAACGCGGCGCGGCGGACCGCGAATTTTCCTTTCGGGTTAAAATTGGGCGGATTCCGTCTTACCTTTTATCTCTTCTCTTTGCAATTATTACGGAACACACCATACAATTATTCTCTCCATAACGTACTATCACATATCACTCCTACAGGGATCTTGATCCAACGCACGCACCGAATTATCGAATTAAATTACCACCCCTGAATCAGCCGCATCATGGCCAAAGACATCGGAGCTCCCACACCGCAGTCCGAAAACCCATCGCCATGGCCTGCCTCCAAACAAGTTTCCGTTGTATTGCCCACAGCCTCGACAGAACAACTTCCTACACCGGATCAATCGGAGGGTGTCATGGTCAACGGATTGTGCATTGTGGAGGGGATTCTGCCCGATGGTCGGGGAAAGCGGCTGACATGGGAAGAGGTGGAAGTTTTAGTGCGGCTGTGCATGGAACGGACGACGGAAGACGAAATCAACACTCGTCCGAAGAAATGGTGGGCCGAGACTTCTGATTTGTTATATGCGCGGACCGCCCGGTCTTATTCGTGGCAGTCGTGCAAGCGTCGCATGCAGCAGTTGTTGTGTGCTTGCCGATTGTTCAAGGACGGTACTGCGGATCACTTGGAATTTGCAGACGCCGGTCTCCAACGTGATCTTCGCCAGTTGCCTCATGATTTGCGTTCGGAGATGATTGAGTGGATGAATAAAACCGTATCAAGCGAGCAGCAAAATGTATTGGGCAAAATTAAGGCCCTGGGGGAGCGGCGGGCGGAAAGACAACTCGAGAAACAACAACCTGAAGGGGAAGATGGAGAAAAGCAGCGGGAGAGAGACTACCACAAACGCAAACATGACCGAGTTTGGAAATGGCTAGGTAGTTTGCCTCCCCCGGGGGAAATGCTATCCGCGTTGGACGAAAGTGAGCGCACCGAACGGGGACGGAATGCAATACCCGCGCAACGAGACCGATCTCAATCCCCCCGTCGTGAGGCGACCAAATACCGCCAACGCTCTCCGCTAGGCCGTCGAGACCCGCAGCCGACTTCAACCCCAACAGGCAAAATCGAACGCTACTTCGAACCCGATCATCCCCGTGACAGTCGCGAGCAGGACGCAGTGAAAAACGAGCGAACAGGCTGGGCTAAACAGCCTCTTCCCAAGAACGACCCGAAAAAAATGACTCCCGCCGAGCGATCCGATCTTGCCGTACAACTGGAAGATACCGTTGACGACCTTGCCGATGATTTCATTGCCAATCACATGTACCCTCTGGTCCGCTCAGCCTACCCCAGCTATACCGATGAAGCCAGAAACAAGCATGAGGCAGTAAACCTCGCCTGCTACGCCTTGTTCCGGAACATGGCGAAAATCACTGTCGAACTCCTGGCTGCCGCAGGCCTGCCAACTCCTCCTTTTCCAGCGGAGTAGTCTCTCTTAACCCTCTATTGTTTTCCTTTCTTGTTTTGACTTCCAGTTCGGGTGGCATTGTCCAGCAACACATTGGCAATCAGCCAAGCATGATACCCCAGCATTGATGCCTTTTGTTGCCTTTGCATTTCTTTGCATTACATTCCCTGTTTGTGTATCTTTCTATATATCCATTGCATTGCATGGTTGGGTTTGAATTTGAATTAAGGAGTTCTGTTTGCATAATGTTTTTCACTGCGCATTGTCCATAGATAGAAATAGAAATAGAAATAGATGCATTGCATTTGCATTTGTGCTTGTTTTGTAAGTACTCCGTAACTATTTACAGATCGTCTCGCCTAGGCTGTTCTGCGTACTCCGTATGGATACTGAGACATGCAAATATATTTAGTTCGTCCCACATGGTCGCTTTTCATATGCACGGGATGTGGGAATGTGGGGAGCATGAAGGTGTGGGGAAGTACTCCTGCTCGATGGGGAATTTCAAAGAATGTAACGACATAAGTAGTAAGTAGACGCGTGAGACTTATTCCCTTGTCTTGTATGGGAGAAACTCTGTCCGTAGAGACAATTCATCTTGATTAAATCGAGAACCCTAATATTGACCATCCACTATGTATATATATATATGAGGTCAAGAACGCCAGTAACCCAGCCATGCTCTAGACAAATACAAAAATAACAAACGAGAAAACGAGACACCCTAATGACACAATGTAATCCACTGATCAATAATCTCCTCCATATCAAACGCAATCCCCCACTGCGAGCATAGACACCGGAACAACTTCTGTATCGAGTTCAGCTCGTACAGCATATTCCTCACAGCCCCGACAGATGGCGGGGAATCTGTTCGACCAGTCTCAGCAAACCGTCGAGTCTCAGATCCACCGGGTGCTGGACGCATGTCTGTGCTTCCCAGGTTCAAGTCAGAGCGTGTGAGCAGCGCGTCTTGCCAGATGATGCTATTCGGGAGACGAACGGTTGCGACGCCGGCGATGGAGAAAACGAAGTATATCGTAGCTGCTGCGAATAGGGAGCTAGGCATGTGGATGACATGCGCGCGACCACGGGGGAGTTGCTCGATGATATCTTGAATGGCGATGGCGTGGAGAAGAGCGCGACGGGCGTCTTCTGTGTGGATCCATTTGACCATGTCGAATCCGGACTTGAGTGTGCGGGAGCCTCCTGAGACAGATTGGGTGATGTTGTAGCGTGAGCAGACGTGTCTGCAGAGGATGGTGGAGTTGATCATTGTGTCGAGGCATATTGTGTGCCATCGGAGGAGTATTTCTAGTCTTTCTGGTGGTGAGAGATGGATGCTCATTGAGATTGTCTCGTGGATTTGGGCTAGAGCTCTTCTAACGTCTGAGCGGTCGGGAACCCCGACGGATGCTAGATCACTCTCGTCGGAGTCGGAAACGAGTGATTGCAGAGCTTCCAGAACGACGCGGAGGGCAAACGCCGAGAACTGGTAGTCTAGCGAGCGGAAGCTGCCAACAGGAGGGAATAGAGAGCGAAACACCAGGCGGAATGAGGGCTGATCTGTCTTCAGTGAGCGCATGTGGACTAGCCATTCATCAGTAGTGCTGGCATCAAATGCCGCTTCACTACTAGGGAGGTTGAGCGGGTTCGCAACGTGCCGGGCCGAAGCACCGTCCCCAGACATTTGTGCAACCAGACCGTCTAGAATATGATATGCGAGTAATGCTCGTTGTTGAATCTCCCTCGCTGCCCAAATCCGCCATTGATGTTCTTTCTCTGCAATCGGGGAATCATAGAACGGCAGGTTTTCCGGGGGAAACGGCGGACTGTCCAGCATACCGCAATGTCTTGCCCAAAAGAAACCAAGCGGACGGAATACCTGACTCGTGGTGCGAATGCCTCTATTCTATTCAGTTGTAGCAATTGCCAGATGTGCACGAACGAGGCTTCTTACATTTGACAAAGCGCCGTATATTTGTCCCAGAAGAGCTGTTATCAACAGCTGCACACCTTTACATGCATCGTACGGACCACGATGTGTTATCATCGATTGCCACTGGTGCTATTAGCTGTAGCTCTCCTGAAGGTGCTAGGTAGACATACTGATGTCGCAACGGCAGTGTGTGCTAGGCGCCATAAAGCCTCTCCCTGGTTTTGTAAGCACATGTATCACCCACTCCCTCGAAGAAACTTACCTTCGCTACTGAATCCTTAGGCCCTAAATATAGCGAACCAATTGCTATTGCATTCAACAGGAGCGGATGTGTGCATTCCCGAAAAATGAACGTTGCTCGATGCAAGATAGGAAACGTCGGAATGAATCTGACGAAGAACATGTGAAGACATTCATCGAGGAAGACTGAAGTAATCGATTTCGCTTTCACCTCGGCTGTTACGCTCGATGACTGAAAATATTAGCACTGGTATTAAAAGATGTCACTCTAAACTCACCGAGCTCGTCACCATCTCCGTGACATCATGCACAGCTTGATGACTCCCCCCAGACGGAATAGTACCAATTGACGAACTTCGATCATCAAACGAATTAGGAGACCCAAAGTTCATCGTGTTGACATCCTGCACAACCGGAGGAAACGGCAGCGTCCCCAGCGGCATCTGCCACTGGTCCGTCGTACCTGTGGACATGATACTCTGAAACAAATTCTCCGAGTCGGGCCAAATCAAGCTGAAATCGAGGTCAGAAGCCGCATGCAGATTTGACTGCTGCGTAGACTGCGATGTTTCCCATGTTGTGCTAGCAGGAGGCGTCGGAGCTGCTGTTGAAGGAGGATTCGAATTCCACGCAGGAAGTGTATCCTCTATCGAGGCAGTTTGGGACGCCAGCGGCGTAGGTTGAGGATCATTTTTGGCGTTTGGAGTCCGCATGTGCAGTTTCTCATGACGAGTGAGAGCATCCTGACGGGCAAAGGGCCGCGCACAGTCTCTGCAAACAAAAGGCTTCGATCCGGTGTCTTCAAGGCAGCATCGAATTGTCAGCTTTCTTGGCTCTGCAATAGGTAGATCATCCGCTGCTAAAAACAGAACGATCAACCGGTATTCTTACGGCAGCGTTCATGTCTCTGTTGGCATTCGTTAGCGCTTGAGCTATTGACTAGTATGAGGCCGTCCCCACGGTGTAAGAGTGGGAGACTGCATACTCTCAAATGTTCTGCTTTTGAAAAGGCCTTGTTGCAGACCCGACAAGCCAGTTTCTTAACCCCGGCCGGTGTTGTCTCCCCCATCATGCAACCACAGTGTGGGTGGGCGTCCTATCTCTGGATTGCGATAGACGATGTGTATCAGCTAAGCAATAGTGCAGTGTACAATCGTGGGACGAGAGAGAAAGAAAGGAAAGACAAAAGAGGGAATTCCGGGGGTGGGAAACATTGTGGGGCACGTGGCAACCACCGGAGATAGGTCTCGGCGTTAGCCTTTTTGGGAGTCTTCTCATTCGGTCTACTTTCCCTCTACAGAGTTCACTGCATGGGTGATACAGGTCATTCAAGGCACAAAAACAGATTCAGCTTACGGAATTGGCCGGATACGTACCAGTTGCAATTCTAAAAAGGACTTTTCCGTGCCTGAAACCCCAGCGTCATCACCGTCGAACCATGCCGGTCTCGATTAGTCTGCTAGCCAATGTGATACACTTCTTCTTCAAATTTGTGGGGGCTAGCTGACGCTATCAGGGGTGCTAAATTTGGGTCTAGTCCATATATTCGGCATTCTGAGTCGACGGCTTCATTCCGTCTCAGTACATCCTCCGCATCTTCTCCACAATGCACCCCCGGTCAATTGAGGAGACGGGTGCTTACGTATGAACCCCGGGGTGAGGACCTATGTCTATGTTTATGCCTATGTACAGGGCATTTAGATTGGCCTGGGCTTGATTGGAATGATGCAGTTGGTTCGCTTCTCCTCTCCGGTTATCCCGGTTATTCATGCAGCGTTGGCCAAGAGGGGAAACATGAATATCTGACCCTTTCTACCCTTTTTTTTTTTTTTTTAGATCTTTATTTTAGTTCATTTATATCAGGGGTATAGAGGGTGAAGTATCTCAATCACCCCAGGCTGAAGAAGCCCACCACAAACAGACAACATAGCATGACATTCCTCGAAATGCAGCCGTCACGAGCGGTTGGTGAGATTGAAGAGTCGAATCCAACTAGCAAGCCCAACATTGACCTTATAGAGAGTGCAGAGGCAGGCATGCCAGCTACCTATGTCGAGACAGTGGCTGCTAGGCTCTCCAAGGGTCATCGGGATTATCTGATCGAGCGCCATGGGACGTTGGACCTAGATCCCATTCCGGGGATTAGTCGTACGGATCCGTACAATTGGCCTACTTGGAAGGTTAGTCGTCTCCATTATTTGATGGAGTACATTCTGGGTTTGAAGCGAAGTGCTGACAATTCAGAAAATGATGAACTTGATTCTAGTTGCCTTCCACGCATTAATGGGAACCTTCATGGCGAGCTCGATTATCCCAGCATACTCAACCATCGTTGAAGAGTTCGGTGTCTCATTGCAGAGAGCGAGTTACCTCACATCACTACAAATCGCGATCCTTGGAGGTGCACCGCTGTTCTGGAAACCCCTATCCAACCGATTCGGTCGCCGTCCCATTTTTCTGTTATCCCTGATATGCAGTTTGATCTGTAATGTAGGATGCGCAAAGAGTCCCGATTATGCGTCAACCGCTGCATGCCGAGCATTGGCGGCATTCTTCATCTCTCCAGCATCTGCTATTGGTAGTGCCGTGGTGATGGAAACGACGTTTAAGAAGGATAGGGCCCGGTACATGGGGGTCTGGACCCTGATGGTCACACTGGGAGTTCCTAGTGGGCCGTTTATTTTTGGGTTCGTCGCCTATCGGGCAGGGTATCGGTGGATCTATTGGGTCCTTGCAATGGTGGGCCTCTCCATACCCTGGCCATGATCTTACAGGCAGCAATTTACTGACGGTTGTCTCTACGGCAGATCAACGGCGGCCAATTTATCCTATACCTCTTCTTCGGACCGGAAACGCGTTACGTGGGCAATGGTGCCGACCGCCAGATAAACTGGAAGACCGAATACCTCTATATCAGTCGCATCGATAAAACGCCATTCTCATGGTACGAGTTTATCAGGCCATTAACAATGGCCAAGCGCCCATCCATCCTAATCCCCGCTGTGGCATACGCCATGGTGTTCCTCTTAGCCAGTATCCTCTCTACAGTCGAGATCCCAAATCTTCTCCAAGAGAAATTCAGCCTGAATGAAGAACAAGTCGGTCTCCAATTCCTGGGGGTCATCATTGGCTCCATCATCGGCGAGCAGCTAGGTGGTATCATGTCCGACTTTTGGATGCGCCTGCAAGAACGCCGACTCGGGCGCAAAGCAGACCCTGAGCACAGGTTGTGGCTGAGCTATTTTGGCTTCTCCCTCGCCATTATCGGTCTGGTTGTTTTCCTTGTATGCACTCAAGCAGCACCTAGTGGCCATTGGCGAGTAACCCCCATCATTGGCACTGCTATCGGAGCTGTGGGAAACCAAGTCATCACCACCGTGCTGGTCACGTATGCTGTTGACTGTTATCCGAAGGAGGCGGCGAGTGTTGGCGTTTTCATCACGTTCGTTCGTCAGATTTGGGGGTTTCTTGGGCCGTTCTGGTGAGTATCTTCCATAAACTCTGTTCACATTCCGGTACAATCGTTAATTGGTTTAGGTTCCCGTCAATGTTCGAAAGCGTGGGTATCGCAGCGAGTTCCGGTGTGGGCGTTGCTCTTATCGTCGGTGTCAGCGTGGTTCCGACAATATTCTTGCACCGGAAGGGGCGTGTATGGCGTAAGGAGAAGGTATATTCCTAATGCTGTTATGGCTTGTTTTATAAGCGTTATTTTGTTTCCGGGTTAGCCATTTTCAGTCAGGTATAAGGTCAATGAAGAACATCAGCACTTCAACAATCATGGACACTTCGAGGACATAGGCATAGCAAGAGAAGCTGGTCAGCCCAGGAAAGAAAAGAAAAGAGAAATAGAAAATAGCCCATGGCTTATATTGCTCTGTAACGGCCCCTTTAATCCCAAACAGCCTTATTTCTTTTCCCCGGCGCGTCTCATGATCCATAAGCCAGGCCATCTTCATGTCCATCAGCCAACCACTGGTCTTGGCACACGGGAAGCCCCGAGCCGATTGAATCGGTCGGAGTTTCAAACAGTGTTTGACTGCCGATGTTGTACTCTGTAAGGGTACGGAGTACATGATGATAGTGCTCTATCGTGTCTGCTGGATGACATTGTGCTACAATCAATAAAGGCGTATAGTGAGAAAATGGTACCTTAAACAGGATATCCTATGTCACACATCACTCTGTACTCTATACTCAGTGTCTGTACATGGTCTCAGATTAAGCTCGCATTGGCATTCCTAGGGCAAAGACAAGCCGGAGTAGACATACTCCGCTTGGGTAAAATCAATTCCGTCTTAACTCCGAACAGCCAATCAGAGACTCGGTACGATGCAGTGTAGTCCAGTAGGCCTATTTCGCATTTCTGGGGTCTCAAGAGGATACTTCTCAGGCGTAGGTAAATGTCGTCATTCGATGAATTCCTTCGTCAAGTTTATTTGTAAGAATCCGGGAGATCTTTGGTACTCGAATGTTGTTAAAGTACCGTCGGAAATTCCGAGATACAGTGTGTGGGGAAATCCGGTGTTTGTGGAGATGATATCAGTGGGGATGTGGGATCCAGGAGGTAATCCGTACACAATCGTGTAACTACTAGTAGTACTACAGCATAGCTAACGCACCCTGATAATGCAATCGTATAATCTAGCACGGGTATACAATACAATCGACATTTATTACTGCTGATTCTTGAACTTTGTAATCAATGTTCCAACATGTGGCAGCAACTCCACCGCAAACTCATCCCCAGCCTTCAAGAACTCCTTCGGATCCTTCGCAGCTCCAACACCGGGCGGAGTACCAGTGAGGATGATCGTTCCGGCGGGCAGGGTTGTGCCTTGTGATAGGAAGCTGATGAGCTTCGGGACGCTGAAGATGAGGTCGCTGTTTTCGTTTTTAGCTTCCGTAGAGAGTATAGAGGGATTGGAAGGGAGGGCACACGTCAATGGACAGTCCTGGAGGACCTGGGCGTTCTTCAGGCCACGGATCTTGAATTGGCTGGCGTCAGGGAACTGCGCTGCAGAGACGATGACAGGGCCTGAACCGTTCAGTTAGCAAATCTCAGACTATTCCGGTAGAACGGATAGCTCACCAATAGGACAAGCAGTGTCAAACCCCTTCGAAAAACACCATTGACTCTGGTTCATTTGCGACGTCCGGCTGGAGATGTCATTCGAAGCCGTGTAACCCAGCACGTAATCCAGTGCCTCTTCCTCGCTGACATCCTTTGCGTCGCGGCCAATGACAATGACCATTTCGGATTCGTAGTCGCCCGTATTGTCCTGTTGAGTGATTCTGGGGAGGATCGTGGGAGCCGGCCATGGATCTGCGAGCGAGGTGGATGGTTTAATGAATAAGGTTGGGACGTCGGGGATGGAGAGTTTCATTTCTGCGGCGTGGGAGACATACTGCGCATTCATCGTCAATGTAAATGTTCAACGAGTTTCTCTATATCAACTTACGTTCAACCCGATACACCGAATAGATCCAACTTCATTCTGAGCCAGCGGAGACAAGAGCCGTTCAATGATCTCGGTCTTCTCAGTTCTCTGTCCCGGGCTGAGAACAGACTTCCCCGAGAATGGGTGAACAGGAACATCCTTGCCCTGGTAAAGAGCCAACCCAACGTCCAGCTTGGGATCTACCGGCTCTCCGATGAGGATGCTAGAGCGGTTGGATCTGGGGACAAAGCGCACCAGGCCTGGTCGCGTTAGTATGCAGCATAACCAGCGTGAGTTTGGGACTTACGCGAAAATGTAGATGCGATTTTGGACATGGTAAACTGAATTGAGATTTGTTAATTGGGTGAAATGGACGAGGTTGTTCACTATTTATCGGAGATGCCGCGGACTATTTCTACCCCGACAAGACAAGTGGGGGAGGGGCTGGTTACTTTATTTCTCCCTTTCTCTTGTATGGACATCAATTGAAAAGGTTTAACCTAGAAAGAGTGACCGGGTTAAATCCGACAGACCCGGTTATTTTCTGATCCCCACGAACGATGCCGGACAACGGCGTGGGGAAGGGGAGGGGGGGCTGATAAAAACAGCCTACTTCGCTGTTTAAGAACATTTGCGACAAGCTCATACAAAGCATACTACTCTATTTCATCAATATTCAAAATGACCACCCCCAAAGGACCCTTCCGTCTTATCACGGTCAACACGGCCCCGGAGAGAGCGCAACGCTTGATCGGGAGAGTCGCTGATACGCTCAAGGACCAGTATATCATCATCCACGAGGCCAACTGCTCGAGTATGTTTCCTTTATCGCGAGTATCTTGTCGGTGTCGCAAATATCCAAAGTTATGTGTACTGACTGCGACAGAAATCGAAGAAGTCGGCCCTAAAGTCCAGGAGCTGCTGCCGGATGTCCTGGTAAGCTGCTACCGAGATATCTACAAATCCGATCTCCATGGCCCATGCTAACGACTTCAACAGTTCAGCGCATCCATGTGGACTGCAGAAGAAGCCCAGCAGATCCACGCCACAGCGCGCGAGATAAAGCCCGATATCAAACTGCACGCCATTCCTACCGGATTACAGGTTGAGAGAGGCCCCGACGCTATTGTCGAATACCTTTGCGAGAAGGTGCCGCCGCTGCTGGACAGCTGAGTGTTGATGTTGGGATAACTCGTAGAGTATATTGGGTGGATTGAACGATGGTCATGAGTTGCAATGTGTTTGTAAATACTATACCAGCTGGAGATAGACTGAGTATTTCTAACTGCATTAAATGTATTTCTAACCCTCTTCTGGCGAAATGCCAAGTCCAAAGTCAACTGGCGAGCGGACGCAAGATTATTCAGAACTTATTAAGTTATTCACGTGGCGCGTCACTCATTGGTCAGATTCTGCAAGGCGGAAAGGCCCTTATCTAAGCAAATATTACCAATAAGAGACCACAGTGACGGAAATACCGGAGATAAGCGGGTCCACAATACATCACCGCAAGAATCCTTGATATCCGTCATTGAATGGAATTGTGTAGTACCAATTCAACTTTTTACAATGCTACCATTAAGAACAACCCTAAGAGGGGCAACCGGCCTCCGCTCCTTTTCTACATCGCGCGTGCTGCGCTCAGAACAGCTGTCACATCAGATCTTCGGTCCCGAGAATGAACAGGCCGTTCGGAGCCCGATTCTCTTCTTGCACGGGCTTTTCGGGTCGAAGCAGAATAACCGGAGTATCAGTCGGTGGGTGCTTTCCGATTCGAGCATTCGGAACGCATAGCTGATTATAGCAGAGCCCTCGCACGTGACTTGAAGCGTCAAATATACACCCTGGTACGTGTGCCCTGTATGCAATGAAGCCGACAGGAAGATTAAGAGTAAATGACAGGATCTCCGGAATCATGGACACTCGTTTCATGCCCAGGAGCACAATTATACCGTTATGGCGGAGGACGTGGAGAAGTTCATCGACCAGCAGAAGCTGGATAAATGCGTCTTAATTGGGCATTCAATGTACGTCTTCTCAGTGCATATTAGAGACATTTGTGTTAACGAGCGTTGTACAGGGGTGCCAAAACCGCCATGGCTGTTGCTCTGCGCTCTCCCAGCCGCGTGTCGGGTCTTGTGCCCGTCGACAATGCTCCCGTTAACGCTCGACTACAGAGTGATTTTGGCAAATATGTCCGGGGCATGCAGCATGTCGAGGCTGAGAAGGTGACGAAGCAGTCTGATGCGGATAAGATTCTGCAGGGTTACGAGGAGGTATGTCTTGATATTCATTTAGTATCATTACGGTGTTATATTAACGTGGTAGGCCCTCCCCATTCGACAATTCCTTCTTACCAACCTGATCAGGTCAGACGATCAGACGATGAAATTCCGCGTTCCGCTGTCGACCTTGGGTGCTTCGCTTGAAGGTATGGCTGACTTCCCATACCGGGAACCAGGCGCTGTAACATATGACGGGCCCACGCTTGTTGTCCGGGGCACCAGGAGCAGATACATCTCGGACGTGTCGCTCCCCGCCATCAAGAAGTTCTTCCCTAGCTCTGAAGTCGCGGATGTCGAGGCCGGGCATTGGCTCATTTCGGAAAACCCTGAAGCGTTCCGACAGGTAGCTGTTAAGTTCTTACAGAATACGCCATAATGGAAGGATCGATGGGGTATTGATTAAGCAAAAGAGGCGTATACCTCGCTTGAACATTATGCATATAGACGTATTTGCAAATAATACTCATAAAACAAACATATGAATGGTAGCCACACCACGCCAACACAGAATATAGTATCAAGGAACACAAACTCTATTACAGTCATGAGTTTCGTCACCACGTCCAGATCTAGGGCAGAGCACTTATCCAGTACGCATAAAGTCAAGGGCAAAGAAAACCAAGAATAACTCGCTTAGTCCAACGTAATGGGTTCCGTATCTTGGATGAGATTTCTCCTCTTCTTTTTCTTGGTCTTCTTTTTCGCGTCTGTAGACGGCGTCCCATCCCGTCCGGGAATGAGCATTCGTGGTGAATTGGACCCCGAATGCGGTTCCGGTCTTTCGTCATCAGAAGCATTCATCGAAGTACGCGGGCGCTTCTTCTTCCTCTTCTTCTCTCGTAGAGCGAGCGCAGGGTTGGTTTCGGCTATTTGGCTGATAGTAGTGCTGTCTCCATTGGCCGGGCTCTCGGTGGGCCCCTCAGGGACCTCGGGTTCGGGTTCTTCATCACCCTCAACCTTTTGTGGTGGTGATTGTGGCTCTTCAGCTGCTTGTCCATCCATAAGCATACCTTCCTGGTTCTCCACTGCTTTCTTTATATAATCGAATTGTTTGAGCAGTTGTTCATGATTGTTCGACGCAGACTCCTCCAAGTGACGCATGCGATCCAGCAAGGAACCAATGTCATCCGCGTGGGATTTTGTTGCTTCCATGTTGGTTGTGTTTGTGGATTGTAATTGAGAAAGTTTACTCAACATGTCCTTGAGCTCACTGGACAGTCGCTGGAACTCCTTGTTGAAATGCTCGCGTTCATGATTCAAGCTCTGTACGAGGGATTCGTCCGACCACTGTTTCGACTTCAATTGCTCGCTGATGTTGAATGTCTGTTCGTTTATTTTCTTCGAGAGAGAATCGACCTTCGACTGCAGCTGATTAAATTGCTGCTGAGTTGGCATCGAGGTCTGGGCCTTAATCCGCTCCAATAGACCAGCAACCGACTGCTCCATACGAACATGTTCGGTTTTAAATCGGTTCTTTTCCTCCAATTGCACGGCTGTATCCTTCTGCAGTTGCGTGACTTGCGAAGAATGCGACTTGAACAGTTGTTCTACCGTCGATTTGAGCGGCAGGATATCTTTATCGAGGCTGTTTCTGAGGGCTGTCACTTGCTCCGTCAACTGGGATGCCGATGGGTACATTTCTTGCATGGCGGCCACCATGTTCTTGACGATAGGCTCGGTCGAGATATTATTATAACGTGTTTCCAAAGAATGTAACCCAACCTTCACGCTCTCCAGCACACGCTGTGTGACTGATAGCGACCCGGAAAGATCTTGGATTTGCCGCAGAGCTGCCGCTGGCTTGCTTTGCGCAATAGCCTTGATCTCCGTTGACACTTGACCATAACCATCCCTCAATCCTTTGAACTCCTCGCTCTGTTGCGCCAATATCTTCTTGATTTCTTCCATTTCAGAGAACTGGAAGTCGTCTTTCATGGACTGTAGATGCGACAGCTCGTCCATCCGACCATTCAATGCCTGCATGCTCTGGTTCACCTGGTCCTTGTTGATTTGAGGTGCGGTCTGATTTCCTTCCAGCTTTTCCAACCTCTGTTCCATGTCCTTGATCTCACCCTTGGAATCAACATTTCCGTTTACCGACTGAGCAGTCGGGCTTTCTGTCACCACTTTACCCGCCAATGAGCTCAAATGATTGGAAAAGCTGTCCATTCTCGCCTTCATTGCACTTATAGAACCAACATTAATATCGTTCAATTCTCTCCGGTGTTCTTCGATATCTCCGTTTATTTGGTGAATCGTCTTTGAAAGCGCTTCTTGGCACTCGACAAGTGCCTTCATTGTTCCCTCCGCCTCCGTGTGCTTCTGCTTTAATTCCCCAATGTCGTTCTCGAATTGCGTGGGCAGTGCTTCTCGTATTGGTGATGATACTGCTCCCTTCTTCATTTCCGAGCTCAGCGACGTTAAGCGCTCGTCATTAGCCTTGGCAGTATTAGCCTGTTCGGATAGAAGTGAGGTTTGATTTCCCATGGTTTTCTCCAAAAGAATAACCCTATCCTGAAGAATTTTGATGGGCCCAGTTCGCGTCGGACTGCTATCAACGAGCCTAGCAAGTTCAGCTTTTGTACTGGCGGCCTCTTCCTTGAATGTTTGAAGTTCCCTTTGCAGGTTCTTTATCGTCTCTTCCGACGCAGAAGAGCCGGGGCCGCTTGGCGATAATAGTCCCCATTTAGTCACCAGATCCCTTTCTATTTGGCTGCAATTCGACAAGTGCTCCTTTATAGTATCATCCATCCGAGTCATGTCGACTTTCTCGTCATTGCTGGCCTGCTGAAAGAAAGCCGCAGTTGAAGGAAAGTTCGTATGGTCCTTTGCCTTTTTCAATAGACCTTCCGTTATCTCTTTCTTCTGCTGCAATCTTTCTTTCTCCGACCTGCTCACGGCCGTAGCAACGGCGGCTTGCACCAGCTCGGAGATTGACTGGATAAACGACCCATCACGAGGATTATCCTGCTTCTCGACCGGCTTGGGGGGTTCGTTCGGCGGAGGGAAAACGGCGGGTTTGGGTGTGCTGGGTGACCCAAGCGAGATGGAGTTTTGTCTTTCCAAGGACGGCTTTTTGATCGGCGGGGGTATATTGAATCTGGTTGCTCGACTGGCAAGACGTGGATCGCGCGTGGATGGATTATCGAGGTCTATTTTGTCCGACATGGTAGGAGATTATTGTATCGAAAGGCGAAAGGTGCACATCATTTAGCAACTGTTCCTGATCCTGACTGAGCTTATAACAGATAACACTGTTCCCAATCACATCAGCAATGCAGACCAAGTTAACGAGGGGTCAATATCAAAGCGACAGACGATTCTCTGCTCAGAGGATAAATTTGGCGATTGCGCGCACGCGTGAGGGAAGATATGCGGAGGGATCGCACTCGACGATGGGATGGAAGGTCGGTAATTGATGTAGCAACAGAAAGGCGAGAGAGATGGGACCAGAGATCTGGCCTGAATTTTCGACTTGACATGTAAATAGAGGCTTGAAAGAAAAAATTTCTCCAGGGGCAAATGAACAAACGGACGGTCTTGTAACAGGCGAACGCTTATTCTGCCGGGCGGTGAGCAACTTTTGGGCTTCTCTTTCGCAGAGCTGTTTCTCTCACCTCCGCGACGTTGTCTTTTGCTGGTGCACTCGATCCGGTGGTTTTCGTCTCAATAAAGGTCTTTTTGCTGGTTTAGGAATTTACCATGGCTGCGGTGAGCTTTCACTTCTTTTGTTTGCGATTCTGGTCTCATTGCTGATTCCTGTCAAGCCAATTTCCACCGTCGCGGAGAGCAAGGAGCTCCGCGGACTCAACCTCATCGCTGCCCATTCGCATATCCGGGGTCTTGGTGTCGATACAGACTCTTTACAACCTAGAACGTCCTCGCAGGGACTCGTTGGCCAGGAGAAGGCACGGAAGGCCGCTGCGGTGATTCTGCAGATGGTCAAGGAAGGGAAGATTGCTGGGCGAGCTGTGTTGATCGCAGGACCTCCCAGCACCGGAAAGACAGCTATCGCGATGGGTATGGCACAGTCGCTTGGGCCTGATGTGCCGTTCACAATGCTTGCTTCCTCGGAGATTTTCTCCATGGAGATGTCCAAGACAGAGGCACTTACACAGGCATTCCGGAAGTCGATTGGTGTCCGCATCAAGGAAGAGAGCGAGATTATTGAGGGTGAAGTTGTGGAAATTCAGATTGATCGGAGTGTGACTGGCGTAAGTGCACACCGTCACATGTTTGTACGATGAAAGCGGCTAATTTTGATTTGCTTATTCGATGCAAAGGGCCACAAACAAGGCAAACTTACCATCAAGACCACCGATATGGAGACGATTTACGACATGGGAACGAAGATGATTGATTCGATGACCAAAGAGCGTGTGATGGCGGGAGATGTTATCTCGATCGACAAGTCCTCGGGGAAGATCACAAAATTGGGTCGCTCGTACGCTCGTTCTCGGGATTATGATGCGATGGGCGCCGATACCAAGTTCGTCCAGTGTCCCGAGGGTGAACTGCAAGTTCGCAAGGAAATTGTCCACACCGTGAGCCTCCATGAGATCGATGTCATCAACTCCCGGACACAGGGCTTCCTGGCACTTTTCTCGGGTGACACAGGTGAGATCCGGAGCGAGGTTAGGGACCAAATCAACACCAAGGTGGCCGAGTGGAAGGAGGAAGGCAAGGCAGAGATTATTCCGGGTGTGCTGTTCATTGACGAGGTCCATATGCTGGACATCGAATGCTTCTCTTACGTCAACCGTGCATTAGAGGCGGAACTCGCCCCTATTGTTATCATGGCCAGCAACCGTGGTCACGCCCGGATCCGTGGCACAACATACAACTCCCCCCACGGACTCCCTCTCGACTTCCTCGACCGTGTCGTGATTGTGAGCACGCAGTCTTACTCTGCCGAGGAGCTCCGGCAGATTTTGGCTATCCGTGCCCAAGAGGAAGAAATTGACCTATCCCCCGACGCTCTCGCACTCCTGACTAAGATCGGTGAGGAGTCGGGCCTACGGTACGCGAGCCATATCATCACCACTTCCCATCTCCTTAGCCAAAAGAGAAAGGCGAAGGAGGTTAGCATCGATGATGTGCAACGCAGCTTCCGGTTGTTCTTCGATCCCAACCGGAGTATCAAGTTTGTGAACCAGTTTGAACAACGATTCATTAGCGATCAAGGCAACGTGGACTTTTCTACCGCTAATGGAGGAGATGCTATGGAGATCTCCTAGATGTTCACTTAATCTGCCTATTGCATTTCAAGGGAAGAAAAACGCGATGATTTCCTGATTGTTTTCCGTTTATTTATGTTCGACCTTCTATGGCATCAAGTTATGTATGGTAAAGGCTGGCGCTTTTTTGAGAATTTATACGGGGTAATTGACACAAGATTTCGAATTGGATCCCAAACAGACCCGAGGAATAACGATGTGCTTGGTATATCAGAAAATTAGTAGAATAATGTACACGTCGCGTATTTCATGGGCTATGAGAAAGTAACGTTTTGTCTCCATTCACCAGTGTCGCCCACTTTCCGGAACTCGACGCCTTCACCAAAATACCCTGCGCCCTTCCACGACTCCATCATGGCACTATCATATGGCCCGTGGATGTTGCCTCCATCACGAGCATCAGCCCAGCGGAATTCCCACATCACCGGCCCTTGCTCGCCAGCACTATTCCCTGTTTCTGTAGATTCCGCAGAATCAACCCAATCCTCGCCTGTCTCGCGTTTATATTGCCTCGTGAGAAGTTCACGTTCCGTGTCGTAGATTTCCGCCTGTCCTCTGGTCATGAGAATGTCGGCAGCACCGGTGATGGCTTCGATTGTCTGCTTGCGAGTGGCCTCGTTAGGGTCTTCTTCTGTCATTTCGGTGTCTTCGGCTGCGGCTCCGTTTTGTTTCTTCTTATTCCGTTGTTTGTTTTGTTGCCATTTCGGCTTTCTTTGCACGCCTTTGCCTATTCTCGCCAGGGCTTCAAGAATCGTCTCTCCGCGTTGAAGATGTATGATGATGGCCTTCAGGACGTCGCCTGCTAAGATGCTGTCGTCTTGCCGGTCTCGTTCTCTCCGTTCGGCGTCTCGTTTTTCTGCGGCCTCTTTTGCGCTTTTCATATCCTTCTTTGACACGCCTTCGAGCCAAGAGTCATAAACAGCATCGGGGTCCGCCGCTTTTCGAATGTAGTTTCCTTGATCGTCGAACTTGCCCTCCTCCTGTTCATTGCGCATGTTGAACGCATCTAGTAAAGGCGCATTCTTTTTCTTCCCACCGGCTCCTATTTCTTCATCCAACTCCTCATCCACTTTTGCGCGGTCTTCCTCTGGAACATCTTCCTCGCTTTCATCGTCGTCTTCGTCGACCTCACCATGGCCCTTGCTCAGATCTGCGTGCAAAGCATGTCCACCACGCGAAGATGAAACCTGTCCCTGAATCTCATCATCTTGTAAAAACCGCACGTTCTTCTTGTTCTTGCGCATAGCCTCGTCCGCGTCGATTTCTTCAGCCCCGAAATCCTCCTGCAGCTCCGCGAACATATCATCGTCGTCCGCATCGTGTTGTTTCCTCTGATTCTCGGGTTTTTTCTCAACGCGCGCCGAAAACCCTTCGTTGTCACTGTCCGAGTCGTATCCGTCCAGGTTGACTGCTTTCCGGCGCACTTGTTGTCCGCGGCGGCCGATCTCGTCTGCGTCCAAGACCGCATCATCCTCGAGCGCGTCGGGCGCTAGTGCTGAGGGGTTGCGGAGGTCGAATCGGGGCTTCTTGTGAGATGCTGGGCCGTTGGGGTCGTCTTCGTCGTGGTGGTGGGTGCGAGTGAAGTCTTCGCCTGCCCGCTTGGGGCGCGCGGAGGACATTTTTAGCCGTAGTATCTGACAGCCTCAAAGCTGATAGTTAAAAGAGCTTGGTGAGAGTAAATTGAGCTGAAAACTCGCAGCAATGTTGTCCTGGTCTGGGGTCGGGTCGGAAAAATGCGTGCGGAGCCTACTTGCGTCACCGCGGGCGATAAGAGACAGCAGTTGATTGTTCTTTCTTAACGGCATTTTCAGAAATTCGTTCTGCGTTAATTATATACAGATTCATTTTGCTTCAGAAATAGCATCAGTGGAATCTGACTGATTGCCACTACCACAGCTCAATATGGTCTGTTCACACCACATCCAGGATCTGAGAGCTCAAGACTCGGAGCTGACCTTTGCAGTTTCGCTATGATGATATGGACATTGGCTCCTCCATGCTGAGAGGTGCCAACCGTCGCTTCGATGAGTACTACCGCTGCTACCCCGTCGCAATGATGCCCGGTCCCGAGAGAGAGAACGTCAACCATGGCGGCAAGGTCATCATGCCTCCGAGTGCCCTGGACAGGTTGACTCGCCTTCATATCACATATCCAATGATGTTCGAGCTCCATAATGGTGCGAGGGAGCTGATGACACATGCTGGTGTGTTGGAGTTTATTGCTGAGGAGGGGAAGATCTACTTGCCATACTGGGTAAGGCTCAGTATTCTCGACCCGTTGCTGTGACTGTGCTGACTTACGTGATTATGTATAGTTGATGCAGCGATTACTCCTCGAGCCCGGTGATCTCCTCCAGATCAAGTCCACCGACCTCCCGCCTGGCCAATTCATCAAACTCCAAGCCCAGTCAACCGCCTTCCTTGACATCAGCGATCCTAAAGCAGTCCTCGAAAATGCCTTCCGCAACTTCTCTTGCCTTACCAAGGGTGATGTCTTCACTTTTGCCTACAACGATCAAGTGTACGAGATGGCTGTTTTGGAGACCAAACCCGACGGGAAGAGCGCCGTATCTGTTCTGGAAACAGATTTGGAGGTCGATTTTGCACCACCTGTGGGGTATGAAGAGCTTCAAAAGCCCAGCGGAACAAGCACCCCTCGCAGTGGCGTTAGCGGAAAGCTCCCATCCGGTGGTCTACTTCATCCCCAGGGTACGATGGCACAATCGATCAACTACGCCGCCATTGCGCCAGAGTCCACCGAAGCCGCCGCAGGCGCCAAGGCAGTCTCGTCGAACTTCCTTTCGGGAGGTCACCGTCTGAATGCGAAGAAGGGTAGCAAAACTCCGACACCACAACCTTCCACACCTGCTCCGGGAACATCGAATTCTCAGCATCCCCCGCCAGCTCGCAGAACGAATGGGCCTCAGCCCTTACGACTGCCACCCAATCAACTGTTCTTCGGCTATGCGATCAAGCCTGTGAAGAAGCGTGATGACAAGGGACAGGCTGTCGAAGAAGAGGAGAAACCCCGGTTCCAAGGAGCCGGTCAGACTCTGCGTGGGAAGAAGAAAGACACCGGACGCTCTGAGACACCCGCCTCGGGGAGCTGAACGGACAAGCTATAGGTAATGAATATAATCAAATGACATGGGATTATACGGGCTTAGGACTATCATATTCTTAGACGGGGTTTTCGGATTGGTTGTTCTTCCCTTGCCTGTACTTCTACATAGATAAGTCAATATTAGGGTCGGCACACTGTTTAGGAGCATAGCGAGACTAGGCCGGCGTTCAATTGGGATTCACTTTCGGGTATAGTATCAAAGAGATGTCGATGGTTGGAACCTTGAGAATGGTACTTCGTCACCGCCTGTGACTAACTAGACTACCGTTCAAGCCTTATATTTGAGGAACTTTCTTGTTTAACTAGTTAACTAGATCTTTTTTTAAGGCTTCGCTGGTATACTCTCGACTGCAAATTGTTCCCCTGCCCTATGAACTGAATCGCTTTTCGTAACGTCTTTATCTTCAACGCTAATGCGGGAGCCTTATTGGGAGGCGTACGGCAAAACGGTTCCCTCACTGAGGCGAATTTTCTGTTTATGTTTAGTCGAGTCTTGTTGATTACTATAACCCCATTTCAAGTCATGCAGAAAACATCTGGCCGGGTGGTATCATCGACCGATGACTCCCTTCAAGAAGGAGAGTACGACGTTCAGTGCGAGAGTAAGGGCTACTCCAACGATGGAATAACTACTCTACTAACTGCCGTGGGCGAAATTCGCATGACCGATAAAGCTTTTGTTCAGAGGTTAGTATCCTATGACCAGAGCGGTAGAACCAACGAGTTCAGACACGGTACACGATGGCAAATGCACCGTGTCGGGGACGGTCAACAGGAATGCCCCGATTACCTGGAGTGGCTTTGAAGCCGCCCATGTTTTTCCAGTTGAACAAAAAGGCGTTTGGATCGATAACTATTTCTGGACATGGGTCACCGATGCGTCTGGCATAAACTCACTGCAAACCGGTTTACTCATGAAGGGGGACATACATAAGAATTTCGATAATTACCTGATCTCGATCAACCCAGATGTGAGTGATTTTTGACCTAATTCTCTTTCGGCTCGCTAATATGATCCTCTGAAGGATTCTTGGAAAATCCTTTTTTTTTTTTTTTTTTTTTTGATTTCGATCCATTCGAGGTTGACGGCCGCGTGCTAGACCCGGTCTGCCGGAAGCTGGATAACCCTCATCGTGTGTCACTAGAACTGCTTAGATGGCATTATAGACAGAGCATCCTCGCAAACATGAGGGGAAGGGGAGAACCGATATGGGAGCATGATTTTCCCCCCGGCTGCGATATGATGGGCGAGATGATGGCGGGTCCCTCTCCTGCGGAGAGGTTGGAGTTGGAATTTGCGGTGAGATTGAATCCGGAATACGCAGGCTGAGGTTCTGAGTATCATTGGTATGTGCGGACGGTAGAGATGGTCGTTTGCAATTCCTCCTAGCTTGTACGACTGGCTACCACACGGGCCGAGGAATACATAGTTTACAATTTAGCAGCCACAACTAGGACATGGGATTGGTATGAGGCTTAAAAAAGACAAGAATGGTGAATCAACGCCCACATATTTGCTCTTTCTCGATAATCAACGTTTGTCTAGGACGTTGGCCTATACACAAACCCTTCCAATTCCTTATACGCCCTCTCAAGATCATCGTTTACAATGATCTTATCATAGACGCCCGGCGTGTTCGCATACTCCAGCTCAATTCTAGCCCGGCTCAACCTCTTCTGTAAATCATCCTCATTCTCAGTACCACGACCCCTGAGCCGCGCCTCGAGTGCCTCAAAGCTCGATGGTTTGATAAAGACGTAGCGCGCATCAATACCAGCGTCCGCCTTCAAATTCTTGACGCCATTCATATCAATATCGAGCACAACCACCAGTCCTTTTGCCGTCTGGTCTGTGATAGTCTGTTTGCTGGTTCCGTAGTGATGGCCACTGAAAACCGCGTGCTCGATAAAGGCATGTTGAGAGATAAGAGAGATGAAAGTATCAGGGGACACAAAGAAGTATTTTACACCCTCGACTTCACCAGGACGAGGATTGCGCGTGGTGTGGGATACGCTAAATGCGAAGGTGCCAGGGTGTGAGTCAAGGAGTTTCTGGGATAACGTTCCTTTACCGACGCCTGAGGGGCCGGAGATGACTATTGGTCGGCGGTCTGGGGGTGCTTCTTGGTGTCAGTATGTATTGATTTAGGCTTTGGGGAAGGTAGAGCCTACTATTACTAGGTGCCATTTTGGCAATGTTCTGGAAATAGTTAAGAGTTTTGCGGGGTTAATGACATGATGATCCCCGGACATCATATGTCGTTAGTGTTGCACTTAATATAGAACGCCAGCGGCACTGGTTCTTCCGTATTTCGGTCCTTTAATACATCGTATTGAACTTCAGCCCCTGAACCTGGCAGAAGTCGACCTGTGTACGAGGAGAGAGAGCTGTCTTGTATTCTACTCTACCATATCTTCCTACCTAAATGCTCGCGAATCAATCCGGGCATCCGCTTCCAATCACCGGTATAGCATCAACACGTATTTCGACCATATGGCAGAAGAGCAACAGGACAAAAACTTTACTATATAGGTTCGTTTTCTGCTACAGAGATCCTAAACAACTAGCAACGGGCCTTGTCGACAAACGCCGCCAGGGAAACCCGAAAGCAAAATACGCTCGCCAGTTGAAGAATGGCGCAATCAACGTATACTACCAAGTCCGGTGTGAGGACGGGTTTGAAGCAATCGTATGGTTCGCTGCGCTGGGAAGAGCGATATTTTGCACCGAAAATGTCCGGAACGAGGTGGCCGTGATAAACTATCGCGCCAGGATACCTCAATCCCAGTACCTGAAGTTCTTGGCTCGGGTAATTATGGAACAGTCCCCTGATGATGGATTGTTTTGGGTGTGTCTTGTGGCAAGGTCCAGTTCCATGTTCGATGAGGTTTACGGGACCCAAGTACTACGGACCGCTTATGTATCGAAGAGCGTGCTGGACTCCTGAGTGAGGAAGAGCGCCAGACAAGTTTGGTGGACCTTTTAGCGTTCTGTACTGTATCTTTTTGAGGGCTCCTACTATGCAGTTAGGGCCGTTTTGTCTCCACCATCTCCGAAGGGTATTGTACATTCTTTATATACTTTACCCGCTTGACTATATTGAAGCGATGTTTCTTTATTTTCTCCTTTTAAGCTCTCACTACCCTGACAGCAATGGTCAAGGTGGGTCGTGGAGTAGTATATAATTTAGTAGCCACAACCAAGACATAGTGCCCGAGTTAAACTTTGTTCCTCTTGAACTAACTAGTTAGTTATATGTCTACTAATTACTCAAGATAGTGATCTGCCTTGTAGTTCTTTATTTTATTGATTGTCTAGTAGCCAACGGTGTAAAGTTATTTATAGTGATGTCCTTGCTCGACGGAGAAATTGATGCCTCAGGCATAATGAAACAGCCAGGGGTTAGGGGGCGGTTTCTATATTAACCAGAAAGAAGGTGCGACTATCGTACTCTGCTCACGAACTCCCTCCTACGAATTACTGTATTGAGATAACGCAGGGGTAATACCTCGTTATATTCTTTTTTTTAAATTTTTTTTATTTTTTTTATTGCCCTATTGAATCCAGTCGCTCGTTATCAAAATTCATCATGGCAGGCAAACCCTTGGACGTGCAGCATCCTTTGGCATCCTTTTCCCGGCTCTCCCCTTCTGTATATCTCCAGGAGCCAGATGAAACTGTCAAATATAAGGGGCAATATCCGAAGACGATCGTTCTCGCTTTCTGGATGAACGCTCCTCCACGGGCATTGGCCAAATACGTTCTTGAATATAGACGCCTGGCACCTGCAGCCAGGATCATCTTTGTCCTGAGCTCCTCTAATGACTTTCTTTTTGGTGCCTCGAAAGATGCTCAGCAGACCCGGGTCATGCCGGCTGTCGAAGCCATTCGGGCCTCTTCGTCCCCTGGAGACCCAGTGTTTCTGCACATGTTCTCGAACGGAGGAGTCTCTTCGACGACAAATCTGCTTGCGACATATGAAGAGTTGACAGGCAATCCGTTGCGCGTTTCGTCAATGATCTTCGACAGCGCACCCGGAACAACAACCGTCAGCGGCGTCATGAAAGCCTTTTCGTTCGCGTTTCCAGGAATGTTGATCTTGCGATTTCTCCTCAAAGTCGCCTTATACGCGTTTTTGTTCTTGAATGCAATTTTCCGAAGATTCACCGGCACGAAAGACGCTATCACCACGGCCCGGGATGCAATGAATGATAACCGTATACTCCATGGGATCGATCCGAAAGGCAGACCCAGAAGGTGCTATATCTATTCGGACGCCGATGATCTGGTGGACTGGAGAGACGTGGAGAGACATGCCTACCAGGCAAAGTCTATGGGGTGCTATGTGCGTCGCGAGAAGTTCATCGGTTCTCCTCATGTGAGCCATATGAGGGCTGATCCCGAGCGGTACTGGGGCATCGTGCAGAAGTACCTGTTCACCAGGGCATGAGTGTTTATTCACAAGAAAATCATAACGCATACCCGATTTTTCTCCATAGTTTTACGGAGTTTGGTCCCTTAGTTCATCTAAATCTCGCAATTGTGATCTCATGGTTCCCGCGTTTCTGGTCCGTCAGTATACTTCGGAGGCGACCTCCGCGATGTTTTCAAAACAGTTTCGACATTACATGCTCGCTCTACTTTAGCACTGGTGTCTTTAAGGGCATGTTTGTTTCTGGGCCGTTCCGGAACGGACGGCTTATTTCATATTTACCTCTACCGTGAATTAAAGCACCCCTGGCTCATCGCCGTGGGCTCCCGATATGACCATTGATGAAGTCCATATGTCGAGATTCTTCTCTTTTCAACCTTGCTCTCCCTTTTCCCACATCAGATCTTTCGCGCGGAAGTCTTTTGGCCAGGATAAGCGGAATCGTCACCTCAAGGAGCCTTAACGTCGTAGTTCTCACGAATTTATTACTCCTCAGTTTGGAGATTCGCTGGCTTGGGTGGGTTGTTGCTTTTCTTAATCACCATCGCTAGCCCTACCTCATGTTCCAGGACTAACCGCGTTCAATATAGTGGTCATCATGTTTCAACAATCGTTCAAAGAGCAAACCCCTATGAGTGACCCTGATATACAGGATAACCCATTCCTGCGGCCTGGGTATGGACTGCCATTGGATTTCGCACCGATGCAAAAGAATGTATACGGTATCCACAACAGAAGTCTATTCCCAAACGCCAATGATGATCGCGACATCAAACAAGGAAATGCAGAGTATGTCCAGACATTCATCATTTCAGGCTGCGTTCTACCGGAATCTTTTTGTTAACATAAAAATTCAGCCAACCTCTTCAAACACTTCGCGAGTTCAACATGCTGAGAATAATGGAGGGCATCACGGATACACCCGAATGGTACAAAAGGGTATGTTGGTGAACCACCACTGATGCTGACCTTAACTTGCTGATCAAATTAGATCCACGAATATGATGTTGCGGAAGCATGGAAGAAGGATGCAATGGAGAAGGAACCAGATATCACCCCGAACATGGCGAATTGGATCATCGACGAGCTCCGATTCAAGTCCATTCTCTATGAACACAGCGGCGCAATCGCCCTGTACAATGGGGACGTCACCAAGTCCGACATCAACATAAGCGACGAATTCCGCCTCAGGCTCTTGCACGCCGTCAAGTCCCTCGAGGATATTCCGCAGGAAATGCGGTTCTACAACCCCGGTACTGACTATGTACAAGAAGACCTTATCCCCGTGGCATTCTGTTGTCTCGTATATGGCCGATCTCGCATCCTGTCGGACAAGATTATCAGTACTGAGGAGTCGCTGAAATATATCGGCCAGGGAGAAATAATTCCCGTTCCTGAAGAAACCGGGATTACCAGAGAGGATATCACGACGAGGGTTGCGACGCAAACTGATATCGCGACCAGGCCGTACAGCCGGCGATTCCAAATGCTTCCTTTCGAGATGAACTTGGGAGAGGATGGCAAATGGCACATTACGAGCTACATAAACAACTTGCATCCCGTCAGATACAGTGGACTATACGAGCTCTTCGAGGAGTTGTTTAACAATGTGATCGACCAGCTCGAGGTCACACTGACGCCTCTGAAGGATATGCTTCACTCACGAGCACGGATCGAATACAGAAAAGCAGAGTACTATCCTCTGCCAAAGGAGGTGGAGGAACAGATTCCGAAACCCGGTGAAAGGGAAGCCGAGATCGAATTCGAGGACCGTCTGCAGAGTTGGCGTATGGCAAACTTGAAGGCCGTCCAACCTGATTGTGGGAAATTCATTCCCTGGGCAGTTCCTCAGTGGATGATGAACAATATACCCATGGACTTGTCAACCCCTCTTCGAGTCGAGCAGGAAGTTCTCCTTGGTAAGGACTACGCGAAGCATGGCCTTCAGTTGATGATACGGATTTTCGATATCCACTTGTCGCCTGAGAAGCCGAGGTTTGAATCCGGGTGGCACGGCGCAGGCCAGATGGTAACCCCCCCCCCCCCCCATCCCCGTCCTTCTCTTTGTTCATACGTTAACGAATCTAGAACGACCATGTCATCGCCTCAGCCTTCGTCACCATCGAGCACGACAACGTCACCGTCCCATTAATGGCCTTCCGCCACCTCGCCGAAACAACCACCCTCGGCGAAGTCGAGCACCGCCCCGAAGACACCGTCTGGCTCAAACAAATCTTCGGCCTAAACCCCGGCGACGCAGCGATCCAAGAACCCGGTAAGATCCGCTGCTTCCTGAACCGCATGGTCATGTTCCCGAGCACGGTGCAGCACCGATACGAAGGGATGGAGCTGGTGGACAACAGCAAGAACGGCACCGTGAAGGCGTTTGCGTTTTTCCTCGTGGATCCGAATATTCGGATTACGTCGACTGCGAATGTTCCTCCGCAGCGGCTGGACTGGGCGTTTCAGGGAGCGGATTATGATGAATTTTTGAATTTGAATCTCTCGTTGGATAAGTTGTTGATGGGGTTTCAGAACCAGTCGAATTTGCCGTTTTCCATGAGTGAGGCGAAGAGGTGGCATGCTCAGGCTTTGAAGGAGACTATTGAGTTCACCAAGTATACTGATGTTGCTTGGGATTCAAAGAAGGTGAATGTTTAATTATATATTAAAGGGGTGGACGTTGGATGTTGGGATAAATTGCCTGTGATTATCAGTTGTCTTTTATTAGGTTTACTATTAGGGTTCAAGTAATACAACTATTGATCAGTATTGGAATTAAATGTCAATTCTATCTAGCCAACCAAATCGCCGCCAATGCAAGGATATATACAAACCAGCGCCAAAATCACGCTATGCTATTTTATTTTATCTTAACCTCGGAGAAGACGACTACCGCCCCTTGGACTCCGGAAACTCATCCTCCAACTTCAACCGCGCCGTAACATTCATACTCATCAACTCCTGAATCAACAACTTCGCCGCATACGGAATCGCCATCTTCACCACACCCCGCGACGACTTACACCGCTGACACCAGTTCAAGTACCCCATGAACCCACACGTCTCACAGACGTCGATTTCATGGCGATCAGACGAGATCATCAACCGCTCGAGAAGCAGTTGCGAGGTTCCGTACGCGATGAGACAGTCACGTTCCATTTCTCCGAGACGCAAACCACCGTCTCGAGATCGTCCTTCGGTGGGTTGCCGGGTGAGCATTGCGCGGGGACCGCGGGCACGGGAGTGCATCTTGTCTTGGACCATGTGCTTTAGTTTTTGGTAGTAGATTGGTCCTGTAAACACATAGAACGGAAGGGCTTCGCCTGTGATACCCGAGGTGAGGTATTCCTTTCCACCGTAGCTGAAGCCCTTTTCGACGAGGATGCGCGATGTTTCTTCGACGGGTGTTCCGCCGAAACATGTGCCGTAGCCGTGGTGGCCGGCTAACACGCCTGCCTTTCCGGCGACGAGCTCCAGCATTTTCCCGACTGTCATGCGGGAGGGGAAACCGTGGGGGTTCATGATGATGTCTGGGTTGATTCCCGAGTCTGTGAAGGGCATGTCGGATTGGTCAGCGATGATACCTACGACACCCTTTTGGCCGTGGCGGGAGGAGAATTTGTCTCCGACTTCTGGGCGGCGGGTTTGACGCGTGAGAACCTTGATGAGTTGGTTTTCGCCCTCGGTTGCTGAGACCATGACCTTGTCGATGTGCGCGGGGTCGGGGAGTTTGTAGGTCATCGGGGTTGGTTGGAAGCTGACGGGGCGGCCTAGGTCGGAGCCTGTGATGCCTGAGGAGTGTGCTTGGTCTGGGGTTGATTTGTTGATGTAGACTTCGCCTGCGTTGACTGCTTCGCCGACCGCGGCGAGACCGTCGTTTTGGAGGAGGGCATGTTTGCGGATGGGCGCATCGTTCTCGTACTGTGGGGGGTCGAGACGGTCCTTTGTGCCGTTGGAGTAACTCTTTAGGTTTGTTACGTATTTGCGGAAGACCTGACAGCGTCCGAAGCCGCGGTCGACGGAACCCTTATTCAGGACAAGGGCATCTTCGATATCGTAACCAGAGTAACTCATGACTGCGACCATGGCGTTTTGTCCGGCAGGGAGGTGGTCGTATTTGGTCAGTTCGATTGTCCGCGACTTGACCATTGGTTTCTGGGGGTACACCATGAGGTAGAGGATTGAGTCGATGCGGAGGAACTGGTTCGACGCGATGGCGCCAATGGCTTGTTTACCCATTGCACATTGGTAGGTGTTACGCGGCGACTGGTTATGGTGTGGGTAAGGAATTAGACCGGCGACTGCACCGAGGACGGTGAACGGCTCAATTTCGAGATGTGTCGTGGTCTCGCTGATGTCTTTTTCGTAGATGGCGATGAGCGAGTCGTTTTCCTCGTTCACGTCCAAATATTCCACCAAACCCTGCGCGAGGAAGTCATCGAATTGCATCGTTCCATCGCGGAGTTTTTCCAGGTGGTGTGCAGTGACCATAGACTTGCCATTCTCGACAACGATGAGAGGTCTGCAAATCCGGCCATCGTCTGTTGCGATATGCACCGCCCGCTGGTGGTGGTTGATGAAGATACTGACAAACTCAGAGATTCTGCCCATCCGACGCAGTCGTCGGAAGGCGTCGAGGAAGTACTTCGGACGCCGTGTGAGTGCCGTTGGTGTACCGTTGATCGAAATCGTATAGCAGCCAGGTGCATACAGCTCCTTACCACCGATGGTTTGGATATCCTCCGCACCCAACATGAAGATCAAGTTTCGCACAGGACCTTCTTCATCGTTGGTGGTGATGTGTGTCATGAGAGCCAGGTTCTTGACCAGACCACATGCTTCACCTTCGGGCGTATCTGCTGGACACAACATACCGAACTGTGACGGTTGAAGCGCTCTGGGACCGCTGACCTTTCTTGTCTTTTCGAACTGACTGCTGATACGAGTCATCATACCCAACGCTGCGATATAACTCAATCTGCTCAGAACGTGGGTGACACCGGCACGCTCCATACGGAAACGCTTCAAACTCCAGTTACCTGTTGAAATGGCACGGTTCATTCCTTGAGTGATGTGATTACCATGCATACTCATGACGCTCCAGGCATCAAACTGCTCTGCTCGGTTGCGCTTGTTCAGGACCTTGTCGATGTTCATTTTGATGTCAAAGCAGAACTTCTTGAACAGATCTTCAAACAGCAACGCTAGCAACTGACCAGCCAGTTCCAGTCGCTTATTACCCAGGTAGTCACGGTCATCCACCAGAGTATCGTCGTTCTTGGCCATCAGCACACGACGCGCCATATGCGCCACATAGAGGGCCTTGGGGCGGAAGTTCATGTTCTTAACTTCGATGTGCGAAATGATGACAGATGCGATGGCCTCAACTGCCTCCTGAACATGGGTCCTGCGGTATGACATTTGCTTCCTGTTGATCTTGATTCGCGCGCCAATCCACTCGAGAGCTTGCTGTTGCGTATGAATGCCCAGTTTGATCGCCTCTTCGAAGTTGATGGCGAAATCCTCCTGGTACACTTTATCGACACCGGCGACGAGAAGCATCATCTCTTTGTCGGTGTGGATACCCATTGCCTTGAGGAGAATAACGATTGGAATATCTTCATTCAGGACATTGTGCTTAACGACAAGCTTTTCTTTCTTGAAGACGACATAGCTCTTAGACTTTCGCTCGTTCGATGAACTGTGCACTGTTAGCAAATGGGGATCCTCTTCCAAAAACAAGGGTGCTCACCTAGTAACAGAAGCCTGCACAATCTCCTTCTTCGCGTCCGTCTCAACAATGATACGGTTCTTACTCAACTGCTCCTGCACGAGAATAACCTTCTCCGTACCGTTGACAATGAAATAGCCACCCGGATCAAGTGGACATTCGTTAAGCACAGTCATTTCCGACGGCGTCTTGTTCGCCAACACACACTTCGAACTCCGAAGCATGACAGGCATACGGCCAATCGAGACACCCCGTTTGATAACCCTTTGTCTACCACGGACATATTCAAAATCAACGCGAATCGGCGCGGCATAAGTCGTATCTCGAAGTCGACATTCCTGCGGCGACACAGTAGACTCAACGTTGAACCCGGCGTCCTGCGGCTCGTCTGCGCGGCGGGGAGAACCGAGGTAGATATCGGTGAATTTGATGTAGAAGTTATGGTCGACGTCGCTGCGGATCGTTGAACTCGACTCGACGATCTTCTTCAGTTGCACTTCGACAAAGTAGTTGTACGAGTCGATGTGCTGCTTGACCAATCCCTTCACCTTCAGGAACGCCGGCAGCAGATTCCATTTATCCTGGGCCGTGTTAATCGGATCGGTCAGCGACTTGTTATAGTAGAAAGGCTCGAGCAGCGCATCGAACGGATCCCGATGGCGATACGGGTAAGGAATGTACGGCTCGTGCTTTTCTGTCGGGTCATCCTGCTGCCGTTGTTCGGGGGCTTGCGCAGACTGCGCTGAAGTAGAAGCCGACTTAGATTGCGAGGGTCGCTTTCGCCCTGGGGCAGCGTTCCTTGCAGCCTGTACCAACAGAATCATCGCATGTTAGCTAGAGTCATCTAAAAGTAGCTGTGCGGAGAACTTTGTCATACCTCTGCATTTGCGGCTGCGGAAGCCTGGGGCCTCCTGCGAGGGGGCATGGCCGCTAGCAACGTAGATAATATAGAGACGAGTTGCAATCTGCAGCGAAGCAACTGGAATTGCTGGTTGAGAGGCTGTTGTCGACGGCGAGTGAGCAATTTTTATCTTTTTTATCAACGGCCATGGCGGAGGGACAAATTATGTAAGCGGGGCTTCCGAATACGGTTAGACTGTCTACTCTATGTACTCTATGCAATTCTATCTAAGAAGAGGAAATACTTTTGCCAGATTCTGCTTCCCAACAACCTTCCACTTGAACGCCTCCTCAATCTCGTCCAAAGACCTCCCCTTGGTCTCCGGCATGAACACCGCACACACAAACGCCGTGAGAAGCGTACACCCCGCGAACAGAAAATACGCTCCAAAACTACTGGTCGACAACAAAATCGGCGTCGTCAACGCAACTAGAAAGTTAGTCGCCCAGTTACTTCCGTGCGCGAGACTCGTCGCGGATGCGCGTGTGCGCTGTGGCTGGATCTCAGCCGCGTAGATCTTGATCCCCACGCCCCAGCTGAGGGAGTAAATCACGGCGAAGATGTTTATGGAGACGATGACGACCCAGCGGCCGGCGCCGGTGGAGCCGTGCACGGTTTGAGAAGCGTATAGTGCGCCGATTAGGAACATTGTGATGCCAAGCCCGAGCCCGCCGTAGATGATGCTGTGTCGGCGGCCCCATTTGTCGGCCCAGATGAGGGCAGGGATGGTAACGGCGAAGATTACTATGGCAGAGACACCGGAGGCGAAGAAGCTAGCTTCTGAAGAGGCTAGGCCGGCTTGTTCGAAGAGGAGGGGGGCGTACTGTCGGACGGTCAGTTATGCGTTCTTACGTGTGAGGAAGTAACTTACGTAGAGAACCCCATCGATTCCGCTGAGCTGCTGCATCCCCATGAGAAAAACTGCAAGTGCAGTGCGTGTCCGCACGTCCCGAGAGAAAAGATCGAAGAAGCCATGCTTGGTTGATTTCTGAGGTCTTGCAGCCTCAACATGCTCGCGTTCGAGCTCCGCTTGATGCGCATTCGATCCTGATCCCCGAATCTCTTCAATTTCAACTTTCTCTCGTTCCGCCAGACCAACACCAAGCAGGTCCCATGTTTCAGCGGCTTCAGACTTCCGGCCGTGAAGGGTCAACCATCGAGGTGAGGGGGTGAGCCACAGATATGCAGCGACGGAGAAGACAGTGGACAAGCAGGCTAGGATGATAAAAGGCGTCCGCCATGAGAATGACGATTCGATACGTGAAGTTCCGTAGCAAGTGAAGAAACCCATCACCAAACCAAGTGTGATGAGCAATTGCGGGCCGGTCGTCAGCGCTCCGCGGACGCTGGTCGGGGAGATTTCACATATATACCTAAGAGCTGTCAGTTAAACTTCTATCGGTAGAAGATATGTAGACGCACACGACCAACGTCCCCAGATACAACCCCTCCCCAATCCCCTCAATACATCTCCCCACAATGAACATAGCCAAATGAACCGCAGCAGCTTCGAGTGCGGCTCCGATACCAAAGATCAACGCACCAATGCTTATTCCCGTAGGTCGTCCTAGTTTATCTGCCAGATAGCCCGCGAAAAATGAGGATATCGCAGCGGGAATAAGAATGGACGAGACGATCAGACCGTGGACAGTGGCTGACTGGTTGCCAAATTGAGCGACGAAAGGCTTCATGACGGTTATGGGACCGATTATGCCCGTGTCCATCCTATTAGAGTCAATGTATTGCCTTCCAATTGATGAGGATAGTTAGATGTACCCAAAAAGTAGACCACCGCATGAGCAGAGGATGCTGGCGAGGATATATCGGGGCGGTTTTAAATTCATTTTGTCGATTGTGGAGGAGTTGAAGTCAAATGAGGTGCAATTCCTCAATTGGAGATATCCCCAGATATATGGAGACCCCAGAATTATCAGTTTGTGGAGATATCAGGAACCCACCGTTCATTTTTAGCGATTGTGCGAATCGTTGATAGAAAAATCTAATCTGATCGGAGCGGTATTCCCCGATGTGTCTAAGATGATTATAATGATGATTGTTCAGAGGACCTTATGAAGTCTAGATTTCTATTGATATAGAACTACACTGTAGAGGACAGGACACCTGATGATATTGACATTAATAAAAGAGTTATGATTGTAGAGCTGTGCCTGGCAGTGGCACAATTGGCGCTGTAATTGGATGTGTAATTTTCCAGCCAATACGCAGCACCATAGAGTAAATTACTTTTTCAGCTACATAGAACTCGGGCATACAAAGTATATATCGTCTGAAGACCATATGCCAACAACCGAAGCAACGAGTCACCTTATCGGACCCCGTGTTCCCCGTGTTCCTACTCCGCATGAACATCCGATATGCATTTGATACGTCCAATTCACCAATGCCACGGGATGAAGCTGCACTCTATACAAGTAAGTACTCTGTAATGCTCATTTCTGTCGCTGTGCATGTGCCGTGTGCAGCGTGGGATGATATACAGAGTACTGATGCTGATGCTTCCGCAAGGCATACATACATATACGTACTGACCTACATGGCCGTGCGGAGAAGACTACCCACCGCATGGCGTTGTTCATGTAGGTCATAAAGTTTACTCGGGTACGATCATACACCTTATCCGGATATTCATATCATCAGACACGCTTGAACCAAGACAAGAGATTCAGTACCATAGACAATAACGAGTCTCATGTTGACCGCCATTTCTTTGCCACTAACTCGACGCTGATTAATGGGAACCGAAATGACTGAACGAGGGGAATTGAGTCAAAACGGACAGGATAAAAAAAGGTACTGAATGATGCAATTAGCAGTGAACCGTGCTCCGCCGGCCGGTGGCACCAGCGAGAATATGGTGAGAGTGACAAGTCAGCCGCGGGCTTCAAGAGAGCATTCCGTCTGCGCCGTCAGTCAGGCATGAAACATTGCAGATTAAACCGGAAGATCATGCAAAAAATTTGGCAAGGTGGCTGGCAGTGATTGGTGTGAGGCAAAGACACCGCTTTTTCGCGCGGATTGGCAACCATGGACCAAACAAAGCTAATCTCGGGGGCTCTTCTTTTCGGTTTCTTCGACGTTTCTTATGGAGAACGGAACTGACCCGTTGCGGGACTGAAGGGCTTTTTCTTTGAGGTTAACCATGGTTTGACGAACCGTGGACAGAAGATGAACAGTTTGCGGTGAAATCGGTGTTGTAGAATCTCTTGATATCCCAACTGTAGATGCCCCCTGTTATTAGGGATTCCTATACAGGCAGCATGGCATCAGGCACTGTCAGAATGGCCGGATGACTTACAGCCATTAGCCTGCGATAGCAAATTAAAACAGACGATCCAGGCACCGGCGGGAGTGACTTGGCCTGTCAGATATGCATGGAGGCCAGCGCATCATCAAGGCAGGTGTTTGATAGCTTCTTACAAGTCAGTTATTACTCACTTTGTACAAGTAACTATATTAGAGTCTTCAGGATAGTAGTGTTGTACAAGTAGTCCAGAGTACTGGTTAACTAGTTAGTTACTTGTACATGACTTACATAATAACACCGAATCGCGCTCCGAAGATCCATCGATCTAACAGGATATCAATTAATTAATCAGAAAGAAAGAGAAGAAGAAAAGAGATCAATATCGTATTAAATAGTTGGTGTTGATAGCCAATAGTAAAACATAGCATACATAGTACTGTAATACGGTACAGATACAGACCCGATCAGCTCAATTCAGCCTCGACTTCCCTCTGGTCAATCTCTCTCTCCCCGCTCTGTTCTGTCGCTCTCTGGCCATCGCTCGCTCTATCACAATCCCCAATAAGTATCGATTCATCGTCGCATCGTCTCTCGTTTCCATCCGGTTCCTCTTTTATTTTCTCTCTCTCTCTCTCTCTTTTTCCCCTCCTGCTGCGTTTTCCGCCGTCTCTTCCACCTGTCAGGCCTTCAATTCTAGTCAACAGCAGTCCTCCTTTAGCTATCCTTATCCATTAAGTCAACTTTGGACTCTTCTGGTCAATACGAGAATCGGGCTGTACAGAGTACATTTTTACTCCTCTGTAAGTACCAGCGCCTGTTTTCTCTTCTGATTCATCCACTCGGGCTAATCGAGATCTCCGCATGGCTGTTAGGGAACAACATCAACAGCTCGCCTCATATCTGCGAACCGCCCCCTTTTCCTCGCGTCCCTCTGTCGCTCTCCTCCCCATCTTAACGAGAAGCCTTTCGAGAATTAAGAAAACCGAAGAACAACCAGATCATTAGAGAAAGAAATAACACTTTCCGAGGCGTTCATTGTGAGTCCGACTCCCTTTGTCGCAGATCGCCCGCCAGATCATCTGCTGCTCTTTGCTTCTGGTCTCCCCTCTCCAGCCCCTCTCACAACCTCCTTACTTGCAACACCTTCCGAGGCGCCCAAAGACATACACAAACACCCTCTCTTCTACTTTCCCTGTTCTCCAGATAGAGTACAATCGTCAATCGGTTGGCGGTGTGGATGCGTATGTCTATGTGTCGCTGTCTCCTTGGCCGCTTTCTCACCTTCTCTTCCCCCTTGTTTCTGTCTCTGATATATTGATGAATTATATATATATATATCTCGCCTCATGCTGACTGCTCCCTCTGCATCTTCAGATAGGGTATTCTTCCCTGATCACCCATCATGGCTTTCAAAAGCGGATTGAGTGAGCGCCTCGATGAACTGCGTTTCCCTTCTCCTCGTTCGCCTCCCTCCGAGTCCCCTTACACGGGTTATACGACCATGGCTCCCGCCGGTCACCCCAATATGGCATCGGCCTTTTCGCGTCCGTCGGGCGATGTGCGCGCCAATCTGCACCGCCGTTTCACCACAGATTCCAGCAAGCTGTCCTCGTGGAACCATTTCAGTCAGCCGGGGAATACTCCTCATGTGACAGATCCTCAGGAACTGGTGCCATCGGTAAGTCGCCTTTTTCTCCATTGCATTTTTGCCTTGCAGTCTTGTTTCTTGGCATCGCTCCGTTATTATAGCTGACCTGTCACTGCAGACAAACAATTCTTACAAAACCCAGCTCGTGAGCCTCCCATTGTTGATCCAATGGCATTGATTTTTTTTAGCTTTGTCATTTCTCATTGTGTTTCCGATACTGACCATTGATTTCTAGTTCGAGAAGAAGCGTCAGCACATCGAATACATGCGCGAACAAAGACGGCGGTTTGAAGAGGACATGAAACTTCTGGACTTACAGCACGAGAGAGAGAAGCAGGAGATGGACCAGCTAGCACGCGATTTGGCCAAGGCAGGTATCCCAGGTCCTGTCAGTGAACCAACAACCCCGCCAGAGTATCATGACAATGGCTTCCCGGCGGGTTTCTCGCGCCCAACCCGTTTCTCTACCTCCAGCGTCACTTCATCCCCAGGCTTCTTCAACGTCTTTGCTCCATCTAATCAAATGACTTCGTCTCCTAACGGCGCACAGACGCCAACCAACCGCTTCTCGGTGCATTCTGTTCCTGGCTCTCGAAGAAATTCTGAGAAGGAGGACTTTGGCAACGAGCCGTTGTCCTCTCCTTTCCGTCCTGCACCTGCGTAAGTTTCTTATCTCTTTAACACCCTCCTTTTATGACGACATGCCTTCTGGAAGAGGAAAACCAAACACAGATCTGGGGTTTGGGTTACCTGCGGCTGAGGCTGGGGGTTTCCGCCTATGGTTTGCTGGTTTTGCATTCACTTCAAACATCACCCCTCATTTCTTCATTTCTGTTGCTGTCATTCACCCCACTGATTCTCTTCCAGTATTCACCGTTACTCCATGCCCACCGCAAACCTATCACAGTTTCGCGCTAATGCTCCTGCCCCTGGTTTCAACAATTCTTCTGGCCTCGATTCCTTCTCTGCAGCCAAGTATCTGTTCCCCCACGACGACGACAAGGACACCTTGAGGGACGAAGACAGAATCCCCACCCCAGACATCAAAAGTTATCTCAAATTGACCGAGCCTGACGACAAGTTCCCCACTCTATCTCGCGGAGACGAATCCGGTTTGGTAAGTACTAAAGATCCAGAATATATTTCTCAATGATCGATCATTAACCTATAAACACAGTTATCGGCAAACCCGGACGCTTTGGATTTGGCCAACTCGCGTACTCCAAATCCAGAGTCTTGGAACGTTCATAACCGTCACCGTGCCTCGCATCAAAGCATGCCCCAGAACACGCTGAATATGTTCCGCCTGAACCATCAACTGAGCAGCCCCTCGGGCGATAACCGCTCTACTGGTGTCAACGCTGCTCGTCATGCTGCCCGGCACTCGCTCGAAGCTAACCTGTTCTATGGCAATGAGGACACCCGGGAGAACGCGGTGTCAACGGCTTCCAACCGCCCTACTTCCCTGCAGTCGTCGTACTCGACCAATGACCTCCCCACGGTCAAGGACAATGATTTCGATCCCGCTATCACGCCACCCAAAGCTCATGCGGACGTGTTTCAAGGCCGCTTCCGCCAGACTAGGGATTCACCCGACCACGAGGATGCCCAGCGGCCGAGCTCGCAGTCCTCGACCACCACACTGCAGGCTAGTGCCGCCCCATTTGGTCCTCAGCTCAACACGACCGCTTCCAACCCTATTGTCCCTGGCTCGACCACAACCACTCCGTTGACCAATGTTCCCAATTCTTTCTACGGCTACGGCATGCAACCCTATCTTGGTAACGCCCTGCAAGTCAATAACCAGGTTCCCAACTACAATCCCCCTGGCTCCTTCGCGGGTTATGGGCCATACGGTGGCTTCCGGGTCAATGACACCCCGACCAGGGGTGCTGTTAGCGCGCGGCGCAGTGGGGACGGGGAGTCGTCCCAGCTTTCTCGCTTCGCGAACTTTCCTCTGGAGCACTACCGTGGCGAACTGTACAGCCTGTGCAAGGACCAGCACGGTTGCCGGTATCTGCAGAGAAAACTGGAGGAACGCACCCCTGAGCACATTCAGTTGATCTTTGAGGAGACCCATCCCCATGTTGTCGAGCTGATGACCGATCCTTTTGGAAACTACCTCTGCCAGAAGCTGCTCGAATACTCCAATGATGAGCAGCGCACGGCTTTAATTAACAACGCCGCTCCCGAGCTTGTCAAGATTGCATTGAACCAGCATGGTACGCGTGCGCTGCAGAAGATGATCGAATTCGTTTCGACTCCCGAGCAGACTCGCACCGTTATCCGCTCCCTGGAGAACCACGTTGTGGCACTGGTTCAGGACCTGAACGGAAACCACGTGATCCAGAAGTGCCTGAACCGGCTATCGGTTGAGGATGCTCAGTTTGTCTACGATGCTGTTGGTGGGAACTGCGTTGTCGTTGGCACCCACCGCCACGGATGCTGCGTCTTGCAGCGTTGTATTGACCATGCTTCGGGAGAGCAGCGCGCCCGCTTGATTGCGCAGATCACGGCCAACGCTTTCTCGTTGGTCCAAGATCCGTTTGGAAACTATGTCGTTCAGTACATTCTGGACCTGGCTGAGCCGCACTTCACCGAGCCTCTTTGTCAATCGTTCCGTGGTCATATACCTGCCCTTTCTAAGCAGAAGTTCAGTTCCAATGTGATCGAAAAGTGCCTGCGGACTGCTGATCCCCAGATGCGTCGTCAATTGATTGAAGAGATGCTCGCCGGAAATGAATTGGAGAGGATGTTGCGTGACTCGTTTGCCAACTACGTTGTGCAGACCGCTATGGACTTTTCCGATCCCGAGATGCGCGCCCACGTCGTGGAATCCATCCGCCCAATCCTGCCTGCTATCCGCCAGACTCCCCATGGACGTCGCATTGCGGGCAAGATCATGGCCGCCGAAGGTTCGGGAAGGGGCAATGCTGCCACCAGCGGCCAGGTGGCACCCAATGAGATGAACTCGGCTCAGCTTCCTGGACCCTTGCAAGGAGCTCCGAAGCCATTGATGTACCAACAAAACGCTTTCGCACCTCCCAGTCTTGGCCGTCAATTTGGCAACCAGAACTACACCCCGGCCTCGGGCTCAAGCTCTGGTTCCAACGCGTCCTCAGGTGGAGCCAGCGACAGCTCTGGAAGTCTTTACACTACTCCGACGGCGCAGCAGCCGACCGGTAACTTTGGGGCTCAAGGCCCACTGTACGCCTATTTCTGATCTCGCTGACATTGTTTCCTTTCAAGAGCCTTGTCAGCTCCTGTTCCATGTACCCATATTTGAGATGATGCTTACGATCTTCATGACTTCACGGCCAGCTCGACCAATCGTCAGCGAATCGGGGGAACACATTCCGTTTTTTGATACCATCTCGAGGATCTGTTATTCTTATGCAGATTTGCATCTTTTTATCTTTTTTTCTGGATTACTATTCTTATTCTGACGATATGATGCGGTACTTGGCAACTGTCTTGTATTCTTCATGCTGTTTTGGTTAGGCTCGCTGTTCGCACTGCGTCTCAGCGACCAAGCCTTGGTTTTTTCTTTTTGCATATGTCGTCTTTTGCTTCTTTAATGTCCAAACCCCCCCTCCCCCCGCCCGACTGTGTTTTTAATTTTCCTCATCTGTGTCCTGTTTCTTTACTTCCCCCCGGCCCCTATCCTGGTGTGTTGTTTGCTTATGTTAATGTCGTTCGGAAATCGCTTTTTGTATTGTCACGTTGGATTGATGAATGCTTTCCCGGGCGCTTTGGACAGAACGAGGAGGAATGTAATCGGACATCTTCGGGTCACCGTTGATTGTACTATGATTTCTGGAATGATGATTATGGCCCAATGATTCACACCACTCATTAGGATAGCTGTACTCTACAATTGCATTGTTTCTTTTTTTTTTTTTTTTTTTTGACATCAAACTCATTCAGGATACAGTAGTTCAGATACCAGGACAGTAGTTGACTGAGTATGCCATGGTTCGCGATCACGTGACTCAATTCGCGCGCGTCGAGTTTCGCGACTCTTCCAACCAACTTCACCGCGATAATTATTCTTGATATACCTTATTGAACTCGTGTATACCGTGTCTTAATGCTTCCCATAGAGATATCCCGCTCCATTAGCCAACAATGGCCCTGTCGCGAGCCCCAAAGCCGCCAGCTCGCCAGTCTTCTCAGCGTGAGCCACCTACAAACCATCCGCCTACAAACTATCCCTCCACTGCTGTTCACTTTGGCTGACATCTTTAAACGACAATGACAGCCTCACATCGCTAGCCCATCCACACTAGTCGTCCACGGAATATCCGCAACCTGCAAATCCACCATCGTCCGCGCCGTTGTTTCCACCCTACAAGTTCCGCACGCCATCGTCCGCAGCACAGAGTGCATCACGGGCCGCCATCTCCTAACCAAGATCCTATGGACGACTTTGGAGGCATTAGGCCGGAAGGACGAATGGGAAAAGTTCGGAAAGGGACGGTGCGAGCATGTTAGCGCACTAGCGGTGCTACTGGGGGAGATCCTAGCGTCCTCCGAGGATGGGAAGTTCGTGTTGGTTCTGGACGGCATTGATAAGCAGAGGGAAGCGCCGCAGACATTGTTGGCTGCGCTAGCGAGATTAGGGGAGGTGATCCCATCGCTGTGTGTGGTGTTGATTCTGAGTTCTACGCCTCGACCGCTGTTCTTGCAAGCTGTCGCGATTCCGCATGTCAGTTTCCCGCCGTATACGCGGAATGAAGCGACCAGGATTATTTTGAACGCGGATTCGCCGTTTGTTGACGGGTTACCGGTGGAGGTTGTCACTAAGGTATACCCGCAGTTTGTGTCCACGATTTTCGACTCGTTGGTTGGGCCTACGGCGAGTTCAATCCCTGTTTTCCGGTCGATATGCGATAAACTGTGGCCGCAGTTCGTGGCACCGATAATAAACGGGGAGATGCCGCCTGGGGGGACTGGAGAATGGGATTTTACGCGGCTGCTCGTTCGGAATCGATCACTGTTCCGACAGCAGGGTGAGGCCGCGCTGGTACATCATATCGTTCCTGAAGAGCCTACGCATGTGGCTGGTGCGATAGCAAAGCCGTCGCTGAAGGCTGTATCTGCACCATCACCTCTCCCATCCTTACCATACTTCGCAACCTTGATTCTCACATCCGCATACCTGGCCTCGCATATCCCCCAACGTCTTGACACGATCTTCTTCTCGAAATTCTCCTCCTCGTCCTTATCCGCACGAAACAAACGTGCGCACCATCGTCGCCGATTGAAGCTGCTATCCCGCGCACAGGCAGAAGACAACAAAGCTAACAACCCCTCGACACCAGGCAAGGGCAAGCGCCAAAAAACGCGTATCACAAAATCCACACTCGAATCTGCGTTCGCTACTTCCTCCGCTACAACATCCGCACCTGGTGGTGCACCTGGCGTAACAGGTCCGTCGACTATCCTCACCGCACGCCCGTTCCCACTCGAGCGACTGGTTGCAATTTACCACGCCATCGACCCCAATCCACCCGCGAACCCGATAAAAACAGCAGCAGTGTCAGATGCGATATACGCAGAGTTGGCTACACTACGAAGACTACGACTAGTCGTGCCCGCAGGGGCAAGGGATAGTAGTGGCGGAAGTGGCCGCGTTGGCGGGGGATCATCCGGAGCAACGAGTCTGAGCAGTGGGAATACAACAGCCGATGCGGGTGATAAATGGTGCGTGAATGTATCAGGTGATTGGATCGGAGAAGTGGCGAAGGAGGTAGGCGTTGAGGTTGGGGAGTGGTTGGCAGGTGGATTAGATTGATCTTTCATGTACTTCGATTGCATTAAAACTATATACAGATATTTAATAGACTACCACAACCATTCATCCACCCTATCCCCCGCCGTAACCAATAACCCCGGTGTCTGCGGGCCTTTGGCGCTGGCATCTCCGTCCTCGAATCGAACAGAGGAGATTGGTCTGTTGTGTTCATATCTGCATACGGGCGATGTATATGGCGAAACTAACTCACCGCTACGTAGGGAGAAAAGTTGGATTTTATCTTCGTCAGATACTGCACCCACGTTAACATCATTAGTATAGTAAGGAGCCTGGTGGGGGGACGCACCACTGGCCAACAGCCCTAATTCGGTGCTGAGGTCGTATTCGGGGGTGTAGGGTGGTGAGTACTCGGGTAAGACGAGGTAGGGTTTTGTTGAGGTTCTGGAGTTGTAGTTGGTTTGGTTATGCTTGCGCTTGTTTTTGTTTCTGCTATTGCTGTGTCCGGGACGGTGATTTGGGTTCGAGGTCGCGTTGGGTTGATGAGTTGGCGGATAGCGCAGGTCGTACATTTGCAGCTTTTAGTCAGTTAGCATCTCTACATCTCCTTTGCGAATGTCAAGATAAAGCAAGATCGGGAGCATACCGAATTATAACTCCCCACAACAACCCTCCACTCATCAACCCTCCTAACACCCCCCACCGCAACAGCACCCGGATGCCATAGCCTAACCGCACTCCCTCCACTCCTAAGATCATGCAAAAACACACTAGAATCCCTACATCCAGCCGCAATGACATCACCCGAGAGCCACTCGACAGCATTCACCTGTGACCGCCAGTGTCCTCTATCGTCAGGGAATGGCGCCTTGGATAAAGACCAATGACTCCCCTGCCCTGTTAGAATTTGGAGACCGTCGGAGGTTCCTATTGCGAAGAGTGGTTTTGGACCTATTGGCGTCGGGCAGGAGGCGGAGGACCAGTAGGTTGTGCTTGTTAGGATGCGGATGGGGTGGGTGACTGGTACTGTTAGTTCTTTTCTTGGATGAAGGGGTAAATGGGAAGGGAGGGTACAAGCTGAGGGCCAGCGGTAGTCGCCGCCTTCGTCGGGGTCTGGGAGCATTCGGGGGGCGAGGAAGGAGTCGCCGTTTGGGCCGCTGTCCATTGTTGTGCTGTTTTGTTTGTTAGGGTTGGTCGTCCCGGGGAGAGAGGGGACGTACAGGAGATAGCCGGTGTGGCTTAGGGATATTGATGAGAGCTGTTGTTATTAGTATTATTTTATACAAGGTCAAAGCGGACGTACTCGATATGCCTCTTTGAAGAGAACTCTCTCCATTGTGCGGTTATATGACCATTGGTCCTGGTCGAGGTCCGGGAAGCATATTCTATATCAGTTAGCTTCAGCTTGTACAGCGTATGGTGATACTCACGAGACAGATGACTCTCCACCACGCTGCCCACCTACGCATCGTCAGCTTCATCACATAGACCCAAGTAAAGAGAGCGCAAACGCACCCGCAACCAAAACCCCAGACCGCTTATTCCTCAACGCATGCCTAATCGAATACTCATCTGGCCACGGCTCAAACCGATGCAACACCCGTCTCCGCATCTGGCTCGCATACACCAACCCCTGATGTTCTTTTCGAACGGGGTGAGTGATATTTTGCGCCCCGATTTCTCTGTCGCATCCGATTAGGGGATGATACAGAAAGGAGGCTTTTTTTATCTTTTCTTTTGCGATTTTCTTAGTTTGGCGGGCTTTGAGCTCGTTTTTCTGTTACTGTTAGGTTGTCTTTTATTTTATCTTTGGGGATAATGGGGAGAGTACCTCCTGCTCGATTCGTTTGCGCTTCACGGCATCTTTTGAGTATTGGGCTCCCGGGGCTGCTTTGTGGCTTGCTTGGATGCGGAAGTATTTCTTCTTTTCGGGGTCTGTCGTTTGATCAGTAACAACTCTCGTGGTTGTTCAGTATAGTAGACTTACCATAGTAGAACCCTGGTATTTCCCGATTCATTGTGATAGACCCAGATCTCCGGCAACAACTGATTCGATACGCTGTGTAACCCGATCATGCAATAAACTATCCACGGAGACTAAGAATATTATTCTTTCGAATAGCGAAATCTATCATTATCCAATAATCGCGGTTGAATGCTTTCTCCATGTTTGGCGGAAACATTTTCGGTTGCGATGACGTCGTGTGCTGTGGTTATGTAAGCACATACGATTGGACGGTGTTGAGGTTAATTCGACTGCAATCGTTTCTAGATGAGCTGTTGGGCATACAAATACGTGTCTGTGTGCTGCTATGGATTAATACACGAGGTCTATTGCTTTTTCTACTCTGTACATGCCATAGGCTCGGAGATCCGAATGTGCTCGTGGTGTCCGCACGAAATCTATATATATTCGGCCATGTGGGACAAGCATTCTCTTCCAGACTGCCGTCTCCAGTTGTTACCCAAGGGCCAGCCCTAACTGCAGCAATCACCAAAGATGGGACCACTGCATACTGGGAACACAAACTCTATACGAGGTCTCGCCAGAGCGCCAGGTAAGAAAACATGGCATTGATAACTCGGTATCCCTGACAGAGGCCGTACACGATGTCCCAAACAAGATTGGGGATTAATGGTTAGGGTATGGGATAGTTCTGTCGGGTGCTGTGACCAGCATGCTGAATGGTTTCAAAGTCGAATCCGGTATGCAGAGGGCCGAAGGTACGATGCACAGGTAATCTCAGTCCTAATTGGAACCGCCAGTCAATTGGCATTGTCTGATACTCGCAGTGCCCGTGTTGTTATCCTATCTACGATTGTGGATTAGCGTTATCGCCGTCCGGGGTAGCTCGGGTCAATGCCAAATACTCTGATCAAACCCATAAGTGCTGGCACTGCTGACACCAACTGGACGGCTGACCTTCAGCTGTCCCCTCATTCTGCTATTTAGATCTGTCCCGATCCTGGCCCCGGATACAGGATATCGACTGCATAAATTTTGTCACTCGCTTCAAAGGATAGCACTGGGCTCGACCCTATCCTTGTCGACAGCTCTACAAACAGTCCAACTATGCACGGACTTGTTTCCGATGCGCTGGTCAGATCGATGGTTGGTTTTGGTGTAGAGCACTGTATCAACGCCAGAAGACAGAGTGCTTTCCCAAGATTTCGGCCAGATCATACCAAAATCAATTCGAATTATGGCCAATTCCGCGGGGATGACACTGAGGAGACATTCTCCCAGTTTCCGTATCAGGAAGGCACGGCCAATGCCCTAGTAACTTACAGAACAGAACAGGTAATAACAGGTAATAATGTCAGTCTAATATGGTGTAACGCTGTACCTGTCATAACATAACAGATACCCTCAACATCTTGATACGGCTTTCGGTTGCCTTTTCTGCTGCTCTTTCTTTCTTCCTTCGCCCGATCATCCTTCTGATCTTACTCTCTTAAACCTTCTTATCCAGTCTGCATTTTCCTTTGGTATAATAATTGAGAAATCAACTGTTTGCTTACTATACAGCTATAGACGTCGGTAAGCAACTCTTCCAGCCTCACTCTTTCCTCTTGCTTGCTCTTTCCTGCTTATCCTTCCTCTTCTCCTACTTCTTCTTCCACCTCCACCTCCTTTCTCCTTTCTTCACTAACCTCTCTGCTTCTTCTTCTATCTGTCTACAGCTTCAATTCTACGGTTATATACATACCTCAGTATACTATTCACCGTGTACCTACATACGACATCTCACCATGCCGACGACCGAATACAAAGGTCCATCCTCTTACGTGGACTACGGTCGCCAGGGGAGCTTGACTCCAATGTTCCCCAATGGTACATACGACACGCCAAAGCCGTCGTTCAACGACGATGAGGAGAATATGGACATCCTCATCGAAGAGCTGGAGTCAGTACGCGGCATCCACGACGACGAAGATGACTCGCAAGACGATCCCGGATACACTGGCACGGTCCCCGAAGAGTTACTTGGAACCGATCCGTTGAGGGGCCTTGACGACAAGGAAGTCCTGACCCGTCGGAAAAAATACGGTCTCAACAAGCTGAAGGAGGATAAGCAGAACCATTACCTCAAGTTCTTGTCCTTTTTCGTTGGTCCGATCCAGTTTGTCATGGAGGCACGGAGCTCTCTCCCTTGCTTTTTTTTTTGCATCTCAACTGACATTTCCGTTCACGCAGGCTGCTGCGATACTGGCTCTTGGTCTCCAAGATTGGGTCGACTTTGGCGTTATTTGTGCACTCCTTTTGCTGAACGCATCCGTGGGCTTTCTTCAGGAATTTCAGGCAGGCTCCATCGTGGAAGAGTTGAAGAAAACTTTGGCTCTCAAAGCAGTCGTGGCTCGAAACGGAGACCTTATTGAAATCGACGCGTCCGAAGTGGTTCCAGGGGATATCTTGAAAATCGATGAGGTACAATAGCTCCCCATAATGAGCCAGAATGTTTGCTAAAAAAAAGCACCAGGGTACTATCGTTTCGGCTGATGGTCGAATTATCACCGACGACGCCTTCCTTCAGGTTGACCAGTCCTCCATCACAGGAGAGTCTTTAGCGGTTGACAAGCAACTCGGTGACTGCTGCTTTGCATCGTCTGCTGTGAAGCGTGGCGGTGGAATGGTCGTTGTTACAGCCACTGGTGATCACACCTTTGTTGGGCGTGCTGCTGCAATGGTCAACGCTGCTTCATCTGGATCTGGTCACTTCACTGATGTCCTCAACGGCATTGGAACTGTCCTCCTGGTTCTCGTCATAATCACTCTTCTCATCATTTGGGTCTCGTCTTTCTACCGCTCCAATAACATCTTGACCATCTTGGAGTTCACCTTGGGAATTACTATCATTGGTGTTCCTGTCGGTCTTCCTGCTGTTGTCACGACCACCATGGCTGTCGGGGCTGCATATCTCGCCAAGAAACAGGCTATCGTTCAGAGACTCTCGGCCATTGAGTCCCTAGCCGGCGTCGAGATTCTATGCTCAGACAAGACGGGTACATTGACGAAGAATAAATTGTCATTATCAGAGCCCTACACAGTAGCCGGAGTCGAACCAGAAGACCTTATGCTGACTGCTTGTCTGGCTGCCTCACGGAAGAAAAAGGGCATTGATGCTATTGACCGTGCTTTCCTCAAAGCACTTCGTTACTATCCCCATGTCAAATCTGTTCTCACGCAATACAAAGTCCTCGAATTCCATCCGTTTGATCCTGTCTCCAAGAAGGTCACCGCTGTCGTCGAGTCACCTGAAGGCGAGCGTATTACCTGTATGAAGGGGGCCCCACTGTTCGTTTTGAGGACGGTCGAGGAAAGTCACCCACTTGCCGAAGAAGTCGACACCGATTACAAGAATAAGGTTGCTGAATTTGCGCTTCGTGGCTTCCGATCGCTTGGAGTTGCTCGCAAGCGTGGCAACTCCCAATGGGAGATCCTTGGTATTATGCCATGCTCCGACCCTCCGCGTGATGATACTGCGAAGACCATCAATGAGGCCAAGACTCTTGGATTGTCCATTAAGATGCTGACAGGTGACGCGGTTGGCATTGCTCGAGAGACCTCTCGCCAGCTAGGACTCGGGACAAACGTGTACAACGCAGAACGACTTGGCCTGGGCGGCGGCGGTACTATGCCTGGATCTGAAGTCTATGACTTTGTCGAGGCTGCCGACGGCTTCGCTGAAGTCTTCCCTCAGCACAAATACAATGTCGTTGAGATTCTACAGCAGCGTGGATATCTTGTTGCAATGACGGGTGACGGCGTCAATGATGCTCCATCCCTGAAAAAGGCAGACACCGGAATCGCAGTAGAGGGTTCTTCGGATGCTGCCCGCTCAGCTGCCGATATCGTTTTCCTAGCTCCTGGTTTGTCCGCTATCGTTGACGCTCTAAAGACCTCTCGCCAGATCTTTCATCGCATGTACGCATACGTCGTTTATCGGATTGCGTTATCGCTCCATCTCGAGATCTTCCTGGGCCTATGGATCGTGTTTATAAACGAGAGTCTCAATCTCCAGCTAGTGGTATTCATCGCCATCTTCGCGGATATCGCGACACTTGCTATCGCTTACGATAATGCTCCTTACTCGAAGACACCCGTCAAGTGGAATCTTCCCAAGCTATGGGGCATGTCCGTTCTTCTCGGTATCGTACTGGCCGCGGGAACGTGGATCACGTTGTCCACCATGATGATGGCTGGTGAAGACGGGGGAATCGTACAAAACTTTGGACGACGCGATGAGGTCCTATTCCTCGAGATCACATTGACCGAGAACTGGCTGATCTTTATCACACGTGCAAACGGACCATTCTGGTCATCACTTCCTTCTTGGCAGCTGGCGGCAGCGATCTTTGTGGTTGACCTGCTGGCAACATTTTTCTGCTTATTTGGATGGTTCGTTGGTGGTCAAACGTCTATCGTCGCCGTTATCCGTGTCTGGATCTTCTCCTTTGGGGTCTTCTGTATTATGGGCGGTCTCTACTACCTCTTGAATGGCTCGACGGGTTTTGACAACATTATGCATGGCAAGAGTCCTAAGGGTAATGCAAAGCAACGCTCTCTCGAAGATTTTGGTAAGTTTGAGGATCATCTGCTGTTTTTGAAAACCTGGCTAACTCATGTAGTCGTTTCGTTGCAGCGAGTATCGACCCAGCATGAGAAAAATTCATAGTATGGCAGTTCTTTGGAACCCTAACGACTATATTACCATTCCATCGTTTTGACCACTTTTTATATCCTACCTGATTCTTCCCGTTCCAGTTCGAGTGTTCTCTTTTGTTTGTCGCATTTGTTAAACTGTGCAGTGTCATTCTTGTGTATTACATTGGTCTAATGAATTACCGCGGGTCGGATTAGTCTTTTGATATGGTACTATAGTGGCTCCTACTTGTTCAAATTGCCATCCGAAAAGGAAAGAAATTAAGAAGATTATGAATTATCCTGCTAGACTGGATAGTAAACTAGGTTGCCCTGGCACCTATCCTTTCCTTTTCTCGCCTCTCCCCTGCCTTTGGGAGATCTAGATTACATGAAGCGGTGTGAATGAGATGACGATAGGGCAAAGCAGCACACCTTAGCGTGGTTGGAGTAGAAAAATGAAACGCAATGGAATATACAACGAAGATATGCAAAAAAGAAATCGATACAAAGATTGTAGGCCTATCAGGGAACGTAGCGTAGAGACAAAAGAAAACTATGTGCAATAGTAAGGGGAAAACAAGATAAAAAATCACAGAAATAATTACGCCTTGGAGGTTAAGAAGTCCACAGCCTAGCACTCGATGTTAGCTCTATGAATCAATTAACGAGGGGATTCAATGGAAGCTCACCTTGTCGAGATTGTAATCAAACTTCTCCAACGCAGCGAGGGAATCATTACGCGGGAAACCCATGCCAGTCAACCGCTGAAGGATCAGATCATCCTCCCCGGTGTCATTTTGCAGGGCCCATCCAGGCTCCTTTGGGTCGATGGGTGCTTGTTGCCCTCCGTTGGCTGGAGCTGGAGCTTCAGGGTTGATATTGTCGAGCGGGGCGAAGAGTGCGTCCCATTCATGGGAGTTGGGTTTAGGGGTCCCGCCACTGGGCGAGGTGGTGGTGGGCTGCTGGGAGAATGGGTCTGAAGATTGAGCGTTGACGTTATTGTCGAAGCTGAAGAAATCGGAGGAAGCGACGTTGGTATTGGGATTTGGGGAGGCGGTTCTCTGTTGAGATGGGTTGTCGAAGGAGAAATCAAAGTTTGTGTTGTTCTTCTGGTCATCTGCTTCGAAGTCATCCTCGTCATCTTCAGCTTCCTTTGCGGGCGCCAGGTTGAGACCAGCAAAGGCAGCGTCAAAATCGGTTCCACCCGGCTTATTCGACGTGTCTCGCTGGGCTTCTCCGCCAACCACAGGTGCACCGGTGCTAGACTCAACCGAGTGGGGCGCATCAGCTGCATGAGTGGGATCCTCGCGGTTTGGCAGGAGGCCATTGTACTCGGCCGGCAAGTCACCAGGCTCCTGGTGAGGAACAGATTGATCGTAGGTTGGCGGGCTAGTCTGGGCTCCGGCGGGAGGGGGCTGAGGCGCAGCTGCTGCCATTGCGGGAGGGGGAGGGAAAGCCGTCTCGCCAGTTTGACCCTGGGGCGCAGCAACCGGTGTGAAGTTGTCATCGAAACCCATGGGAGCTTCGGTATCGGTGCTGTCGTCGTCATCGTCCAACTCATGGATGGGAGGGAACTCAGATTGAGCCGCACCCGTAGCTCCGTTGGGCTTCTCAGCACCGCCCTGCTTCATAGCAGCAAATGCCTCATCGAAGTCGTTGGCCTTCTGAGACTGAGATCGTTGGTGGGCAGGGCCACCGAAGAGCTCGTCAAAACTTGGGTCCTTGGTTGCCCCTTCTCCGGCACCAGGGGCGGGAGCATTCTGGATGTCAGGGAACCGTGTGTCTGCTTCATCGAAGGGCGATTTCGAAGCAGTACGTTCAACGGGGGCGGGTGAGATATTGCCTTGCGGGGGAGTTGCGAAACCAGACGCATCGAAACCACCAAAGTTGCTTCCCGGAGGCGACACCTTGGTCGAAGAAGTCACCGACTGGGGCTCACCAAAGGGAAGGGCGCTGGGGGTGATCTGCCTGGACTCAGCCGGCGCCGGAGGTTCGGTCAGCACGGCAGGAGGGGACACCGAGGGAGTGGGAGCTCCGGATCCCACAGGGGACTTGGCAGTGGTTTGTTGCACCGAAGGAGACTCGGCACCGAAGGAAACTGGCGGGGGAGGAGTAGCACCAGGAGGTGGTGCAAAGGAAGGCCCGAAAAGGTTATCGAACGCACTTCGCTGGTCATTCGAGACTGCAGGCGAGATGGGACGGCTTTCATTGCCACTGGATCCAGTCGCAGTCCGCTTGAAGAACGGGTTTGTGTTCTGGCTTGTGGTGGACTCTGCAGGGGTTGACACCTGGGGTGGTGGTGTTGGCACCGCGGGAATAGCAGCAGCGGCGGCGGCGGCGGCGGCGGCGGCACCAGCTTCAGAAGCTGGGCTTGCAGCAGACTCTCGCTCAGAGTCCTTGGAGAGGTCGTCGATCTCACCCCGGATCTTATCCTGTTCGCCTTCCACAGTAGCAAGCTGCTTCTTGTTAATAGCAACAAGACCCTTCTGTTGACGTGCGCTAGAACGGGCCTTTTCGAGGGCAGGCTTGAGCTGAGCGACGATGGCATTAGCTTGACGAATCTTTTCCTTCAAGCTTGTATTTTCCTGCTGATCAGCAGTGAGTGCAGCAGACACCTGATCATATTGGTTCTGCAAGTCCTGTCTGCTACTCTCGATCAACGCATACTCCTGTTGAACCTTCGAGGTCTCTGACTTGGAGGTATTCAAGCGCTCCTCTATAGCCTTGTAGTTTTTGACCTCCTGCTCGTACATCGTCCGTGCCTGGGCAAGTCGAACCTCAAAGTCGCGCTTTTGCTGTGAGCTCTGAGACAGGTCCTGCTCGGCGGATGTACGCTTCGTCTGAGTGTTCTGCATCTCAGTCGCCAACGAACCAATCTGGTTGGACAGGTTTGCGAGTTCAGTAGTCTCGTTGGTCAGCTTCTTTGATTCTTCCGGGTCGTTGTCTCCCAGGAGATCATCAGCTGGCGGTGGCGGAGACCGGACAGGCGGCGGGCCGCCAGTCATTTGCGGCTGCAAGCTCTGACCAAAGGATGATGTTGGAACAAAGGGCTTGAACGTAGTGGACGTACCCGGAGGGGACGCTTTCGGAGACGCAGGAGCGGGGAACGGGACGTTGGATCCTCCGGTAGATTGAGGAATCTGTGAAGGGGCCGCAGGTGCAGCCGGCGAATCAAGACCAAAGAGATCATCAGCAGCAGTCCGCGGCGAAGGAGCAGCAGCAACAGCAGGAAGGGGACCGGGAGTCGGAGCGGGAGCCGGGACCTGTGCGACAGCGGGAGCCATCTGTGCAGTACCTGGGCGACGCATACTGGGAGGAATCAGGGCAAGCGGGAGTGTCTGCGGCAACGGTTCTTGTCCAGTGCGCTGTTGTCGGACAAGGTACATGGCAACCGCAAACTCATCTTTCGTCAACTGGCCATCAGCGTCGATATCTGCGAGATCCCAGATCTGGGCCAGAACATCTTCAGGCAAATGGGCGTTCATGAAGAATGCGACAGCCTGGTCACCGGTGATCATCCCAAGCTTTGCGGTATCGACGGTGTTGAAGATACTGTCAAAGTGTACTTTCTCTTGAGGAGTGACGAGCCATTCCACACCACCACCTGTGCCTTGCGCTGTAAGAGGTTGCGGGAACGTCTGTCTACTGAGCGGACTCTGGGTGCGCTGCGGTCCAGTGAACTGTCTGGGAATAGCGGGCACAGGAGGGACGTCCAAGCCCCGTGAGCCCATGGACGACCGCGATCCTCTTCGTGCGGCAGCATCGTACAGACCTGGAGGCAGCGTCTGAGGGATGCCTTTCATGATGCCCGACCTGTAGGAGGTAAGAAAGTGCATGGCGATAATGAACTCGGTCGCATCAAGAGCGCCTCGTTGTTGCGTGTCTGCCAGATTCCATATCCGTCCCAAGATCTCGTTCGGTAGTCTTGCGCGTTCGAAGATCTGCTTGGCCGTTTCGCCTGTACGAGAATCCGTTAGCTTTCGGTGCAAGCGAGTCAATGCCGCGCTGATAACATACCCGGAAGAATACCACTCCTTGCCACGTCCGATTTGTCAAACAAAGATGTGAATTTGTTAACGTCCTCGGGGTTCAACGGAGGCACACGGATCGGGCCACCAGCAGATGGCGGAGGACTTGTGGTGCCAACATCACGGCCGGTGGGGATGGAATTGTCTACCACAATACCATCGAATATAGGCAACGGTCCGGCTAGAAAGTTGAACGAGGTGTCAGCGCTTTCCCGGTCGCAACAGACTGTAGATTGCACTCACGCTGCACCGCCAATTCCTCTGTCGGTGGACGACCAGCCTGAGCATGTCCAATCAATCGCAACACGACTCCAAAGCCAGAAGGGGTCAGAAGACCCCTGTTCTCTCTGTCTGCGATCTGCCAAATCTATACAACCGAACCCAGTAGCGATTAGCTTCACATATACAACAATGCACGCGTACCGCGGATGTTCAACTCCAAGAAAGAATCGAGAAAGTTGGCAACGTACCAAACCGAGATGCTCCGGAGGAAGCCTAGTCTTCTCGAAGAACGGCACGGCGACTTCACCCGTGATGACACCCAGGTTAGTCGTATCCGCGGCCTGAAAGAGCTGAAAAAAGACCCGTTTCTCCTCGGGCGTGAGGTTCAGATTGGGCTGTCGTGACCCTGGAAGCAATTCAAAGAGACCCGTTAGTTTCCGCCCGCATTGTGCCTGTTCTCCTGAGTCCTGATCCAGCAACACGGTTTCCTCTCCTCTTTTTGTGGTGACGACAATCCGCAGTCGAAAGGAATGCTAAGCTCACCTGCTTCAGCCATGGTCGCTTAAAGGAGCAGACCTGCGCTCCGTTCAGACAGGGGTTGTTATGCTCGATAGTTGGGGTTGTAAGTAAGGTGACGAAATAGGCGCTGTCGTCAGCTCTAGGAAGCTACGGCATAGATAGCGCCCCGTCCAGCGGATGGAAGAGGGGGTAGTCTCAGGGGATTAGAAGACAAATTGCAATAAACAAACAGTTCAAGCAAACAATTAACGCTTGACCAGGAGCAACGAAAAGCACCAGGAACGTGCTGGGGGTGGAAAGAGGGAGGTCCTTCGCTGTTGGCTCCGGGGAGGACAGTTCTGCCGGGCGGTCAACAACCTCCACGTACTCTACTCCATACTACTAACGACTGACAGCTACTCTGTACTAAATATGTACAATAATAGAGCATTGAATACACCCCAACACCGTAGATTTCTTTTTTATTTAATTACAACATCCTATAGTTGTAACAAAAGACACTCAAAAGAAAGAAAGAAAAACAAAAAAAGATATGAACGAGCGGTAAATTCACCACGCTGCTTTCCGGGGATATTAATAAAATCAAGTATGAGACAATAATAAAAGAACACAGGGAATAAACAGTCTGGGCTAAATCAAATCTTTCTTATTTGCATGAGGCCAAAAGTCGTGCAGGTGAAAACGCCGTTCCCCAGCAACCCGAACAGAGAATATAAACACCCGAGGATCCAGGGTATTAGTATCGGCACAAGCGGTGCCATTCCTCGGTCCCGGGAGTCTCCGCCAAGTGATTTAATCTTCCATCTAGTATTCCGGCTCAAGCTCGCCCTCCTCCTCCAGCGAGTCGCTGGCAACCTCCTCGTAGTCACGCTCCAGGGCAGCAAGGTCCTCACGGGCCTCGGAGAATTCACCTTCCTCCATACCCTCACCAACGTACCAGTGAACGAAGGCACGCTTGGAGTACATGAGGTCGAACTTGTGGTCGAGAGCGGACCAAGCCTCGGAGATGGCGGTAGTGTTGGACAGCATGCAACTAGTGAAGTTAGTAACTTTAATTTCCAGGAGAAATGAACAGGGCGAACATACACAGCACGGTTGAGGTTGGCGAGGTCGCCGTTGGGCACTTGCTGGGGAGGCTGGTAGCAGATACCAATCTTGAAACCAGTCGGGCACCAGTCGACGAACTGGATGGTGCGCTTGGTCTTGAGGGTAGCCACGGCGCCGTGGGTCTCCTTGGGGACAACGTCACCACGGTAGAGCAAGCAAGTAGCCATGTACTTGCCGTTGCGGGGGTCACACTTGACCATCTGGTTGTTAGGCTCGAAGCAGGACATGGTGATCTCGTTGACCGAGTTGGACTCGTGGGCGGCCTTGTGGGCGGAGACAACGGGGGCGTAGGCGACCAGAGGGAAGTGGATACGGGGGTAGGGGACCAAGTTGGTCTGGAACTCGTTCAGGTCGACGTTGAGGGAGCCATCGAAACGGAGCGAAGCGGTGATGGAGGAAACAACCTGAGCGACGAGGCGGTTGAGGTTCTCGTAGCTGGGGCGCTCAATTCCGAGGTTTCGGCGGCAGATGTCGTAGATGGCCTCGTTGTCGACCATGAAGCTGCAGTCGGAGTGCTCCAGGGTGGTGTGGGTGGTCAGGATGGAGTTGTAGGGCTCCACGACGGAGGTAGCGTTCTGGGGGGCAGGGTAGACGCAGAACTCCAGCTTAGACTTCTTGCCGTAGTCGACGGAGAGACGTTCCATGAGGAGAGCACCGAAACCGGAACCAGTACCACCACCGAACGAGTGGAAAACCAAGAAACCCTGGAGACCAGCGCAGTTGTCGGCAACACGGCGAACCTTGTCGAGGACCTGGTCAATCATCTCCTTTCCGACGGTGTAGTGACCACGGGCGTAGTTGTTCGAGGCATCTTCACGGCCGGTGATCATGTTCTCGGGGTGGAAAAGGCTGCGGTAAGTACCGGTGCGGACCTCATCGACGACATTGGGCTCGAGATCGCAGTAGATGGTACGGGGGACATATTTGCCCTGGCCTGTTCTCGTTAGAGTGCACTTTTTTCCGTATCGTGCACCAACGTACCAGTCTCAGAGAAGAAAGTGCTGAATCCGTGGTCGGGGTCCTGCTGCTTGCGCTCCTCGGTGAGGTATCCATCGGGCTGTTCGTTATCAAGATATCAGCATACAATCTCTTCAATCAACAATCAAGCGGGACCATGTGTCATCCCACATACCTGAATGCCGTGCTCGAGACAGTAAAGCTAAACAATAACTGTCAGTCACGTTCCAAAACATGCCACCTTGCCTTCTTCCCCGCCGGTTCCTTGTTTTGTATCTTCATCCCCCTCTTCCTCCATCCTCATCTTGTATCTTGTTCAATCCTCCACGGGGTTTCAAGTGGTCAATGCATACCTCCCAGCAGGAGTTGGCGATTTGGCAACCAGCCTGGCCAACTGTAGACGAGAATCATTAGTAACGCGTCCGGGGTATCTTCACGAAGATCATTCACGCAGGAATCGAGAAGAGGCGACTCACCGTTCAAACTAATGACTTCTCTCATTTTGGCAGTGCGAATTCGACGAGATTAGGTATCTAAAAGGGCTGGAAGAGGGTCAGAGAGAGAAGATGAGGGTCGAGAGAAAGGTGGTAAAAATCAAAAAAGAAAAAAACAGGCTCCGGACGATCTGTACGGTTTGTTTCAGGGGTAAGCAAATGAACCCCCGACGAAAAAAGCAAAAGAGCTAAGGAAATAGTTCGTGGGACTGCCAGCAACCGGGATATGAATATAGAACGTACCTTACACAAGAATTGACAGAGGAGAGATATGAAGTCGCGAGAGTCTTGTTGTCCTCTTCTCCGGCGGGTTGTTGATTGTTGATTGTTGTGGTGGGCGAGTGCGCTGTCAATACCGGCACTCGGTAATTACCTTACCGTACGGGGTCTTTCAATGAACCCCGCTGGGTCGCGTTGGGTAGCATCGCTTCTGATTGGCTTTTTTCTATCAGGTCACGGGATCTGGACGAGACTCGGCCATCAGGCGGTCAACGCTGATTAATGTCACGGGACTGATATCACATGTCTTCCATCACTTCTGATAAGGTATGTATGCTGTTACTGCTATGTCTTTATAGGGTCAATTGTGTGTATATACTACGCAGGACATGAACTGGTCCATGGGAATGTGTCTGACCCTGCAGTGCACCATGATCTGAGATACATCTCACCTCAATCACCATCGTCATTCTTCTGCTAACCAGTACGGACAGACCACGACATAGACTGTTCAACAACACCTCAGAACACCATGCTCCAATCCCTCCTCACCCTCACCATCCTCACCCTCCTCACCCTCCTCCTACAAACCGCCCACGCCAACGTCGAAAAAACCATCTTCCTCGCCCCAACCCCCAACCCCCTCTCCTCCTCCTCCAATATAGCCCCCGACCTCTCCGACCTAGGCCTAGACCTGCTCTCCCCCGAAAACACCATCCTGCGAACAAAGCTCAACGCCTCGTTTCCTTCCACCGCGAAACCCGATGGAACGGAATCATGGTTTCTGCTCGAGGGGCTGAATCCGGGACAGAGGTATGAAGTGCGGGTTTGTTGGTTGGCTACCGTATGTACATTTGTTCCGGAGTCATATTACGCTGTAGGAAGGGCGAAAGCTGACAATTGATGATAATAATAGCAACCAACATCATTCACACTATCAACATACCCCCTCGACGCGATAATCGACGACCCATCGCTCCTCGCGTCAATTAGCCACTATTCCTCCGCGCGCCTCGCCTCCGTCGACGTGAATAATCCCAAGGAAATCGTCCCGCAGGTTCCGAATTCGCATCATGCGCCTAGACATCTTTCGCGTCGTACCCAATCGCGCGATTCTGACTCCGTGCTATTTCTACGTATCCATGCCGCGGCGGATTACTTTACGATTGAGCAGAGGTTGATGGAGAATGTTCCGCCGGTCATTGCGGATGTCATTTTGGATCCGTTTTTGGGGAATGCATTCCCCAAGTCTCTTGTGCCGACGGCGTGTTGGGGGTTGATTGTTGGGGTTGCTGCTGTAGGGGTTGCGAGGTGGATTGTTAAGGAGTTTGGAAGAGTTGTTCTACAGGGCGTTGGAAGTGGGAGTACTGCTGGCAGTGCTGAGAAAAAGGGTCAGTAATTCTATATTACTAGTAATATTTCTGGACTATGCAATATATAAACAAATAATAGAGCAAAGATTTAGACCAGCTATATTTGACATAAAATAAAACAGCAAAACTTGAACAGGGGTAGTAGAGGAATAAACAAAATCAAAATGGCTCTATCAACATCGCCAAAAAAAAAAAAAAAAAAAAAAA